CCACGCCTTCGCACGCCCAGCCCTCGCTCATGTCGCTCGCGGCCCAGCCCCCGGCGCAGACCTCGCCCGCCCCGGCGCTGCCTTCGCTCGTGCCCCACCCCGCGTTCGCCCGCCAGGACATTCTCTCCGTCAAGCAGTTTACGCGTGACGACCTGCACGCGCTCTTCAACCTCGCGTCCGAGATGCGCACCCAGGTCGAGCGCCACGGCTCGGTCGACACGCTGCGCGGCCGCGTCCTGTGCACCCTCTTCTACGAGCCCTCGACCCGCACGTCCGCGTCGTTTGAGACTGCCATGAAGCGCTGCGGTGGTGAGGTCGTCCAGGTCACCGCCTCGGCCTCTTCCGTCCTCAAGGGCGAGTCGCTCCAGGACACGATCCGCACTGTGGGCTGCTATGCCGACGCGATCGTCCTCCGCCACCCCGAGGTCGGCTCGGCCAAGCTCGCGTCCAAGTGCAGCCCCGTCCCGATCGTCAACGGCGAGCACCCGAGCCAGTCGCTCCTCGATGTCTTCTGTATCCGTGAGGAGCTTGGTTCCGTCAACGGCATCACGATCACTCTCATTGGTGACCTGAAGAACGGCCGCACCGTGCACTCGCTCGTCAAGCTGCTGTCGCTCTACGACGTCAGCCTCAACTTTGTCTCGCCGCCCTCGCTCGCCATGCCCGACTATGTCAAGCAGGAGGCGAGCCGCGCGAACATTCCCTGGAAGGAGTACACCAACCTGGACGAGTGCATCGCGCAGAGCGACGTCCTGTACGTGACCCGCGTCCAGAAGGAGCGCTTCGAGAGCCTCGCCGAGTACGAGGCCGTCAAGGACATGTACATTATCAACAACGATGTCCTGAAGCGCGCCAAGGAGAGCGCCATCGTCATGCACCCCCTCCCGCGCGTGAACGAGATTGACCCCGAGGTCGACTTTGACTCGCGCCGCGCCGCCTACTTCCGCCAGATGCGCTACGGTCTCTTTGTCCGCATGGCGCTTCTCACCATGGTTCTCGGCGCCTAGTTTCCTAGCATCATTCACAGCATTAACGTAAAATAGATAGATCATGCATTCTTGTTTCGGATATTTGCTATCGCGACTCCTTCATGCGCTTCATGAGCACGGCCGTCGACTTGCGCAGGCTTTCCGTCTCCTCGGGCTTGGCCGTGGCGCAGCCTGCCCAACGAATCTTGCAGTTTTCGTCGACAAGATAGACGTAGCCGAGCAACTGATTCTCGATGCCGAGGGGCTGCGTCACCTGCCGTCAGCGCAATCACTCGGGCCACTCACATCAAACAGGTTCCACTCTCCCGATGAGCAGAGGTACGACGGCCACCGCGACTCGGGAACGGTACGTTTCAGCGACGACACGAAGAAGGACAGCAGCATGGACTTGAGCGGGTTCGCCTGGTGGTTGATCTGGTGTCAGCGCGAACGCGATGAGACTTACAATGACATATTGGAAGCCCGGCTGTCCCTCCCAGTCCTCGAGAACAGGCTCAACGAAGCTCTGCACATGCTCCTCACTGACGCGCGTCGTCTGAATCGCCACGAGCGACACCTTGCCATTGAGCAAGTCCGTCGTGTGCACCGTAGAGCCAGTCAGGGCCTTGCCACTAATGTCGGGAAAGTAGAGCGCGCGCTGCGGTCAGCAACGTCACCCGATCTACTCACGTCTTCACGGATGAGTACCGGCGGCGCGACCCAGAGCTTTCCGCCGTTGGCCTTTTTCGCCAGGTTGTAGTCGTGGAAATAGCCCTGGCTCGCCTCCTTCAGCAGCGCCTTGCGCTTCGCCTTGTGGCGGTCCCGGTCCAACAGCTCCTCCTTCTTCTCGGCCCACGTTTTCGGAATCGACGTCGGCACCTTGGTAGTGCCGAGCGGGCGACTCAGCGGTGGGACGGCATACGGATCCTTGTCCTTGACAGACTTGACCTCGGGCTGGTCGGGAGAGGCGCCGGACAGGAAGGCGACCTTGGCGCGGGATGCTTTGGAGGACTCGGGCTGCTCGGGTTGCGGCGGTGGCGGCGGTGGCGGGGCCTGAGACGAGGCAAATCGCACACTCGACGCCAGACGCACCGTCGAAAGCCGCAGGGGTATCCGAGAGACACTCATGGTGGACGTTGCTATCATTGCATTTTCAGATTGCCGGATGATCAGTACCATCCGCCACTTTGATACCGAGCACACGTCATTGGGAAAAGTCGGACTTGTTCACTGTCGTTCAACGAGCTTGACATTAACCTCAACATCAACGACCATGCGCCCGCAAGCTATCCGCCGCCTGCCCCTCAAGGAGGCTATTGCCGCTCTCAAGACTGGACAGGGCAGCACGCCCCTGCCCAACACCATCAAGGGACTGCAGCTGAGCTACACCCCGCAGGCCCCGGAGATGGGCACTCGGTGAGCTCGCCTGGCCGAGCATTGCTGACGGTAGCGAGTTTCTCCGCACAACTGCTTCGCGGATAGCGTACGCGAACCCGGATCTCCCCTTTGTTGTTGAGCGTGTCCCGAACCCCCGCGACCGCCGCCACCCCCAGTACAACCCCGAGGCGCCGTTTGCCGCGCCGACCATGACCGTCTCGTTCCGTAAGTGCACAGTCCAGACGGTGCTGACGACCAGACGGCCGCCCCGACAAGACGATTACGCTGACCAACATGTCGGCGGACGAGATTTACAAGCAGCTCTTGTCGTCTGCGGACAGGCGCGCGTAAGGAATATGTAAAGTGTATGCATGATATTTATACAAGGGTATCTAATGCAGGTGTAATGCTATGCTACTGATTTTTGCTGAGGAAATTATCTAACGACAACTCGGCGTACTCGTCTTCTGGAGGCAAGTCTTCGAGACCCTCGAGCACCTTGGACATGCTGAGGCCCGAGGCGTCCCGCTTTGGTTTTTTCGTGTCATCACCGTCAACCCTGAACAAGTCGAGCACCTCGCCCGTGTTCATCGACCCCAGGCCAGAGTTTTGCTGGGTCACTACGCTCGAGGCAATGTTCAACTTGAAGCGCTGAAGACCCATGATCTTCTCCTCGAGGGTGCCGCGGGTGATGAGACGGTACACGTTGACAACCTTTTTCTGCCCGAGACGGTGTGCGCGGTCCATGGCCTGGAGATCCTTCATCGGGTTCCAGTCGTGGTCAACAAAGATGACCGTGTCGGCCCCGGTCAGGTTCAGGCCCAGGCCACCGACGCTGGTGGTCAGGAGCAAGACGTCAATCTTGGGGTCTGCGTTGAACGTCTCGACGATCGCGTGCCGTTTCCTCGGATCCGTCGCGCCGTCCAGACGCATGTACGACACGGTGGGCATGTGCGCGCGGAAGAGGTCGCTCTCGATGAGATCGAGCATCGGCCGCAGCTGACAAAAGATGAGCACTCGGTGAGAACCGGTGAACGGTCCAGACGGGTCAGACTTGTCGACCTGCGGGAGGCCGATGCCACAGTCTGTCAAGAGCTGCTTGAGCGCCTCCAGTTTCGGGGCGTGACTGAGGTCATGCAGAGGCGGTACCTTGCCGAGCTTGTGCTCGACCTTGGCGAGAGCCTGTTTGTCGTCGCGGAGCACGAGAGCGGGGTGATTGCACAGCTTGCGCAGGTACTGCAGCGACTGGAACACGTGCGTCTGGCCGCCGCCGCCCGCCGCAAACTCGCCGGCCTCTTCCGCCGCGTTCGAGTGGGAGAACTCGTCGTACATGACTTTTTGCACGTCGGAGAGGTCGCAGTAGTAGTCTTGGATAATCTTGGGCGGCAGGTCGCTGAGGACGTCTTCCTTCAGTCGTCGCAGCAAGAACGGCAAGACTTGCTTGTGCAGCGCCTCGAGGGCGGCAGAGGCAGCTTCCCGCTCTTTCGCCGTGGCCTTGCCGTCGCGGTCTGCCAGGATCGGCTTGGAGAAACGCTCGTTGAACGCGCGCTCTGATCCAAGGAACCCTGGCATCAAAAAGTCGAACAGACTCCAGAGCTCGAGCACATTGTTCTGGATGGGCGTTCCCGACAGCAGCAGTCGATGCTGGGAGCGAATCTGCTTTACGGCTTGCGATAGCTTGGTCTTGGCATTCTTGATGACGTGCCCTTCGTCGAGAACACAGTACAGCCAGTTCATCCGGCCGAGGTCGGCAATGTCGTTGCGGACGGCCTCGTACGAGGTAATAACGACGTCGTACTGTTTCAGGTGCGGCCGGAGGCTGGCGCGCTGCGACGCGTTGCCGACATACTGCACGGGCCGAAGCTCGTCTGTAAACTTGCGAATCTCGTGGTACCAGTGCCCGGTCAGCGTGGGCGGGCAGACAATGAGCGACGGGAGATGGGCCGAGTCGACACTCTTCGTGGCCTTGTACCGAGCGGCGCGCTCGTGGTGCTTGCTGCCCACGATGCAAATGGTCTGCAACGACTTGCCAAGACCCATGTCGTCACAGAGAATGCCGTGCAGCTGGTACTTGGCCAGGAATGCCAGCCAGCTGACACCATCCTTTTGGTACTGGCGGAGGTCTGCCTTGATGTTGATCGGCAGTTCGTAGCTTTCCGCACGGGACCCGTCCAGCAGCTGTGCCAGGAATCGCCGTTCGTCGTCGCGCTTGGCGAGCATCTCTGCAGAGAACCCGGGAGGGTCGGGGATACCGGCTTCCAGCGGGACCATCTTGACGAGCGACGCAAATGTCGCGGTCGCCAGCAGACGCGTGCTCTCATCCGAGTCGCTCATGCGTCCGAGAATCGGGACAATCAGGAAGAGCACGTATGGCAGCGCCTTGATGTCGAGCTCTTTGATGATGTGGTGGATTGCTTCGACGGCACCTTGGCGCGCATAAACGTTTTCAGCGTCGCCGACAAGCGGTACGACCTCGTCAACGACACGGCGCATGCCTTCCTCGGTGGCGACGGCGCAAAGTACCGCCAGGGTACGGGCAGCGGCGTTGCGGACGACCGCAAAGGAAGACTGCAGCGCGATGATCAGAGGCGCGATGAGAGACACGAGCTGCGGGTGAAGTGCCGGGTCGAGTGTGGGGGCGACAAGCCGGAGCGACGTTAGGCCGTCGACCAAGTCCTGGCCGGGCGAGCGAGGTTCTGACAGGCGCTCATCCAGCGCCTGCGAGTCCCCGCCCGCCACGGCGAGGAGCGAAGCGCTGATGCCGTCCCAGAACCGGGGCACGCGCTCGAACAGGCTGCCGCTGAACCGCTTGGCAACGGCCGCGAGGGCGGCGAGGGCGCCGCGCCGCGTGACGCGGGCAGCAATCTGCTCTTCGGTCTCGTCGGGGACTGGGAGGCCCCTCTTGCCTGTCGGCGCCGGGGTGTCCTTTAGCGACAGGATGCCCTCGGTGTTTGGCGTGAACACTGGTGTCACTGAAACGTCCGAGTTCAGGAACGTGAACAAGTTTTTCAGCACCTTGTCCACCGGGTTGACGGCGGCGCTAAACTCGGGCGAACAGCAAAAGGCGACGAGTGCGCCGACGCTGTCTGCGGCTCGAGCCTGGAGCAGCTCGGACTCTTCCTTTTTGACGCCGTCCATGACAGCCTTGACGACGGGGCCGAGCTTTGGCGGCATGACGCCAAGCGCAATGAGGGCGCCGGCAACGCCAGCTCCGACCTGGACATCGAGCTTGTCCTTCATCGCGCTAAAGTAGCCGATCGACGCGAGCACCTTGCGCTGCCGGTCTTTCAGGTTTGCCAGTGCCGACTTTGCGTGGGCACCGCGCAGGAGCTTGGCGAGAGCGTCAAACGTGGGACCGACGGCGCGTCGCGCAGTGTCCAGAGTGAAAGCGTCCGCTCCGCCCAAGGGATCCACGCGGGAAGGCAGCTCGGGGATGCGGTCTCGCTTGACCTTGCCCTCGGTCGTGAACGCCGAGAACAGTGCGCGGACTTCGTCGTACACGCGCTGCAGCATGGTTGTCATTTCGTTGTACGTTGCCGGGGGCGCCAGCAGGGGGATGAGCGCCGAGGCGAGCTCGACCGCCTCCTGCCGGTTCTTCAGCGCCCATTCCCGAATGACAGTCGAAGCGAGGAAAACTTGGTGCGCGTTTGTCGATCCGAGGTAGTGGCGCACGAGGGCGAGGTCGTCAAACGCGTGCGGGTACGACCGGAGCGAGGCGAGGGCCTTGGCGGCCGCGATGCGCGTCTCCAGTACCAGCTCGGTCGAGATCAGACTCATATCGCCCGCAAACATGGCCTTGTCCACGTCGTGGCCGCGGACACGGCGGCCGACGAACAGCCCCTCGTCGAGGGGGACACCCACCGGCGTCATGGCAATCGCGTACCAGTCGTTGATCTTGGGTCCAACCGTCTCGTCAACGGCGGTGCCAGCGAATCCAGCCTCCAGCGCCTCGGCCGAAACGGAGCGCACGTCCTCCCGGTCCTCCAGAACAAGGTTCTGGAACAGCAGGGACAAAACGTCGGACTTGATCCAGTCATGCGGCAGATCGGGCACAGTCATCAAGACGAGGAGCGCCTTGGCGACGGCGAGACGGACACTGGCGATCGGGTGCCGGATGAAGGCATAGATTCTCGAGATGACTGATCGCTGATCGGCGCTCGACGCCATGAGACTGATGACCTCGCTGTAGCCGAGGAGAGCGCCGAGGAGGTCCATGACGGCTGCGGTGCTGCTGCCGAGCTCGTCGGTGCCCTCGCCGAGGCAGTCCCACAGCGTGGACAGAATGTCACCAATCTCTGGCAGCTTGACGAGATCTCCGGCCGCGGGCAGAAGAGCGGACGCGGCGACCGTCCGCACATCATCGTCCGCTTCTCGCAAAGAGAGCAGAGCGCACGACACAATGTCGCGAATGATGGCTTCCGTGTCGCGCACGACAACCTCGTATTTTAGACCGAGAAGACCAGCGTGCCGGAGCTCCCACGCGAACCGATCGCCGCGCGGGAGACCCTCGGCCGCCTTGCCGCGCTTCGCCCAGCTCTGGCGAACCATGTCCACGAGCGCGTTGTGCACCTCGGCGGCCTCGGCCTCAGTTTCAAACTTGAACAAAATGCCGAGAGCCTGCGCAGCTGTTTCTCGGACCGGCGCCATGACCGTGTCACCGACGAAATCGCCGAAACGATCGAGCGTCAGAAGGGTCAGCAGCCGGCGAGCAAGAGCGGAGAGGAAGCCGACATAGCCGGCAGCAATGTTGCTGCCAGTGTGCCTCAGGACCTCGGTGATACCGAGAGACGCGCCGTGGCGAGACTCCCAAGCAGGGTCCGTCAGAGCTCCAGACAGCTCGGCGACAACGGCCGACCACGGCGAGTGTCCGTGAGCGTCCAGCTTTAATGTCTGCACCTCGTGTGCTTCCACCGCTCCGCCTTTCTTTCCCGGATCAATCACCACAGGCTCTGGTCTGATATCCGGCTTGACATCCGGCTCGGATTTGATATCGGGTTTCACGTCGCGGGGGGGAGTCGGTTGCGGCGTGCCTTTCGGCGTCGAGCGGGGCGTCGGCGTCTCGGACGATGCGGGACCGCCATTCGCCTTTTCGTTTAAGCGCCGCATCTTGTTGGCCTCTTCGATCATGTTGTTGCCCTTTTTGCGCTTCAACATGGCGACTTGTCGCGCGGAGAGGCCTTCAAAGATGTTTTCTGGTGTCGGCGTCGAGGTGCCGTCGTCGCCATCGTCGAGGACAGCGTCCATGTCGCTACCCATGTCGAGGCCGCCGCCCATGCCAACAGCACCGAGCATCGCCTTCCTTCGTTTGGCGCGATCGGCGGGGCCAGGCTTGGCGACATACTCGCGACCTGCTGACGCCAGCAATAACTCGTTGGCGCATGCGACGGCGTGCACATCGAACGCCGCACCCGGGTCTATCGGCGACGGCGCGTCCTCGGATGAGCCCTCCCAAGCGGGGAGAGCTTGAGCGATGAGGCCGAGAGCGTTCGCGGCGGCATTGCGGGTTTCGGAGGATCGGGAGCGGAGGAGGGGGATGATTTTGGCAATGGTATCAAGGGTATCCTGCCATGCATCGTCCGTCGGGAGAGAAGAGAAAGTCTTGAGGGCGACGTCTGCCAGCTGCTTGGCGGCGGTGCGTCGAACAAGTGTGGACGTGCCCGTGTCGAGAAGTAGGATGAGTTTGGACATTGTTGATGTCAGCCTCCACCAGGCGCGGAGAGTGTGGCGCTGGCCGAAGTTGGCCTGGAGGTGTCGGCGTGGGGGTCGTGGTGCCTCCACCCAGCGCCTATTGTCTATATATCTTTGTCGCTTGTGAAGTCACCTCTGCGGCGTATCCATGCCCCCCACATAAATCTTCATCACGTGACTTTATCCCCGCCGGCGATATGGCGAGGCATCTTGTTTGTGCAGCAGTTGACGATGCGGCGCTGTGCGCTGCTAGATTTGTTGATCACAGTCGCTTGCGTCGACCATCGCGTAGCGCCGCAGCGACTCTCTCGAGCTAGACATCACACGCACGTCCATCACAACTTATCTACAACGTCGCACTAATGGTTCTACACGGCAGTAGCGCGCACTTGGCTGCCGCCGGCCGCGGAGGCGTCCCCGTGGCCAGCGAGGAGGGGGGACTGCTCGTCGGGTTGGTGCGCTGCAACCACTTCGCCGACAGTCACTACCTGCTCCGGGGGGATCGGTGTGCCCTCTGGCACCGACACGACTCTGCCGCTGAGGGTGCGCTTGTGACGGCGCGCGCGACGCGCGCTTCGTCCAGCGGCCCAAGGCTCGCCGCGGCGAGCTGCGAGGCCTGTAAACGTCAGGAACCCAAACGTGATTCCGGAGCAGAAAGCTGCGATCACGCCAAACCAAAACGAGCGATCTGCTGTTAGCGTCTCTTGGGACAGTCACGTACCGAGGCGTGACTTGCTGTCGTGGCCGTTAAAGCGCGGGTCTGTCGTGTACACGCGGAGAATGAAGATGATCGACGCCAGCTGCAGCGCGCAGTGGATGAACATGGCAACGGACACGAGCTTCCACTGCTTTCTCCTTGCGCGGGCGCGCGCAGTGCGCTGGCCTGCGGTCAGCGACATTCAGCACAGCATTTACCTCGATGCAGAAAGATGAACAGGAGCGACATCAACGCAAACAGACAGGGAACGAGGGCGAGCTGCGCCAGGTAGCCCGCAGTTGACCACTGCACGCAAAAGCTTTCGCCGAATTCTGCGCATTCAGACCTGCCGTCAGATCGGATCACGCGTTACACGCACCTCGTGGGGAACCTTTCGCACTGCCATGGGCCTTTGGCCCAGGCATCCGGCTGCAGATCATAGTAGCTGGTTCGCTCACCGCTGCTCGTTATCGGTTCGGCGCGGTAAAGGAGCGGGCCCGTCCTGGGGCGGGTGCAGCGTTGGTATAACCCGTACCTCGCCGTCAGCAAGCATCGATAAACAACTCACTGAGTCTCAAAGCCTGTGGGAACGAGGTGGTTCACAACGCGGATGAGGTCGGGAACCTGATGTCAGCCTATGACGACACTTGCCACTCACAGAAATGTTTAGCAGTGTAAACGTTGTCGCGACGAGCAGCATCGCGAGCGATACGAGATAGGGACTCTTGCGCATCGAGTGCTTGACGCGGGTGCGCGCCACCGCATTCTTGCGGCCAGATTCGTGCCGAGGCATCGTCGATGGAGCAGTGGGAAGAGTGGGAAGTGGAGGCAGCCTGAAACATAGTCTGCTTGTGGTGATGACCTAATAAGATGCCGCTGACCTCATAACCCAATTTCGCGCAACGAATGCGCAACAACAAACGCGTCAACATGAGCGACGAGAGGCGGATACGCAAGCTGCCGCTGGACGTCGTGAATCGAATAGCTGCTGCCGAGGTGAGCAATAGCTTCGTGCAGCGACTCATGCCAGATCATCCACCGTCCGTCAAATGCCATCAAGGAGCTCCTGGAGAACGCGCTGGACGCTGGAGCAACGTCGATCCGCATTACAGTCAAAGATGGAGGGTTGAAGATGCTCCAAATCGTGGACAACGGCCACGGCATTGCGGTGGGTGTGAGGGAAGACCAAACTGACCGCAGCGAGAAGACCTTCCCTTGCTCTGCGAGCGATACGCAACGTCCAAGCTTCGGCAATTCCAAGACCTCGAGTCGCTGGCGACGTACGGCTTTCGCGGCGAAGCCCTCGCGAGCATCAGCTACTGCTCTCATCTTGAAGTCGTGACGAAACCGCCGTCCGAGTCGTGCGGATGGAAGTGAGAATACGTGACGGCCTCGTCTGACGACAGGGCTCTGTACGAGAACGGCGCCATGCTTGGCGACCCGCGACCGACAGGCGCAAACGACGGCACAATGATATCTGTATGTGTCCTCACTATCAGTCCTGACGACAGGCCACCGATCTCTTTTACAACATGCCGCTGCGCAAGCGCGCGTTCAGGTCTACGTCCGACGAGTACGGCCGCATCCTCGACGTTGTGACCAAGTATGCTATACACAACCCGCACGTCTCTTGGGTGTGCAAAAAGGTAGGCGTCTGGCCGATGGGGCTGACCGTAGCACGGCACCGCGGCGGCGGACCTCTCGACAAACGCAAACTCTACCGCGAAGGCCAACATCAGCCATCTCATCTCCTCCACCCTGGCGCAGGAGCTCATCGAAATCCCCGACACGACATTTGACGCCAAGCTCGGAACCAGCTGCCACGGCTGGATCAGTGACGGGAACTGGGCGCCCAAAAAGGGCGGGTTCATCCTGTTCATCAACAGTGAGGCTTGCGTCGACGTGACTAACCTCAGATCGCCTGGTGGACAGCACAAAGCTGAAAAAGGCAGTCGAGGCCGTATACGCGACGGTACTGGCGAAGGGCGCGTCGCCGTTCATCTATCTGAGGTGGGAAGGCATCCGACGCCGTCTGACGCCAGTCTCCGCATCGACCCCGCAAAGATCGACGTCAATGTTCACCCGACCAAGTCGGAAGTTCACTTTCTGAACGAGGATGAGATTGTCGTCGCAGTGGTCGGCGCCGTTGAGCAGGCGCTCGCCAACGCCAACACCTCGAGGACGTTTGCGGTGCAAACCGTGTCCACGTCAAAATCCGACACTCCCGCTCGCCGAGCGGCCGCACCCAACTACAAAGTGCGCATGGACCCAGCCAACCGGACGCTGCACTCCATGGTTGCCGTCGTCAACCCGTCACAGATTGCAGGGCCAGAGGACACGTCGCGAACCGTAGACGCTACGGAGTGCGACTTTACCAGCATCCAGGAACTGAGGCAGGCGGTAGCAGACAACAGCAGCTCGGGGCTGAGTGAGATGCTCGCCACGCACGCGTTTGTCGGGGTCGTCGACGAGCAGTCATGTTTGGCTCTGGTTCAGCAGGGTACGAGACTGCAGCTCGTCAACTATGCCGCCCTAGGGTGAGTGCTTTGCGGGACCCGCTGACCCCAGGGACGAGCATTTCTACCAACTCGGACTGCAGCAGTTTGGTGGCATTGGTCGCCTCAAGCTCGAACCTCCGCCGCCGCTGTCAGAGCTGATCAAGGTTGCCGCCGAAGCAGAGCCGGACATTGCCAAAGCCGGCCTCAGTGTCGACCAGGTCGTCCAGGTGAGCCCCGATTGTGACGCCGCTCTGACGTCAGAAAACCCTGACCATCCTCAGGGCACGCGCAGAGATGCTCGACGAGTACTTTTCCATCACCGTCTCCGCCGACGGTCACCTCGAGGCCATTCCGTTGCTTCTGAAGGGGTACACCCCAGATCTCGATCGTCTGCCGCATTTTCTGCTGTCACTCGCCCATCGTGTGGTCTGGGACGATGAAAAGGAGTGCTTTGACACGATCCTGCGCGAGATTGGCTTCTTTTACTCTCCTCGCCCGTTTGGCTCCCCGCCGCCGGAAGACGGCGCTCACCGGCAATGGCAACTCGAGCATGTGCTGTTCCCGTCCTTCAGGCGCACGCAGTGGCCACGCAGGCTGAAGCCGAGCGCCAAGCAAGTCGCCAACTTGCCGGACCTGTTCCGGGTGTTCGAGCGGTGTTAACGTATGCATGTGTCGGGCGGACTTTGTAGCCGGTGACGAGGAAAGCACCACGGACGTCCTGGGCACATCCCGGACTCCCCCGCAGTCAGGACCCCATACCTGCGTCGGTGTTGGTCGGCCGGGCTGGCGGAGGAAGCCCATCGACCAATCGCGGTCAGGGACCAGATTCGATCCCGGCGGCAAGGGAACGTGGGGCGTGGGGAGCCATCATCAGCAGGGAGACGGAGTTGCCGAGCTCTGCCGGTGGTCCGGACGTAATTGCACGCGACGTCAGAAACCTCCACGAGACACTTTGACATTGCTCATTCTACCATCACTACACACCGAAAATGGCTCCCGCTCGCAAGTTCTTCGTTGGGTACGGGACTGTGCTGGCGCGTACTAACATGCAGTGGCAACTTTAAGATGAACGGCTCCCAGAGCCTCGTCAAGCAGATTGTTGACCAGCTCAACAACGCCAACCTTGACGGCACCAACGGTGCGTTGATCCGCCTGTCACTCGCTGACCATTGCAGAGGTCGTCATCGCTCCTCCCGCCATTTACCTCCTCGACGTCTCCCGCAACATTAAGCCCCCCGTCGAGGTCGCTGCCCAGAACTCGTACACTGTCAACTCTGGCGCCTACACCGGCGAGATCTCCCCCGAGCAGATCAAGGACGCTGGCATCCCCTGGGTCATCCTCGGCCACTCGGAGCGCCGCTCCCTCTTTGGCGACTCTGACAAGATTGTCGCCGACAAGGTCAAGGCGGCTCTCGCCGTCGGCCTCAAGGTCATTGCCTGTATCGGCGAGACCCTCGAGGAGCGTGAGAAGGGCGTCACTAACCAGGTCTGCGAGCGCCAGCTCGAGGCCATTGCCAAGGAGATTGGCGAGGGCGACTGGAAGTGAGTATTGCGCTGCATCCGCCGCTGACCACCCAGGAACATTGTCGTCGCCTACGAGCCCGTTTGGGCCATTGGCACCGGCAAGGTTGCCACCGCCCAGCAGGCCCAGGACGTCCACCACGACCTCCGCAAGTGGCTCGGCCAGCGCGTCTCCCAGCCCGTCGCTGATGCTACCCGCATCATCTACGGCGGCTCTGTCAACGCCAAGAACTGCACCGAGCTCGCCACCGGCGCCGACATTGACGGTTTCCTCGTCGGCGGCGCCTCGCTCAAGCCCGAGTTCATCGACATTTGCAAGTGCAAGAAGAACTAGGAATTGTCGAGCAGCCGGCCCAGACTATAACTGTGCCTAGGCAGCTCACACCGTACATTAACCCATGTGTATGCTAGCAGTGTGAATAAAAATGCAAAGTTATGCCGACTCGGTCACACGTGTAACAATTTACATTCAACAACTACAAGATTCTACGCGCTGAGACCGACAGCCAGGCGGAGAGCCTTCCTGGCCTGCTCAAGCTCGAGGCCGATGCAGGCCCAGCGGCCGACATAGTAGCCGACCCAAGTGTGCGCCTGCTTCACGGTGAGCTGGTCAATCGCATCGACCGAGGTGAGGGGCTAGAGTCAGCATGGCCAAACAGGCTTGCTCACAGGAACGCCGTGGGGAGGAACGCCGGTGGGGAGAACGGGCAGAAGGGAGACACCGGCGGCGTGGCGAGGGCCGTTTGCGTGTCTGTCGGGTCAGTGCGAGCCTTGCGGACGACTCACGCGGCATGAAGAGCAGCAATCTTGGTGTTGACCTTTTTCAGCTCCTCCAGCTGCTTGCGAAGCTCCCTGACCTCGCTCTCCAGCTCGTTGACCGGGTTTCGGGCGGGAATGGGAGGCAGCATGAGGGGCTGACGGCGAAGAGGCGCCACAGCAGGCTCGGGGACAGTCGAAACGTGCGAGGGCGAGGACGGCTCAGACTCGGGAGGCGACATCGGAGCCGCGGGAACGACCCAGCACAGCATGGGCGACGGCGCACCCGAGACCTTGGGAGGGTTCGCAAGTGCCGACTGGACCTGCTTGTGGAACGGCGTGTGGGGAGGGGTGCTGGTGGGGGACTCGGGAACGGTCACGACGCCGAGATCAATGCTCTCAGCGGCCGGCTTGGGAACGTAGCTCGGCGCGTTGAGAGGAATGATGGGAATGGAGGGCTTCGTGGCGGACATGGTGCTCGATGTGACCGTGGACGAGGACGAGGCTGAGGCGGCTGAGGAAATGGAAGTCGTCGAGGAAGAGGTTCGGAGGCGGCGACGACGAAACTTGGCTAACAACTCAGTGTACTGGGGCATCAACTTGTGAGGATGTTCGTCAAAGATGGGTATCCTCTTATACATCGCTACGGGTAGGGAGAAACCGGCGGATACGGCAAGGCGATTAGGACCGACTGGTGCTTGGGCCGACGTGCGGATGCTCGAGCGCGCACAAACCCCGTCCAAGCAGAGACCCCAAGCACTCGACCGTGAGCGCAAGCCGCGAGCGGAAAACGGCTCATGGCAGATGTGCTTTCCAGCGTTGCGCGTCACTGTCGACATGCTAAACACTGCGATAAGCGATGCTTTTCTATGAAGATCGCTGCAGCCGCACGGCCGGTAGTGGCGTAACGTGGCGCCACACGCTGCACTTTTTTTTTTCTGACACAAGCACAGGCCACCTTGAACTCAGGAAGCAAGACCTTGAGCTGACGACGTGGCCGAAACACATGCCTGCACCGTGGTTCGATCAAGTTCACGGGTCATCAATCGGCGCCCCGAAAGCTCCGGGCTGAAACGTTGTGTTTACTTGGTACATTCAGACTGTTCTCAGGAGAACATAAAGTTCAAACTATACGAAACATGAGCCAAAGTGGCCGCAAGCTTACTCGAGGTCCTCGAGCGAGCGCTTGTTCGACTGGGCGAAGGGGTCGGAGCAGCCCTGGCAGATGGGGCCAGTGGCACCGGTAGTGACGACGACGCCGTCCTGGCGGTCACCCTGCTGGATGTTGAGGGGGGCGACGTTTCCGTCCTGCCACTGCCAAAGCTGGGTGCCAGAGTTGTCACCGACGTAGGTGCCACCGACACCGTTGTTGGAGCCGGGGCTGACACCGGGAACCTGGACGTAGCCGTTGTTGCCGACGTTGAGGTTGGTGTTGCCAGCAGTAATGCCGGCACCAGAGGGGTAGCTGCCGAGGCCACCGGTGAGGAGCTTGACAGTGCCTCCGAGGTAGCCGGCGGTGAGGCCGAGGAGACCGCCGAGGATGCCACCACCGCCGCCACCACCACCCCGCCACTCCAGAGCGCAGCTCATCACTGGACGCAGCAGGACATGTTTTACGACCAACCCGTGTCGTACGTCCAGGAAGTCTTCCCCTACCCACCGATGCCACTGGGAGCAGTCGGACACCAAGACTCCACGCCCGAGATGCCCTCGCACGTTCTGTTGTTCGGGGAGGCTCTGCAGAGAAGCCAAGGAAACACAACCGTCCGAGAGGCACTCGGCATCCGCGGCTACCACGAAGTGGACAATCTCTGGAATGGGTTCGACGTGGCTCAAGACGAGGACAAGCGGAGAGGCGGTGTTCGAGTTTGGGCTCGTCAGTAGCAACATCGTATGCAACCAACGCATCTGCATCACACTCGCCGCCGCCGCCGCCGCCGATGATGACACCGCCGGGACCACCACCTCCGCCGCACTGGCCGTAGGCACCGCAGGCTCCGGCCTGCTGGACGTAGTTGGCACCGGCGCCAAAGGTACCGCCGTAAGGCGAGCGCTCCTCGAGGGTCTCAGCCTGAAGGTCGGCGAGGCTGCGCTTGCCCTTGTAGGTGCAGCCGTTGCAGAGACCGTCGTCGCCGACAGTGACGTAGCCCTTGTCGTTCTTCAGAACAGGGCCCTTGGCGAGCTTGACGTCAAAGACGTCTCCGTTGTCGAACTGGAAGAGGGACTTGCCGTCCTTGTTGCCGATAAACTTGCCCTTGCCGGCGTGGGGGAACTCGACCTCCTGGCCGAGCTTGTAGCCGTCAAACTGGAGAGGGGCGTTGCCGTCGACGCCGTCGCGGGCGCTCAGGTCAACAGCGGCAGCCGAGACCAGGGCGGGAAGAAGAGCAACGAGAGCGAGCATTCTAAGGATTGTAGAGTGGTTGTCGGGAGAGGCTGAGTCGAGCTCGGTTGGGCTTGATGGAGAACACTTTGAGGTCAGAGGTCCCTCTTTATATACACGAATCGACGTCCATCGTATCTTTCACAATGTCTTTCAAAGGTGTGATCACCAGCCACCGCACGAGAGCCACTCCGAGAAGGTCCAGTGTGGGCAACACTAGTGTCGTCGGCCACTGTCGTCACTGGAGCAATCTGTCTCGATGGCAGCAAAGGCTGTCCGTGGCGTTCACCAGTCCCGCATACCGCCATCAGCCTCCAGTCTAATGGCCTCGCCACAGAGTCCCGTTAGCAAAGGCAGCCAGCGGTTCATGATGGCTGCGAGTTTCTTGGAATGCGATTAAGCTCTCCCAGAGAACGGCAAAGGTCCCCCGTAGCCATGGAAACTCGACACTTATTCGCTGTCAGTGGTGAGGCGTCTGAACTCTAACAAGCCTGCCCAGCTCCACTTACTGCGATGGGCAACTCAGCCTTGGCTACGTACACCACCGAGAAGGCGAGTGTTGTCAGCGTAACCTCGGGCAATCCTGCATACCTGACAAGCTCTCGAAGAGTATGGTTATCTGACTGATGGAAACCTTGGTCAGCGTCTCTGTTAGCCATGTACGGTCAGCCTCTGCCAACCAACACGTCATGGTCTACCCGCGCATGAGTTAATCCGGGAGACCAAGGCAGGTTGGTAGTGTCTCACAAGGTTAAAGTCTGTCAACATGAAACATAGTCGTCCCGAAGAATGAACGCCGAAGGTGTTATCATGTCGGCGATCGAGACGCATTCGGAATGAGAGCGATAGCAACAATCACGTCGAAAGCATTCGTTATCGACTTGTCGCAATGTCCGAGGAACGCGTTACGTAATACGTGCATGCGTCATGGCCGGATGCGATCATCGCGCTTCGCCATCACCCAACACACATCTCGCCATCTCCAATGATTCCTAATGCGTTCCTCGTTGCGTTGACGCTTCGGTCGCTAGGTCTACTGCTCCCTCACACTTTCTTCCAGCCCGACGAGTTCTATCAGGCGTTCGAGCCAGCCTACTCTGCAGTCTTCGGCCATGGGTTCTTGACATGGGAATGGCGCGACCTCCCCTACACGGCAACCCAGGGTGGCAGTCCCGTTGACCTGCTGAAGCGAGCGGTCTGCGGCGGAAGGCTGCGAAGCTGGGTCTGGCCCGGTGTCTTCATGGCCGTGTACAAGTCACTTGACATGCTCGGTTTGCAAGATACCGAGTGGGCTGTGAGCGTCCTTGCTTGTGAGGTACTGACATTAGATTGCACTGCCCCGCCTTATCGGCGTGCTCATCGCAGCTTTGACCGATTACTTTACGTCGTTGCTCGCAGTCAAGTTGAGAGGCCCGGGCGCGGCAACTGCCGCTGTAGGTCGACCTTGTTTCACGTCTGACTCGCACAGCTGTTCCTGTCTCTGACGTCGCTCTTCAACGCTCATCTCTTACCCCGAGCGCTGTCCACATCCCCAGAGACGCTCCTCACGACTGCAGCCCTAGTGTATTATCCGGACACATGTTCTTCCGAGCTAAAGGCGCCGGGGCCTGAGAATCTCGACCCGGTTGCCATGGACCGAGCCGAAGGAAAGGCATCGTGAGAGAGGCACTCATTCATCGCTGACGTCCAGAAAGCTGCCCAGCAGCGTGTTCGTCGCCGCGGCCTTGGCAACGTTGTCAGTGTGCATCAGACCCACGATGCTCGTGTTCTGGGCGTACTACCACCTGGCCAGCGTGTGGTCTCTGTACCGTACGCGTGGGCTCGGCGCGCTCGTCTCCTTTAACGTGACGGCAGTGCTCGGAGGGCAAGTGGGAGGCGTCACACAGTCACTGACCGCAGGCTCCTTGTGCTACTGTCGGCTACCGTTGTCGACTATCTCATGGTCGGCCGCCTCGTCTTGCCTGTGTTCACATTCTTCCACCAAAACGTGCTCCGCAATGTTGCGGCGTTTTACGGAGGAACCGGGTTAGCCTACCATCTTGTCCAGTCACTCCCGCTGCTGCTGTTTCCTCTTTGGTACTGGTGGGCAAAGGGGTTCCTGGCAGCAGTGCTGCCCCGGAGCGTGACGCCAGTGTCGCTTGCGCGCCTCGACGTGACTCGGCCTATGCGCAGACTGGGGCACGCCGTCTGTTTCACCATTGCCGTGTTCTCATTGTCGCCTCATTCCGAGTGGCGATTCCTGCATCCGCTCCTGCCTCAACTCTTCATGTTTGCCCTTCCCGCGCTCCAGGCCGACTACTGGGCATCCATGGTCGGATGCTTCCAAAAGCCAGGCATGACGTTTAGACAGTGGGTCCGGATACCAAAGCGCGCCTTCTACCTCATCCTCCTGGCCCCGGTCCTGCCATTCCTCTACCTCAACGTCTTCCACGGAGGCGCACAGGTCGAGGTCATGAACAAGCTCCGGCGTGGAGAGTACGGAACCGTGTCCAAAGTCGCGGTGCTGATGCCCTGCCACTCGACACCGTGGTCAAGCCACCTCGGCCGCAACATCACCGGCTGGTTCCTCACCTGCGACCCGCCACTCCAGAGCGCAGCTCATCACTGGACGCAGCAGGACATGTTTTACGACCAACCCGTGTCGTACGTCCAGGAAGTCTTCCCCTACCCACCGATGCCACTGGGAGCAGTCGGACACCAAGACTCCACGCCCGAGATGCCCTCGCACGTTCTGTTGTTCGGGGAGGCTCTGCAGAGAAGCCAAGGAAACACAACCGTCCGAGAGGCACTCGGCATCCGCGGCTACCACGAAGTGGACAATCTCTGGAATGGGTTCGACGTGGCTCAAGACGAGGACAAGCGGAGAGGCGGTGTTCGAGTTTGGGCTCGTCAGTAGCAACATCGTATGCAACCAACGCATCTGCATCACACTAGTCCTACTATGGCAATAATTCCAGCAAAGGACTACTGCGCGCTAACGTCAGCACTGACACTGGCAGGAGATGCTTGATGTTCAGACGGCGGAAATGGCCTCTTTCGAGGTAGGTTCGATTCCTAGGGGTTGTCGACACACATGAATGCGAAGAGGGAGTCCCATATTCATCTTGAAAGATGCAAGCCAAGATCGCACACTCACATGTGATTTAGCGGGTCTTGAAGTAGTCGAGGAGGACCTGGAGGCCAGCGGTCTCGGCACCGTAGTTGGTGATGACGACGCACGAGCAGCCGACGACCTTGCGGGGCTTGCCCTCACGGTCGATCTTGGAAAGACCGGCCCACTGGCCAAGAACCTTGGCGTCGGAGACCTTGATGAGCTGAATGTTGTGCTCAGCGCAGAGGGCCTCGATAAGCTTCGAGTACTCGGCCTCGGTGACGGTCTCGACGAGAACACAGAGGTGAGCCTCGCGCTTGTCGAGGGCCTTGGCGGACTCGCGGAGACCACGGGCAAGACCGTCGTGGATCTAAGGCGTCAGCGCTATCTCCACCCAAAAACTCACGAGGGCAGTCTTGACGACCTCCTCGAGGGCCTGCTCGACCGACATGGGGCCAGAGTTGTCGGCGACCTCGACCTGCTCGACCTGCTCAGGGGCGTTGGAAGCGTTGGATCCGGCGTCAGACATTGTGATGGTCTTCTTCCACCGGTTTTGTAAAACGAGAAAGAAGTTGTAGAGTGGAGAACCACCAAAGCAGCGCTTGCTCACTGAAAATCGTGCCCTACAATGAGTCGGCGTTTTCGGAAATTCATCCGACCACCCGATTGTCGTTTGTGGCACTGTTATTTCAGGGGTGTCGAAGCTATGGAATTCGTTACGACCTACTCCACACCTCTCATCTGTGAGCATATGACTGGCAGCTGACTGGTCAAGTGACTGTAGTCACTTCGGACTTCCTCGTCATGAGACATGATGTCACAGAGGTTAAGCTTTTGGACAGCCTGCGCTTCATGTGGGCTGGGAATAATGTGGGCAACTTGTTGGATTCTTTGGGGATGCGCGAGACAGCTACATAACTGCGACAAGAGTCCCACAGTGCAGCACACTGCCATTCGAGACAAACCAGGATGGTGCTCTTCACAATTATCTGCGCGACTCTTGTCGCGGCGAATAACAATGCCGGCAACACATCGCTGTGCCCTGCCCAGCCGCCCGCGCTGGTGAAGGGTGACGGTTGGAACCCGGCCGCCAACGAGAGCTATGCCAGTGCGGCCGCCCAGCGTCTCTCGAGGGCGGTACAGATTCCGACTGTCTCGTACGACAACATGCCCATGAACCCAAACGACACAGTGTTCGATTCGCACACGCGTTTCGCCGAGTTCTTGCGTCAAGAATTCCCGACCGTCTTCCAACACGCAACTCACGAGACTGTCAATGTGCACAGCCACCTCTTCACGTTCGGCGGCAATAGCACCAAGGCCCCGATTCTGTTCATGTCCCACGAAGACGTCGTGCCTGTATTGAATGAGACGGAGGGGCAGTGGACGCACCCTCCTTTCTCCGGCTTTGTGTCCAACGAATCGGAGGGAGCTTGGATATGGGGCAGAGGGGCCAGCGACACGAAGAACACTCTGATCGGGCAACTTTCCGCGGTTGAACAGCTCATTGCGGAGGGGTTCGAACCCGACCGTCCAGTGCTGCTCTCGATTGGATTCGACGAAGAGGTAGGCCTGATACATATCCCCGCACTCACGGTCAGGTCGGTGGAGAGCGCGGCGCAGGCAAGGTAGCCGAAATCATTCACCAGCGCTATGGCCAGCACGGTGTCGCGTTTGTGGTGGATGAGGGATTCTCTGGTGTCCGCGAAGTCTATGGCACAACGGTCGCCAGTCTGGGCATGGCAGAAAAGGGCAGCGCCTCGTTCCAGCTGAGCCTGAGCACCTTGGGCGGGCACTCGAGCTCCCCGCTGCCTCACACTGGAAGTAGGTTACTGTGCCGGCGGTGCTGACAGCTCAAAGTCGGCCTAATGTCGCTGATCCTCGCAAACTTTGAGAGCAACCCGTATCCCAGCAAGCTCGACGAAGGCAACCCCTTCTTGCATTACCTCGCGTGTCTGGCCGAGTATGCTGCCAACATTCCGGGTGACCTGAAAAGCCGTATCCAGGACCCGTCTCAGTGGCAAGGCCTAGCCGATGAGCTCGGCAAGCACGACCGCATTGCCAATGCTTTCCTGACAACTACGACTGCCATCGATCTGATCAATGGCGGAAACAAGATCAATGCGCTGCCGGAGAGCGTTAATGGTGAGCAAATGGAGGAGCCGTGCTGATTACAGCGTCCATTAATCATCGCATCGCGTTCACGTCGAGCGTCCAGGAGACTGCCCAGCACTACATTGATGTGGTGGTGCCATACGCCCAGAGCCTCAACATTAGCGTCACCGCGTTTGGACAGGGGTACCCCTTGAACGTCACTCCTCACGACACCCCCGTCAGTGAGCTGACGGGTGGAACGGGCACGCCCGTTCCCGCGGGCAACTTGTCCATTGCCTACATCGGCAACGATCCTGGCCTGGAGCCCGCACCAGTGACACCGGACAATGGGCCTTCCTTCAAGCTGCTTGCCGGCACTATCAAGGCCGTGTGGGGCAACGACACCCTCGTCACCCCGACGGGCATGTATGGTGAGTGCACCGCGATGTATACCCTAACACCAGCCAACACGGACACGGCGCACATGTGGAACGTGACCGAGAATATTTTCCGGTACACCCCCGCCTACCTAAACGAGTCGCTGAACCAGCACACCGTCAATGAACGTATCAGTCTCCGAGCCCACCTCAGCTCCATCCAGTTTTACTACCAAGTCATCCGCAACCTCGAAGGTTGGGACAGTGGGCAGTAGAAGTCGGTGCCACAATGCATGAATGTTACGTAAAGACGGCCAGGTTGCACCGTGCTTCTCACCAGGTTGTCACGTGAAGGATGGGGAACGCGGGAACGATGGGAGCTGCCCGGAGCCCCAGAACAATCGTGGAAAAGCTGGAAGGGCACTCGTGGGAAACTGGTGCCACACACTCGTGGGAAACTGGTGCCACATCGAAGCTTTTATCGTGGGAAAGCTGATGCCACTCAGACCTCTTTCAGAATTCCCACGAGCGCTGAGCGCGGCGGTAGAGATCGGGGCTCCGAATAAAAAGCGCCAAAAACAGACACCTCACAGGAAAACTGCGCAGCGCATCCCGTTCAAGGCGATGAACCCTGGTAAGGAGAATATGACTTGACCTTCCTCCATGAGGCAAATTCGAAGGCGAGGGCACTTTCATGTATGATTTGACCGTGGGAAACCATGGATCAAGCGCGGCCTGTCTCCGACCTCGAGGCCGGTTTGAATGGAAAAGGCTATCGAGCATCCCTGCCCGGTGGTGCAACTCTAAACGGGCATCGGTGTAGGTCGTCCCAGGTGGACTCTTCCCAACCCAAAAGCTCAGTTCAGAGGTAGACCACCGTGGGAAAGCTTGAAAGAAGGAGAGGCTGCCTCCGACCTTGACCCGTCTGTAGTGCGAATCTACCGATGAAACTCAGTGCTGCCATTAGCTCATGCTACCCAGAACACACCAGGGTCGTCAGAACGCTCTCTTGCCCAGGATATGCTTCAACTCTCTGCTTCAGTCTCCGAAGCACCTCTGAGGCATTCTCAGGCTCTCTGAATCTCCCGATGTAGTTTGACACTCGCTACCTCCTGAAGGGATCTGCCAGACGACTTCTGATATCTTTCGCAGTTCTTCCTCTACCTATGTCTGTCAAGGGTCAGAAGTCTCCCGACGTTGTTCGACCTCCTCTATCGTCTGACGCGTCTGTGAAGCTCGTCAAATGCCTCGGAACGTAGTTCAACCTCGTTCTGCTGGCGTGGGCTGTTTCCACAATAGCCCATCAAGACTCTTGGCGTACGTGTAGCCCAACTTCAAGGGTCTCTAGGGAGTGTCGCAGCGCACGGGAGCCTGTTTGTACGCCCTGATACGCATTATTTGCCATGAAAGCGGACCGTACGCGAGGGCAGTATGTGTCGCTGCCCAATGCTTGGGACTACTAACCGTGAGCAAACGTCTGGGGCGGTCGGGGCACGCTAGAGAGCGACAGGCCCAACCCTTCAAGCTCCCGGCTTCTGTTTGCACATCAGAGCATGTCATCTATGCAATGCAAATCTGACGTCTGCTCCGTACATCGAGCCTCCTAGTCCACTACTCGTCCGTGTGGCCCATAACATGTACTGCAATATAGGCGCTTCTTTGGGGCGGCAACACATTGCACACCGGCCATTGGTATACCACTGAGCTAGCCCTAGTGGGTTATAGTGCAGCACACTGCCATTTGAGACTATACTTAGCCGCGGAGGTCGAGCCACGCTTGATCTCAGCCTATCAACCTGCAGGGACTTTTAAACTCGCCAAGTTTGTCTGACCCGCTACGTCGAACGCGGCTGCTTTTCGGTCTAAAACAAGGCAGTTTTTCACAGGTCGCCCAGTCTTCAAAACTTTTATATGCCCCCACGGGTCCATCCGCCCATCAGGGAACATCTCATCCTCAGTTGCCACATCGGTCTATGCATACGGTTGCATCTCCCAAGGTAGCATCAGTGCTTGGGTGAGAATAGCATGTCTTTGCCTGCTTTGCCGAGGTCGAAAGTCCCATCTGTGACACGCGTGGGCTTCGATGTCACCACTGCGGTGTGCTCGTGCAGCTGCGTGGGCATGTTGGCCTTCGGAGAGGTGTTGGTGATACTTGCCCTTGTCGGGACCCTCAATGGCCACAAGGACGGACTAGGCCAGTCGGGTGATTCTGCTTCCCCGTAAGGACCCGGACCCGTTCAGCGCGGATGATGCATCGACAAGGAACTGGGAAACGTTTTTACAGTTCTGGCAGTTATTCCAGTCCGCACGCTGAGTTACTGAATCTTGACAATACAGCGTAGCGAAACACCAGGAGTCTTTCCCAGAGACACTCGCTCAATGGGCTTTCAACAACATCAAGCAGCGTGTAGTCGCGATCGGCTACTTATGTTGTGCTGTTTTGTATTTCCAAGGGGCAGGACGAGAATCCTGAAAATGCGGCGTAACGAAACACCAGGAATCTTTCCCAGGGACACTCGCTCAATGGGCTTTCACCAACATCAAGCAGAGTGTAGTCGCGATCGGCTACTTATGTTGTCCAACCTTCTTTGTCCAAGTGGCAGGACGCCAAGAGCAGCCGTTTCAGCCTGAGATTTGAACTTGCGAGCCCTTCTTGTCGAATGTACAGTCGACTCCGAGAGCCGTGAGCAAACCTGTACCCTCAGACATGTACGCACCCCATTATGGTGGCTGCGACGCATTTGTCGCTTCATACAGCAGCAGGCCGACTCACGAACATCGATTGTGTATGGCAGTTATTCGCGACAGCCCGAGGGTCGGAGGGAGCCTGTGCTTATTCCCAGCTTTCACACGGTCGGTCGATTGTGAGCTTGCCGCCTCAAACAATGGGGTCGTCGGCCAAACTTTTAAAAACTGGAATGGTGATTGGCGTGACAGTCACGTGATATGTCACCGTGGGAAAGCTCGCTCCGCCCGATCCCGTGACCGCCCATGTGTCACTTCAGTCATTCACGCTCGTGTGGGTCCTATCGGTTAAAACGCCTCCGCGCAATTCGCTACACGTCATAAATGGAGGACACCCTCGTCCCCGTTTGTTATTGACACTTGTTTGTTTATCATCGAATCCATGGTACATCGCTTTCGTCATGGACGACATCTTCGACTCGACTTTTCCGCAAGGCAACGCGGCTGCCGCACCGACGCACGAGCACCACACTGCTGCTGGCGATGAACATGCTATCATCAATGAGGGCAGCAACCTGCCGGATGCTGCAGCCCACGAACAACCACTTCGCGGCAAAGCGGCAACTCAGGGGCTGACGGTGGAGGAGAAGAAGGAACGGCAGAAGCTGCAGAATCGCAGGGCCGCTGAGAGGAGCCGTAACAAGAAGCGCGAAGAGCTGTGAGTCTGGGGCGTCCAACGCAGCTAATCAGTGCAGCACGGCGCTCGAGATGACCGTGAACAATATCCAAGACGAGAACAATCGATTGCGCGCCAGACTCTCGACGCTGCTCGCATCCAAGTCTGCCGAACAGCCCCCATCTTCGGGAGATCAGGAACTGATTACGGGCACTCCAGTTGATTATTCGCACCTCGGGAAACTGCAGGCGGAACTGGCTTCAGCCAAATCGACATTGATGGATCGCGAGATGGAGCTTAGTCGCATTCAGGGAGGGGGAGACGAGGACATCGAGAAGCTGCGCCGCGATGTTGCTCAACAGAATACTGCCCTGCAAAACACACAAGCTGAGGTGAAAACTCTGCATGCTCTCATCAAGCAACTACGCTCCGAACGCGACAATCTCGCCCGCCAAAAAGACGTCCTCACCCGTGAGATCGAAGCCCGACGACTTCTCCGAGATTCCTCGGGTGAAACTCCCAGTCTGTCTACCAACGCTCGAGCTGCAGGTGTCGAGCGAGCATTGCTCGAGCTTCGCGGCCTCATAGATGGTGTTATCCGATCATGGGATCAGGCAAGTCTGACTCGGTACCGCGCTGCTGACGTTGCAGGCCGCACTTTTGCCCAACAAACTTCACGATGAGAACGTCTAACCCTTGTGCACTTCTGCGCACAATGTATAAGAGTATGCATATGTAAATCTAGTGTTACGATTCTGTTGTTACAATTGAGGTAATCAAGGGAGAACCAAAAGTCTCTTGAGGAACTGCCAGGTAGCAAACGAGATGCTGGTCATGGGGATGACCTTGATGTAGCCAATGCTCAAGCCCACAAAGAAGCCTCGCCATCCGCTGGCTTTGTAGATTGAGCCAACAGCCTGTCTCCAGTTGATACCGGGACCGCCGCGGGCGCCTCCTACCTGCATCCGGCGACGTACGACCTCGAAGGGGTAACTGCACGTCTGGCTGATGAGGCCTGCCACTGCTCCGCACAACAGGTCCCGCTGGGTTGGTCGAGCGCGGAGGTACGGTACATATTTCGGCAAATGCGTCTTGAGGGTGCCGTACGTCAAGAAGGACACGCCCGCGTAAGGGATCATCCCCAGCAATGTGACCGAGAATCCGCGATAAAATGGGTAGAACGGCAGAGCACGGGTAAATGGCGACACGCCCGGGTTCCCTCGAGCCTCCTCGTATATCGAACGAACGGCATGGCGCAACGTCGGTCGCTCCGTGCCCGATGTTTGGTAAGCCATGCGCACTCTTACGAGCTCCATGGGGTAGGTCAGCATCACGGCAGCAACACCGGACGTTGCTCCTGCCAGGAAAAATCGGCCTGGTGTCCGCTTGTCGGGGGTAGGGATCAAGATCTGACATCAGCACAATCCAAAGGCGACGCACACCTTTTCAATCCAGTCGTAGAACATGAACTTGATACCGGCATAAGGGAACACTCGAAGCAATGTTGCCGAGTGCCCTTGAAACAGGCCCAAAACCCCGTCGTCCGGTATATCTTGCCCATAGCATGGATCAAACCAGCAGGCGTGCCTGTTGTAAGTAGTGTTCTCGCTCATGTCAGCCGTACCTGCATATTTCCGAAAGTCGGAGTTCGAGGTTTGAAACAAGATCTTGACCCGATCCAGTGGAGCGATTGCCGTCTTGGCCTACGCTGGTGAGCATGACTCCAATGGCGTCTATAATAAGCCTTGAGCACTTACCACACAGCCAGCAATGCCGCCGACGATCCCACTCGTGATAACTGAGGGTCGTTAGGAGGTCACGAGAGCAGCGTCTCCACCACAAAACGCACTGTAGTCCCAACTTGACTTGTCGGTTTTCGCCCGATGTCGACTCTCAAGCCATGCTTGCCTGAGATCTGAAGGTCGCTGAAGGTGGACGGTGTCCATATCTCTCGCTGGAGACACCTTGTCTCCTGCGGAGTGGCTCGCCATAGTGAGGAAGATGTAGAGATGACGGTTGTAATGGCAAGAAAACAGGCGGAAGGATCATGGCCCGCTGGGCGCGCCGGCCGGTTCATGGACGCCGGTAAGCGAGAGCGAATGCCGAGGTGGACATTGTTAAGCACCTCGCCCGAGGAATGACACGTGTAAAATGTCACGTGCTCTGCGGACGCGCGTTGCGTCAGTTACCAACCTCACCTCATCATCATCATCATCTCCCCCTACAGAACGACCTCTACAGACATTCTTCAGCATGGCGGACGACAGCGTTCCTTTGCCTTATCCGAACCTTAAAGTTCCGCAGTGGCAATACCAAATTGCCAGTGTCCCGCGACTCCGCGATGCGGCCAGCACGTCCTTCTGGGAAGCGGTGGAGAAAGACGGTGGGTTTGGACGGTCCCGCCCTAACCAGCTGACGGCAAGAGATGGCGCCTTACCTGCGCACACTCTCAGTCCAGCCTCCCAAGACTGATCTTCTTCCCCAACTGGAGGAGCGAAACGCCGCGGAATTGAAAACCCTTGAAGACAAGCTGAAGGATGCTGAGGAGAATCTGGGAGAAAGCGAAGTGTCAGAGCTGCTGCGGGCCAAGGCCATGTATCTTTGTCGCATCGGCAGCAAAGTGAGTAATGCTGTTCTGATCAAGCTAACTGTGTTAGGAGCAGGCTGTCCCTGCTTTAGAGACAGCGTTGGAGAAGACGACGGGACTTGGGGCGAGGATCGACCTCGTCCTCGCCCTCGTGAGGATGGGCCTCTTCAGCTCCGACGTCCAGTTGGTCACTGCAAACATTGACCGGGCAGCCAAGTAAGTCAAGTGCTTTGGAAAGCCGTTAACATCAGGCTCATCGATTCCGGTGGCGATTGGGACCGACGTAACCGACTGAAGGTGTACAAGGCCCTGCACCTTCTTTCGATTCGTGACTTCAAGCAAGCGGCCGAGCTGTTGATCGATTCTTTGTCTACTTATACGGCCACAGAACTGATGGAATACGAGGAGTTTGTCGCGCTAACGGTACTCGCTGCCGCTGTGGGCTGCGACCGTAAGACGTTGAAATCCAAGGTGAGCTTCCCTGCCAGGCTCGCTTCTGACGTGGAGATTCTGTCCAGCTCCGAGGTCAACAGCTGTGTATCTTCGATTACCCCTCTAACTACGATGGCCGACTCTCTCTACAAAAGTAGTTACGCGGCCTTCTTCGTTGCTCTCGCCGACGTAGAGCAGACGTACCTGGTGACCAACCCTATTCTTGCCCCGCATGCCCGGTACTATGTGCGAGAGATGCGCATCAAGGCATACCAACAGCTTCTGGAGAGTTACCGCAGTCTTACGCTGGAGCGGATGAGCCGCTCGTTTGGTGTCAGCGAGGCATTCATCGACCGTGACCTTTCTCGATTCATTGCGAGCGGACGTATCGCTTGCACGATCGACAAGGTCAGCGGCGTGATCACAACCGACAAGCTTTCCTCCCAGAACAAGACTGCCATCTATGAGCAGTTCCTGAAGCAGGGTGACCTGCTGCTGAGCGGTATGTTGCAGAGTCGTAATATTGCGAAAGCTAACCCACCCAGACATGCACAAGCTCCACCGCGTTGTAGGATAGACGCGTCGCGTGGAACAGTAGAGGTAGTGGCCATAGTAGATTGTGATGCGAGAAGCCTGTACATTATTTTGTGAGCGATGCAGGAGTTGAACCCTCAAATCCACTAAATCTCTGGAACCTGAGATATCACCGGGTCCAAACTCGGGATCATGGTTGTTTTCATCACCTTCCATGGCGTCACATCTCAAGCGCGTACGTCCACCGTTTCCACACGGGTGGTCGTCACTTCCTGTGACGCCGTCTAACCTGACTCTCGCCAACACTTTGCCGGTCGGTCAGTCATTTCTTTGGCATCGGCATGCTCTGCCGGAGAGCGGAAGTGAGATCACGGAGGAGTATTCGAGAGCGATTGACTCCCCACCCCGCGTTGTCTGCCTGCGACAGTCACCAACGCACATCTATTACACAGCGGTCTCGGCGACTCCGTCGACTGCCTCGCCAGCAGCTGACGACACCCGCTTGTGGCTCGAAGACTATTTTCAGCTGTCGCAGTATCCCGACCTCACGAAACTGTATCAGGCATGGGAGGAGCGAGATCCGGCTCTCTTCGGTAAAACAGAACTGAACGCGAAGGCTGTCGGTGTGCGCGTCTTGCGTCAGGACCCTTGGGAGTGTCTGATAGCGTGCGAGAATCCTGTACGCTTGCCGCTGACCTCTACAGCTTTATCACATCGACCAACAACCACATCACGCGCATATCCTCGCTGCTGCACAAACTCTGCATCGCGTTCTCCTCACCAGTCCTCACGCTCGATAACCCGGACGGGCAAGGACAAACTACCTACCACCTGTTCCCGAGAGCTGAGCACATCCCTTTGATCGGCCTCGAACAGGTTCTACGAGATCTTGGGTTTGGCTACAGGGCTGCCTTTATCGCGTCGACACTCAACTCATTGCGCGTCTTTGACAATGTTGATGAGGAGCTCGCTCGATGGCGCGCGGCCCCGCTGGAGGAGACGCGTGGACGCCTCCTTGAGCTTAAAGGAGTGGGCCGCAAGGTAGCAGACTGTGTGCAGTTGATGTGCATGGATCAAGTGGGTCGGTGCTCTGCGACGTGCTGACGTTGCTCAGTTGTCTCTCGTCCCCATCGACACCCACCTGCACAAGATCGCCATGCGTCACCCTTCGTTTCCTTCGAGTCTCAAGGCTAAGCGTATGTCACCAGCTATCTATGGCGACGTCCAATCATTCCTCGCCGAGTGCTGGGGTCCCTGCGCCGGCTGGGCCCAAGCCGTCATGTTTGCCAAAGCTGTCCAAGCTGGTGGCTCTTCGAGAGTCGCAACGAGCAACGCAGACTCTGTTGGAGTGAAGATGGAGGACGCGGACTCGAGCACACTCGTTAAGCGAGGCTCGGAGGAGATGCTCAGCATCGGCAACCCGAAACGGATACGCAGGGCAACCAGCCATGCTCGCAGCAAGAGATAATTCATTGGAAGCGTAACGTAAGAACGAGAGCTTTGCATACGGATTGGTGTCATCGCGGGGCCGTGCTCGTCTACACGAGGTAGGCAAGAGCGATAACGAAGTAAAGGACGATGACTGGCTGTCAGCAGGGTCCGACAGGTTCGAACTCACGGAAAACACCTTCGAGGTAATTCGTGCTGTGAGGAGGCGTGTCAGTAATTGTACGGCTGTTAGGTATGCATGACTTACCGGCCTGGACGTGTAAGATGAGGACGAAAGGGGAGGAAAGACACGGTCAGCAAGGTTGAATAATCTGAAACGGAAGTACGCACCGTCCTGGAGCAGTAGGTTGACGAGCATGACCGACACAAACAGGACAATGGTCTCGAACGTGGTGAAGTCAAGCGTAAGGTCCTTGTTCATGGGCCAGGCAATGATGACCAGAAGAGGGATCATACCGGCTGCGATCTGGATACTCGATCCGACCGCAACGCCGATAGTGAGCTCCATCTTACCCTTGCAGGCCATCCACACGGAGGTGACGTGCTCGGCCGCGTTGCCAACCTGGACGTCAATGACGCACCGCACAAGCTGCTCACAAGAGGGAGAAGGATGAGACCGATGAACCTGAAAACGTCAGACCCAATATAATCCTGTCAACTCACTGAGAAGGAAGGTGCCATTGTTGGGCGGTCTCGTCAATGCTGCCGACCAAAACATCGGCGGAGAAAGCGGTGACAACAGTAACGATGCACAACCAGATGGCCGAGCTCCACTTGTCCATGGTCGGGGTCTCCTCCTCGTCCTCCTCGGCCTCAAAGAGATTGGCGTGAGTGCGGAGCTGGAAGACAAGGTAAGCGAGGTAAGTAAGGAGGAGCAGAACGGCGGTTCCGCGGGAAAGCGTGAGCAGGCCGGGAAGAGAGGGGTCGTCAGATGGAGTCGATTTACCAGCTCCCTCGAACCAACCGCCGGTCTTGTTCGAAAGGTGATCTGCAGTGAGCTCGGCGGCGTCATTTATACTCACAAGCGGCGGGAATGATAAGGGTGATGCAGGACAGGCTCATGAGCGACACACTGGTCTGTGCCGCTGTGACCTGGAAGGTCGACTCGTGGAAGTAGAATCCCGAGGCAAAGAAGCTCATTCCGAGGACCAGAAGAAGATTGGAGAGAACGCTGCCCAGAAGAGAGGTCTGCACCAGGCGTAACTGGTTCTGGGTCAGGGCGACGATGGCAACGATGAGCTCCACGGCGTTTCCGAAGCTGCGCCACACGTCAGTAATCGGGGATTTCTTTGGCTGTTGCTCACGATGCGTTGAGGAGACCACCGAGAGTCTGGCCCATCTTCATCGAGAGCTGTTCAGTGGCATCGCCGAGGAGCTGTAAAGTCAGCGCCCGTGTCGGTTGTAGACAGCAAGCGTGGTGCAGTTATCTCACCTTGGCCAAGGGAATGATCGCAAGGAACGAGGTAATGAAACGGTAGGATGCGGGCCAGTCAGCGTGCTCCGAGTAGAGACTGAGGGGCACGGCGATGAGGAGGGCGTTCATCCACGATCCGAGAAGGAGATACTTGGTCGAGTGAATAAAACGCATCCGCTCCACACTGGGTGCTCCGTTGGCACCCAGCAGGGGGGAGCTTTCATGAGGAGGCATTGCGAGTTTGCTGAGTTAGAAGGAGTGACGGATGTTGGATCGAAGAGTGAAAGTATGGAGTGAGTTGGATGAAGACAGGGTGGTGTTTGTGGATCCGGGGATGAGGGAAGGAGTGGACTGTGCCCGGAGCGTGATCAGTAACACCTTGTAATCCACCGAGGGCACTCAATACAATTGGATGGGGCCTCCGCTGGGGAGTGTCTGGACTGCGACGCGGCTGAGCATACGACGATCTGGGGGCTGGCGGAACTGGACCAGTCAAGATGCAGAGGCCAGAATGCACAGCCTGAGGCATGTCAATATGCGCTCCACGGCCCCAAGCGAAGTGCGATGTGGGACCTGGGCGGCAGCGGAAATGGCAGTAGATAGAGCGTGTGCGCGGAGCGCCAGGTCCGAGGAGTTGAGGGACGATCTGGGGGCGGTAATTAAAACCTTGCCAAGGCGCGCCAGCCCGCTCTTCGTCTGCCTCTGGTGCTCGACCGCTCTAGTCAGTCAGTCATCCTGTCGGTAGACACAAGGCAGGTGGCCGCCAGGCGGCACTAGTGATTCCGAGACGCCGAAGCTTGGCGACCACGAACGATACATCATGATGTAAAGCACAGACGCCACACGTCAGTTAGGCCAGGACATCTTTCTCTGGTGCATCTACATGTTGCCTTTCATCGCCTAGTCTGTCCAGTCTCAGCAACCTAGGCAAAACCGTGTGGTAGACGACGGCCGCATCGCGAGCCTGTAGGGGAGGTGCGTGGGGTGACGTCCCGGGCCCCCTCCATGACGTAAACAACCTACCACCCACACAATCACGCCGAGCACCGTCGAGTGTAGAGTCGCGTGGTGATCCTGGCTGTATTTCGCGATTGGGGAGCCGGGATGAGTGGGGCTGGTGGTGGTCAATTGGGTGGGTCCTAAGCCGCCCGGCAACTGCCCTGCGAGCCCTGGGTGTCGCAACAGTTGTCCACAGCCATCCCATCCAAACGTTTTGCAAGGGCTCAGTGACAGCACCAAGGTATGCGCGCAGGATGTCTAACGATCGCCGGTACAAAATGTCAGAGATGCAGCACGAGTACCCGACGTACCCGACGTGGATCCAACCGCGGCTCAGACGGTGGAGACACAATGACGTGCGCTGCATGCGTTGCCAAATATGTAGGCGCACCAGTGAGATACGGCCGCCTATGTGTGGGAGGAGGACCGCATAGGGGATCGCAACCACGCGTGAGCAGTGGCGCACGGACGCAACGTTAGCGCATCTAGGACAGCACTGCTCAGTGGATGGGTCCGCTAGCTACCAAGAGCCCTCCACCGCGTCAATCTCCTGGCTTTCCCCACCACATTATCAACGTTCTGCTTCTTCACATGTAACGATCCACCTCACTTCGACCACCTCGTCAAACCTTGGGTTACCGAGCCGCGTACCGCGCTTCATACAACACGGACAGAAGCGGTAGTCAGCTCTATCACACCCCAGTGGAGAGCGAAACCGACCAACTCTGCAAGAGGTCCTCACTGGACCTTCTCGCACACCGCTGACTCACTACATCCCGCCGTTGGCTGAATCTGCGTCGGCAGCACGCTCTCATTCTATCCACCACTCCATCGTTGCCCTCTCCGATCATCGAATGCTTGTGGACTTGTCAACGTCGCCTACGGCGATTCCTTGACGGGTGACATTTCCTCGACACCGGCGAACATGCCCGCGCGGCTTTCTACGAGACCATGCCTCTCGCTCGGGGAGCCCGAACAATCGGGCTCACTCGAATTCACAAAGCAGCCCTTAGCTGCTGTCCCAGGCTCCGACAGTGAAGCTCTGAGCAGCAGTGACGGGAATGACCTGCCTCGACCACTGTCCTTGCTTACGAGTCTGCTGTCGTCACCCAAGAGCGGGGAACGGGGAAAGCGCTGCGACCACCTGTCTGGTCCTTCTGCCTCCTCCTCCCCCCCTTCGACTGCATTTGGGAGCCCCCGGATAAAGGAGGAACCTGTTTCCATACTGCGTCGAGGCAGTATCTCAGACGGCGAGGTTTTCCATTTGCCATCCGCCAAGGCAACCGCGGCCCCGTCCACGCCAGAAGAGGTCCGGGTGCTGTCATCGGTATGGACCCTTGCGTTACTGAAACTGACTGCAGCCACCGCGTCCGGCGCTCAAATTTGCTGTAGCGACGCGCCAGTCTCCCCACAGACCGCACTGTGTCGCAGACTTCCTTGACACTCATGAACCTCTGGACCCGGGGTATGTCGAGGATTCAGAGGACGGCATGTCGGATTCTGAGGAGGACGAGCCAGCCTTCCTTCTAAACTCTCGCAACCTAGCTCTGGACAAGGCATTGTCCTTGCTGGAAAACAGAACCAAGTCTCCCCCTCCTCCGCGAATATATCGCCCAAATCATGCCTCAGACAAGGCGATCGAAGGCCGCGGGAGAGCTCACGTTCGAGTGGACCCATCGGCAGTGCAGAGCCACAACAGTTGCTCTCGCCACTGCAGTCCCCCGCCAGCGGAACCGGAACCGCTGCGACCCGCCCTTCCCGGCCCTCGCGAAGGTAGGGCCGGCAGCCCTGCTCCTTCGCAGGACATCCTGTCCTATTTGGCGGATGAGGAGGACGAGGACGACGAAGGATCCGAGGAAAGCGGTGAAGAGAGCTCCGAACCTCGACCTGCCTCGCGAAAGGATGCGGTACAGCAGGGGCAATCCGCTGAGGTGTTCGACTCTTCAGACGAAGAACCCACCCGCGGCTTGCGTCACATGTTGCGACGGGCATCCGAACATATCCCAGCTTTCCGCAGACGCTCTTTCGGCTGGACAGTTGGCGATAACGGAACGAGTCGCTCCTCCGCAGAGCTGACTCCAGCGGCTGGGAATGTCCTGCGGGCCCGTTCGCTCTCTACGGGCCCTATCCGCATCGGTGGCAACGGTTCGGCTACTTCGGGGGTCCGCAGCCAGCCGTTGCCCTGTCCTGGTCGACCCTCCATGAGGACTTCGGTTGACAGTTGACCTCGACACTCTTTAACGAACCGTTCATGACCACCTGTTGTATTGTTTACATTTTTACCTGGCGATGTATTTGCATGTGAGCTGGATGATAGTCGACCACCTATTTGAACCAGAGCCGTCGGACCATGTCAGGTGATACGTAGTGTGGAGCCCCACTTGAGGCTCCTGACAGCGGGGTCAGGTGGTCCCGACCTCGATCTATCACTACTCCGCCTTCCCGGCACATCACATCACATCACACTCCTGTTTCCACGCTCAACATCTTTCTAACAGCGCTGAGCTCGCAAAACTTGCGTTCTTCTCCAACTCTGATCCTGTATCGTCCAAGTCAATCCCTCTTCAGCCTTTGCCGTCGGAAAGCACATCAAGTCCGATGACGTCTCCGGGCCAAGCCGATACCTTCCCGCGAGCCAGGCGTCCTTCCCTCCAAATGCCTGGAGCTTCTCCTCAAACCGGCTCCTCGCCTCGTGCCATACCGAGCACTGCTTCATCCCCGAGGTCCGCATCCATCAGCACGTCCCCCCGTGCTGTTCCGGTGGCCGCATCTCCACGAGCTGTCCCGCTCCCCGTTCCGCAGCGCCATGGCAGTGTCAACCGCGGGTCATTCGGCTCGTTGTCGGAAGCCGCAGCCTTCTCTCCTCGCCAATGGAACTCTCACCGAAGAGGTTCGGGGTCCTTGAGCGGATCGGTATCTCTGAGCAGCTCTTTCGTATTAGAACCGGAGATGACCGACCAGACGGACGGCTGGCTAGACGTTCCGGCTGCTGACGTAGCGAAAGAAGCCGCCGTTGTGGTGGCCGGAGACATGGGTCTTGAGCAGGCAACAGAGGTATGTTCCGTCTGTCCAAATGTAGCTGACCAAACCCCAGATTCTTCTGGAGAGTCAAGATCCCAGCATACTGGTGCAAAACGGCTCTACTTTCGGGCTGTTCGATGTATGTCGAGTCGTTGATGTACCCTAACGCTGCAGTTTGCCGATCTCAACACTGTGCTGCTACTTGTGCTGGCGTCTGCTGCCCAAGTCTCGGTAGACATTCTGGATGATCGCTCCAAGGACGTGGTCTCTCGCTTGAAGCGCGGCATTCGTGTCAGTGTCGGAGCCGTGTGCGGTATGTATAGCCGCTTTAATCTTGCTGATGACATGCAGACATATCACAGAAGAACCCCTGTCACTCCTTTCCGCCAGAGACACCGCTCAGTCGACTGCTTCCACTGTTTGCCTCTGGAATTCATCGCGTTGTTTTGTCCTCGAATCCTCCTAGGATCCTGAGTGACGCTCTACTACTCGCCTATCTTGTCCGTCGGCCGCCAACCTTGTTCCGCAAAGCACTGCAGGAGATCAACGTACCTCTGCATCCTCTCGTCTCACTTCCCGCGTCGTCATCGGTTCTCGATGCCATGCAGGTCATGAGCTTGAATGGATTGAGCGCTCTCGGTGTTGTCACGGGGACTGGAGAGCGCGAAGGCGAGTTGTGTGCCCTGACGGGCGTTGTCACGACAGCCGACTGTGCCAGGCTTGTGGTTCCCAGTGAGGGCAAGCAAGCGCTCGGTATGGGCTTGGGAGACATGTGCAAGAATGTTCTCGTGGGTCACCCAGAAGGGCGTGATCGTGGCGAGGAGCGTGTACCTGGTTAGTGACGGTCGAGGGGGTTATTACTTACAGCAGTTCATACCATCACACCCTCCATGACTCTACTTCACGCTGCTAATCTCATTTTGGCGACATCTTCCTCGCGTGTCTTCATGCGTACACCTCCAGCAGCCTCTCCACCGCTTTCTCCCGTATCCGCCGCCGACCAGTCCCCCATTCCTTCCCCGCCGATTGAGGCTGGATCACTCGGCCTCCCAGCACCTCCGTCTACGCAACTGTCTCCGCAGTATGTCATCTCCATTGTTGACATTCTCTCCTGTCTCGCTCGGTACAGCCAGGCCAAGCTCGGTCCCCTGGATCTCAGTGACGCGCAAGACTCGTGGGAGATGTCGCCCGACAGCATTAGCAAGCGCCGCCGCCGCGCGAGCAGTACCTCGGCGTTCGCCGGCTTTGAGACATGGCGCTGGGCCAACAACCCTATGAATGGGTAGCGATTCATGGTGCACACTCTTTGAACAAACTGTAAGAACGATTCAGGCTACCTACATCACCATAAACTAGAATGCATGGAGTACGATATCTAGCCGCGATCGACGAATCGTTTCAAGAATGACGCAACAGTAGCGAGCGTGAACACTCCCCCACCCCCAAAGGTGGCCACCCAATCGCGCCAGCGCCTTTGGTCAACGTTATTCCGAGTCTCGTACTCACAACTGCTGCACTGGGACAATCTCAAAGGCGGGAGGCGCGTCCGGCACGGGTGGTTCGTGAGACCACTGCTCGAGCAAGGCCTCCTTTTTGGCCCAAATGCCACGGAGCCATAGCTCGAATTCGCGTGTTTCTTCTGGCGTCGCTGCTTCGCCTGCCCTCAGATCGTTCAGCGCAGGAACGTCCCCACCCGTTTTCCCAAGATTCGTGTGCAGGTGAAGATGTATGCGGACGGTCGGAGGTGGTACCGAACGGAAAAATACCGACGTCAGGCTGTACCACTCTTGCGGATATTTGCCAAAGGGCACCCCTGGGTAGCCGATCGTCACATCCAGAAGTTGCAGATCGGGCACAGCGGGAAGCAATGTTCTGAGACAGAACAATAGTCCAGTCAACCTGGGGTGCAGTACGCCCACAAAGTCGTCCTGAGCAAGTCAGCAGCACCAAGCAGTACTTGCTCACAATGCTCTCGCGTTGCGCATAACGCAAACTCTTCGCCCTTTCGTTATCACTTGTGATGGTTCCCTCGGGAAAGATGACAAGCCACAGCGGATGCCGCTTGCCCCGCTCGTATGTAGCCTGTGCAATCCGTTTTAAGGAATGAGTGAGATTCAGGCGGTCCGCCGCCCATGAGCGCTTCAAAAAGATGAACCTGAAGAATTGCTGGCTGTCAGCGATGGCTCGCTTGCTCGGTGTCAAACTCACCATACCCCATCCCACAAAGGGAACGTGCTTCAGGCTGGCTTTCAGCAGGATCGTTATGCCCTCTGCGGTCCCAGAATAGCAGGCAAGTATCCACAGGAACATCCAGTCTGTGTATGCCTGGTGGTTGGCCATCACAATGAGATGATCCGGAAGGTTGAGCCGCGTCACCTGGCCGTCTGCATCTCGCTGAACGATCTTTTCCAACTGCAACGGTGAATCCGCCGTTATCACGAAAGAAGTCGGCGCGCAAAGTGTTGTGATCGCGATCACTGGGATCGTTCAGCGTTGGGATAACCTTCGACGTTGGGAATACTCACAGAGTCGACCGAAGCCATCTTTCGTCCAATCAATGGAGGAGCGATAGAGCCGTTTCCCGGTGTCGCCAGGAATAAGCTTGAAGAGCAGGCACAGGAACTGCAGCGAATTGAGCCCCAGAATGCCCAAGTTGAAGACGACCGGGAACAGGATCTTGGAAAAGAGGGGCCCATAGCCAGGAGGGCGTCTGTCGATGGGGACTGTGTACAATGGAGTGGGCGCAGTCATGGCTGTGTTACGCTCCAGGGAGCGAGGGAGTGTTTGCCTCGTAGGTGGCAAAAGGAATACGCGTCGTGGTTTATAACGTGCTCACTAGTGTGACAGGAAGGCGACCCCCAAAGATATGACGTTGGCCATTCCTGGAGCCCCATGCAGGGCTAGCGGGGCGGGGCACGGATCCGGCGGCCACACATGACAGCCGCAAATTAGTCTTTAGCAGCATGGCGGCACGCTTAGCCTTGGCACGAGTGCCCGCACGCGTGCGGACAACGTATGCACAATGCAATGTGAAGTGTCTCACGTCAGTGGCGGAGCTGCGATCAGACTGAGTGCAACCATGTTTCTCAAGCGTCACTGTCATCTCACGTGCAGGGATTGTACAAGATGCACAGTCATACGGATTATGGTCCAGCATGTGCAAACGACTGAGCATCTGTATTAAACACGGCCGGCGTGCGCCCCAATCCGCCCGTCGACAATGAACACTGGTGCGCACGGTCTCCCGCACGGTCACTCAACATGAGGAGGAAGAAGCCAAAAGACGGCCGCGAGGAGAAGCGGTGACAACTTTTCTCTCAGCGTACACTGCACTACCGATAACATGGGCCTTCCTCACAGCGCACACGCCGCCGTCGTGCTCTTCATGACATTGACCGGGTTCATTCTGAGGTGAGCCGAGTGGGTGACGAGGCACCCAGCTGACGTCGACGCAGCATCTTGATCGTCTTCTCCGGCCCATTCGTCCCAGGCATCTGGTTTGTGAGGACCGAATCAGCGGGGCAATTCACAACCTTTGGTGTGTACGGCACTTGCAACGAAACAGCTTGTACCAGACGCAGAGGCGGCTATGAGTAAGTCAGAAACGAGAGTTAGCTCAATCTGATTTGCTCGTAGAGTGTCAGGGGAGGCCGTGGCAAACCGGGCCATGACGGGGCCCATGGTCATGTGGGCTGTTGGTGAGTCACGCTTGCCGATCGATCTGACTTGCAGTCGCAGGCCTGGGCTTCATAGCCGTGCTACTCTCCATACCGCTGGTATTGGCGAAAGACGTGCCGGCAGCGCGTCCGGCCGTGAACCCTCTTATTCACCGCGCCGTGATGGTGGGTACTCGCGGTCGTTGGTGACACGCTCACTCGTCAAGGCCCCAGTGGTCCTTATCGGTTTCACAACATGGATCATCTCCGTTGTCGGCTGGAGCATAGTATTGCGAGCCTCGCACATCGAGGGTGGCTCGGGAAAACTTGGGCCCGCAATCTGGATGGGACTGGCTTCTGTTCTCGCGTCGTTGATGTGGGTGAACGCACTAACAGAGATGCTTACCTGCGCAGTGCAATGGTGCTCGGAGTTCCCACTGACGCCGGACCTGGCACCGTCGATATGAACCCTCCTTCGATGCTACAGCCCGAAGCAGGGAGAATGGCTGGGGCAGCGCTCGCACCCCGCGACGGGTACTGGCACTACAAGCACACGACCCGTATCGTCGAGGAGTAAACAATGTTAAGTGATAGCATGCGCACGATGCAAGTGGTGATCGACGTCGCGCGCCCTGAGCACAACGTGAAGCCGAAGGTTTCCATGAACGGATTTCCCTGCCCCAACAACCCAATACCAGGTCTTCGAGTGCCGCGGAGCTGCTTGCCGACCTTATCAATTGAGGGTGGGCCCAATCACGCCGTCGTCTACCGCGCGGAAATAGCTGGCAAACGGACCTACGTCATACCCTGTTACCAGCTGGGTGGCAGCCGTCCTCGGTCATCCTTCCGCACGCTATAACTCGACGTTTCATCGCAATCTTCATTCTCTCACTCACCGTAGCAGCTACATCTACCTCTTCTACCTCTTGGAAGGCCTTCAGCAACTCGCATCAGATCGCCCAACATGTCCAAGACCACTACAGCGGCTCAGGGCCAGTCCCTCACCCCCAACTTCACCGCCGTCGACTACTCCAAGGTGCGTGGGACCATCTGCGCCCTCACTAACGCTGCATTCAGTTCTTCTTGGCCGGCGCACTCTGCTGCACTCTGTAAGTGTGTTTGCTTGGCCACCGCTAACGATGCACAGCTCCCATGGTGCGATGACGCCGATTGACGTCGTCAAAACCCGTATCCAGATCGACCCCTCACTCAAGGGCCAAGGTCTGCTCAGCGCCGGCCGTTCTATCGTCGCAAAGGAAGGCGCCGGAGCTCTACTGACGGGCTTCGGCCCCACTGCTGTTGGTTATCTGTGAGAGGTTCGCGGCGTTCTGTGGAACAGAGACGCTGCAGGAGTTGAAGAATGTGTAGAGCTGACATGACAGACTCCAGGGCGGTGCCAAGTTTGCTGGTTACGAGGCGGCTGTGAGTTAAGCCTCGTTGCGCAGTTCTCGGCTGACGCGCATACAGAAGAAGTACCTTGTCGATGCGTGCGGTTCGTACGACGAAGCTGTCAAGCATCGTACGGCCATCTACCTCGGAGGTGCCGCAATCGCCGAGTGAGTAGCAATCCACCTCCGACAACGGTCCCTGACGTGCCTCAGATTCTTCGCCGACATTCTTCTCACGCCCGCCGAGGCTACGCGTATTCGTCTCGTGTCTGACCCCAAGGTTCGTGCAGAAGTAACAGTGCTTGGCTGACTAGCAGTATGCCAACGGTCTGTGGTCTGGTTTCACCAAGATCCTCCGCACTGAGGGTCTCAGCGGCCTCTACGCCGGCTTCATCCCCATTCTCTGCAAGCAGATCCCTTACGCTATCGGACAGTTCACTGTCAATGAGCGCGCCACCGAGGCGATTTACAACTCCATGAGCAAGGAGACCCGTGAGAACCTCTCGGAGCCGGCGCAGTTCGCCATCACCCTCACTTCCGGTATCATCGCCGGTTTCGCGGCTGCCATTCTCTCCCAGGTGCGTAGGTAGCCTACTCCCGTGTGCTGACATCAGCCCGCCGACACTCTGCTGTCGCAGATCAACAAGGGACACGGTCCGGAAGGATCGATGGTTCACCGCCTCGTCGTTCTCGCCAAACAAGCCGGCCCCAAGGGCCTCTTCGCCGGCCTCGGTCCTCGTATGATTATGACTGCTGGACTCGTGAGCACGCAGTTTATCATGTATGGTTGGATTAAGAGGGCTCTCGGCGCTCCTCCTGGCATCGAGATCCACAAGGAGACGGCGAAGTAGAAGACGAAAGAACGCAACGGGCATCTGATATTCTTAAAATTCGTAGATTTCGATAAACCTGTATACCCTTTGATGTAGCGCGTGTGTGAGTCACATGACTTGGAAGCGGGGTGTACGGTCTGTGCAAAGCAAGCTGCTCGCTGACCATGCATGCGAAGAGACGGAGCTGGCGGCGGAGGATGCGGAGGACTGGTTGGTGTGGCCGGATGGAAGAGTGCCCGTGCGCCGCCATCCAGACACGGCCACTTTACGTCGCCCTGCTTACTGTGCTTGTGTCCGTCTATCAGGCGCCGCCTCGTCCCATGGCACCGAACACGTCGGATCTGCCGCCCTTTGCTCGATTCAGGTGATAAGGCCAATAATCGATCGCTCGACACGAAAGCAGCTCTCGGGATGATGACCGGTGCCACAAACCCAGCCCGGCTCAAGGACTCTCGGCTGCCTGATACATGAATCTCTCTCTCTCACGTCACGATCTGACAGCAAAGCTGCCGCGCACAAGTGTGCCCTCAGCATTGCCATGCAGGAGGCGATACCTGATGATAATCGGCGTTGAGCTGGAAGGGGTGGGTTGCCCTGAGTAAAAAACCGCCTTCCTTTCTTTGGTGCCGGTCAGTAAGGCACGAGCCGTTAGAATGGCCCTTGGCGGTCTTCGTACGATCGTGCCATCATTACCCGTAAAAAACGCGCCAATCGCAGAGGAAGACGCGCGGTGACACGCTTCTCGTCCAAAACTTATAAATATTCTCTATCAGTCCTAGTGCTCACCTTGTCCCAGTATCCGTCTATAATCATGCCCTCTGCCGACGCTCGTTCCGAAGCCCGTGTCTCGAACTACACCAAGTTCTGGAAGAAGGACTCCGCCCAGGATGGCGAGTCTGACCGCGAGAACCGTCTCTCGCAGTACACCGACCTCGTCAACGGTTACTACGACGGTGCTACCGAGCTGTACGAGTACGGCTGGGGTGAGTTGAGCGCTGGCTGACATGTCGCTAACAGTTTCAGCCCAGTCGTTCCACTTTTGTCGCTTCTACAAGGGAGAGGCCTTCCTCCAGGCTCTTGCCCGCCACGAGCATTACCTCGCGTCGATGATGGGCCTTCGTCCCGGCATGCGCGTGCTTGACGTTGGTTGCGGTGTTGGTGGCCCTGCTCGCGAGATTACCCGCTTCACCGATGCCAAGATTGTCGGCATCAACAACAACGAGTTCCAGGTTGGCCGCGCTCGCCAGAAGACCGCCAAGGCCGGTCTCTCGGACAACCTCTCGTTCGTCAAGGGCAACTTCATGGAGCTCGAGAAGCAGTTCGGTGCGAACAGCTTTGACGCTGTTTACGCCATCGAGGCCACCTGCCACGCCCCCACCTTTGAGGGTGTTTACGGAGAGATCTTCAAGGTCCTCAAGCCCGGAGGCACTGTGAGTTCTTTGGTGTCGGTTCGCAGCTAACCATAAGTTCGCCGTTTACGAGTGGTGCATGACCGACATCTGGGACCCCTCTAACCCTGAGCACAAGAAGATTGCTCACGGTATCGAGGTAAGTGCAGCTGATTGGTACTTGAGCTAATCCTAATAGGTCGGTGACGGTATCGCCGAGATGCGCACTATCCACGCCGCTCGCAAGGCTCTGAAGGCTGTTGGCTTTGAGATCGAGCACGAGGAGGACCTCGCTGCCCGCGATGACGGCCCCGCCTGGTACTACCCCCTTGAGGGCGACGTCTTCAAGGCCCAGACCCTCTGGGACGTTTTCACGGTCCTGCGCACGACCACTGTCGGCAAGTTCTTCACCCAGAACACCGTGTGGGGTCTCGAGAAGATTGGTCTCGTTCCCAAGGGAACCTACGACGTTGGAGAGTCCCTCAAGGTTGCCGGTGACGCCCTCGTTGCCGGCGGCAAGACGAAGCTTTTCACTCCCATGATGCTCTTTGTTTGCAAGAAGCCTCAGTAGATTGTACACATCGCATATGTAATGACTAGACTTTATGAGATCACTGGACGTTTTGGACTCGTCAGTGATGTGGACAGAGACCACGGAGTGCAGCACCCTGCCATTCGAGACAATACTCGCGTAACAATATCAGGACTTGATGATCGATGTAATGCATGATGTCGTGTTCAACTATACTCTAAAGTGCACATAAATGAGGTCTACTTGCTCTCCGAAGCCTTGTCGCGCCAGGTCTTGAGCACATTCTGCTCGTAGTGTGCAGGCGCCGGACCGGGGAAGATCTTGAGGCGCTCCAGCCTGCGGTCACGGAACGTGTTCTTAGGCAGCATTCCAGAGACAGCTCGACGCAGAATCTACACAATCAGCAAAGCCATAAGCGCTTCCCGAGCTCACCTCCTCTGGTCGGCGCTCCCGCATTCTCGTGATGGGCACCTCTTTCAATCCTCCGATGAAGCCCGAGTGGTGACGGTAGATCTTCTCCTGCGCCTTGTTACCGGTCAAGCGAACCTTGAGCGCGTCCGATACCACAACATAGTCTCCAGCGTCGACTGAATCATCAGCATAATGTCGGAACCTTCTCCACTTACCAGCGGGGTCGTACGTCGGCTTGTGCTTGCCCATCAGCACCCAGGCGATTCGGCTGGCAAGGGTACCGAGGATGCGGTCCTCCGCAGAAGCATGGTGCCAAACACGAGTCAGAGCAAGTGCAGTCTGTCCATCAGCTCCCCTTGTCCGTTGCGTGTGCGTACCTTTCCTTTCGTAGCCGACATCGTTCAAGGTGCTCCGATTGACGTGAAGTAGAATGTTGAAAACACCATATTCTGAAAAGGGGTACCGAGCCACGGGATCAAACGCCGCAAAAACCCGCCACCAAGCTTCACCTGGGATCAGCATCATTCAACTCGTTCAGTGCATCGAGCCCATCGTAAACAACTCACTGCAGTGGACATCCTGCAATCGCCATGAGGTAAGACTGCCATGGTCGAGTTGCTGCTCACGAGACAGTCAATACGCTTCCGTCCCCAAGTCTGAGCTCGACGAGGCTCAGATTCGCGAGCTGGAGGAGTGGGAGATTTCCCAGGGACCGCTTTCGGTGTTGCAGCAGGCTGTCCGCAACAACAGTCAAATCCTGATCTCGCTGAGGAATAACAAGAAGCTCCTGGGTCGTGTCAAGGCGTTTGACCGTCATGCCAACATGGTTTTGGAGAACGTGAAAGAGGTTTGTAATGAATAGTCATCGGGAGTTGCTGACGTCTAGATGTGGGTCGAAGTTCCCAAGGGCAAGAATGCCAAACCGGTGAACAAGGATCGCTTTATTCCGTGCGTGGACCGCGGTGGGAGTGGAAAAGCTGACCAAGCAGGAAGATGTTTTTGCGAGGAGACTCTGTGATCATGGGTAAGTCTTCGCGAGGCTTGGGCATGTCGAGGTATTCCGCTAACGGCTCAGTGCTCCGCAATGCTGCGTAATGTACACCTGTGTAGAATTGGAGAAGACGGCCCGATACCCCTTGCATTGGTCGTCGGTAGATAGGGCAGGATGCACGCCCGTGTATGATTTATTCTGACAGAGCCGTTGAACATATGTTGTTCAGCCACACAACCTGGCACGAGGATTAAGAATACATTGCGAGAGTCCGGCTCGCAAAACTATACAGCACACTGTATCTTACAGACTCTATGCGAGAACGCCCTGTCCCTTGCCCGAGTGGGTGTACTCAACCACGGCGTTGACAGCCTTCATGTCCAGCGTGGGGCCCAGGTTGATGCTGGTGAGAGCGCGAACAGTGAGGTCATCGCGGACACTGCCGATAATCTCTACAAACTTGTCCTCGATGTGCATGTCCTGTCCACGTCAGTTCTCGCCCTCACGCCGGTGCTTACGCGAGGAATGGTCACCGCGACCTGAAGTTAGTTGTGCCCAGCGCACCCGAAGCTTACCTGGCCACCGTCCGAGGCCTCAACCGTTGCAGTGTCTCCTACGATCTGGACAACCTTGGCAGTCAGACGAACAGTCTTGCCCTTGTGCTCGCTGAGAGTCTTGCTGTTTACGCGGACTGTCATGTCAGCAGCCGCTCATGTTAAGTAGCCTCTGTAGATGGGTCTGCAAACGTCGTACAAGTCGCTCAGCGTGGGGTGGGAACGGTATCACAACCAGAAAAATCACTTACACTCGGGTTCAAGACGCGACATTGTGCTCTGAAAGCAAGATGATGGATGGTGTCGTGATGAAGTGGTCCAGTCACCTCAACAAAGCAACAAACGCGTCGCGTGAATCATTGCTTGTGACATTAGCCTCCGCCGCCTCCACACAACTGACCGGAATCGGTCATTTCTGCACGTGACCCGGGAAAAAGTCAACAGCTGAAAGTCTTCCAGGACTTACTCTGGAGCACTACCTCATCTCAGCAGACCAAACAAGCCCACCATGGTCTCTTTCCAGTGAGTGCGAACCTGGGGGAGTTGAGCTAACTCTCAGGTGTGATGGTTGCGCCGACACGGTGAAGAAGCCTCAGCTCGACAAGCATCGGCAACGCTGCTGGGCCACCTTCAGCTGCATTGGTGAGTGGAGTGATATGGCGAGTGGCGCAAGACCTGACGTTCAGACTGTTCAACGACGTTCCAGGGCCAGGATTACAAGTCACACACGTCGTGTATCTCTGAGGCCGAAAAGTACCAAGGTGCCCTGTACAAGGGACCGAAGAAGGCCGGGGGACACCAGGGCAACAACAGCAAGTCTGCGACGCAGACCCCCGCCGCCTCCACTCCTGCCGACTCGCCGGCACCCTCCGAGTCAGGTGCCAGTGGAATCCACCCTTCTCGTTTGAACCAGATGGGGCGACCGGAGTACGACCGCGGTCAGTTTGGAGGACGCGGACGGGGAGGCTTCGGTGGAAGGGGTGGGCGCGGTGGTTTCCGTGGCGGTTTCCAGAACTCGCAGGGGTCGTGGTCGGCAACTGGTGAGAACAAGTTGCGCCCGGAAGGAGGAATGAGGCAGTGGGGCTCTGCGCCTTCTTCGGACGTAGAGGCGACTTCTACTGCGCCCGGCACCCCCAACGTTGCTGCGCCGACAACGGGTGGTGGCGACGAGGAGCCGACGAAGAAGAAGCGCAAGGGAGACAAGGGTGGAACGGGATCCAAGGCCAACTCGCGTGTTGGAAGTGAGGCTGTTGATGAGGGTTCGAGCAAGAAGAGGAAACGCGAGGAGGGAGACGCGATCCTGGCGACCGAGAATGCGGCGCCCCCGTCGGAGAAGACCGTCAAGCGTATCAAGAAGCACATGAAGAAACTTGAGGACAAGGTCACCGAGACCATGTCGTTGGCGGACTGGCTGAAGCGGGTGGCAGAGGGTAAGGAGAAGACACTTGACAACTCGGACGTTTTGCAGGGCGTCCAGGTCTCCCTCGTCAACGGTCACTGGCAGCTCAGCGCATAGATACATCACGTTACATGATATGACATGCAATATAACATAGACAACAGGTTTACTCTGTGGGAAGGGCAGGTAAAGGCTTTTCGGTAGATGACGAGGAATTGGGAATGACAGGGCGTTCGTGAGCCGCCTTGGCAGGCGGCGGTGGAGGTGTGCTCAATACTGGGGACGTCCGCGAGGGCGTTTCTGCGGGCGTCGTTTCATTCGGGGTCTGGGCCGGAGATGGGCCTGGCTTGGGTCGGACCTTGTCGCGTTGGATGTGCAAACGGTTCGCAACGTCGCGAGCTGCCGCTTTCGGGGCAATATCGAACCCCAACTTCATCTCGGCGCGATCGGGAGCCTTGGATCGCCTCCAGCCGTCAAAGTCGATGAGGGCCTGCATGCACCCCCACTCGACAGTCTTCTTCTCCAACCATTTGAGTGAAACGGGCTTTGTAAGGAAATCGTTGCACCCAGCCGCTAGAGCGTTGACACGATCCGTTTGCAAGGACGAAGCTGTCAGAGCCACAATGATGACGGCAGACCGGAAAGGAGACGCTGCGGGCACAGCTTCGACAGGGCGAGAACTCTCGCTCATGGGCGTGCTGGGGAACACACCAATCTTGTTGTGCTTTTCCATCTTTCGAATCTCCTTGGTGGCTGCGATACCGTCCATCACTGGGAGCTGAATGTCCATCTGAAGTCAGCTGCGCATGGCCGCACGTTAACTCACCAGGATCAAATGGAAGCTTCCCGTGCGCCACTTCTCCACGGCCTCGAGACCGTCCTTCGCCGTCTGATGTTTGATCTTCTTCTTCCGGAAGAACATGCTCAAGATATTCTGGTTGATCGGGTTGTCTGGTTGTCAGTTCAAGAAACAAGTGAAGTATCACCTTCCACGATGAGCACATTGATGGGGGGAACCACAACATCGAACGGTTTTGGTTGCCGAGGGATCGACTCGTCAATCTCTGGCAGCTTCTTGGATGACTTGTTGGTGTACCGACGCGTGATTGTCGACGATCGACTCCTGCCCTGCGCAACGATCGGCCGAGTGCCAGGCAGCACTGGTAACGTTCTGCGTCGTCCGCTTGTACTCGGACGCTCAACTTCTGCTAAAGACGGCGACTCGTCCGTTGTACCGCTCAATGAAGACATGGTCGACGGTCGTCTCTCTCCTCCAGTAGGAGAGTCCAGTGGGGACGGCGGCACAGTGCTCAGGACTGGCCCACTCGCAGTCGGTCGCTCCGCTACCTCGTCCGACTCTTCCGTCCGCTGAGCTGGGGGATGACTGGATGGGGGTGGCTCAAAGAACATCCCGTAGGGCCGGCCATCGGGGCTCTGCATGATGACGCCTGAAGCGCCAGACGCCGATTTGCTGCTGCCGCTCGTAGAACGAGAAAAATACTCGGAGGCCGGCTTCGAAATAAGATCATTTGGGGTGGGAATAGCGAGCCGCGAGGACTCTTCGGGACGAGTGCTGTTCTGTGGAGGGAACTCGCCTCGCGGTGAACGACCCATTTGCGGAGTTAGATCTGGGTGCATGGCATCGACCGCATCGAAGAACCCATCCACTGGGCCTGCCGTTGGCGTGCGGGCACCAGCCATGATGTGGGGAGAGCGCGGGCTGGTGGCTATCGGTGAGAAAGCAGGGTCGACGAGAGGCTGTTTGACAGCAGTGAAGAGCGCCGTCAGGAAACGCCTCGGTCCAACTGGTTTCGGAATGACGATGACTTCGGGTTGGGAAGAGAATCCATGAGTGGCAACAACGTCGCGGACTTGATGGTACTTGTCGATGCTTGTGAAGTGGATGATAACCGACAGCGAAGGAGGACAAATGCTAGTCGACGACCGGACGCTGCGGATGAGTGCCGGGCGCTTCATGGATCGCTGTCTGAACGGATGAGGATGCGAGTCGGACCGTACGCGCAGGAGCTCTCGCCGGAGAACCCCAAGATCCTCATCGATGATGATGAACTTGGGCAGGCCCTGGTTCTCATCGATAGATGCCTCGTCCTCGACCGAAATGTGCGAAACGTCGAGTCCCCAGGCTGCCAAATAGCTTGTCAGGTGCTGAGCGAATATACTAGTTAGACTGGCGTGGAGATGCACCCGTCGGCCGCGGAGCGTCTCTGCAAAGTCTGCCAGTTCCACAAGCGTTGGTTCCCGAGGAAGAACAAGGTCTCGGTACGGTTGACGGTTGAGCTCTTCCTCGGCAGAAAGAGGCGCGGGTTCAGTGATAGGTCGTCCTCTGGGTAGTTCAACGGAGAGCTCGTACGCGTATCTCAGATGCCCGAACCCGGTTGGAGAGGACGGGACAGTGTTCGACCTCAGCCGACCGTTGATCTGTCGGAGCAACCGATGGCAGAGAAGCGTGTCCAGCTTTGGAGTCGAAGCCTCCCGTTGCTCGGCCAAGGCCGAAAAAGGGTTGAGTTCCGCTTTCGGCGTGACGGCGTTTGCCTCGGCCGTCATCGAAACATTGTGCACAATCTCAAAGACGCATTGTATCGTCTCACGGGTGCTAGTGGAGCTGTCCAATGGTGACGACTGTTGTCGGCGGTAGTCTTCAAAGTCAGCGGCCACCACAGGTAATGAAACCCGTCGTTCACCATCCTGTGGGATGATCTGAAGCCCAAACTCGATTGTGTCGTTCTTGCCAGCCACAAGAAGCACCTGTCTAACAATCTGCGAGCGTCAGAAAGATTGCGGTATATCAACTTACGTGTCCGATTGTATATCCTATGCCCTCGCGGTCGCCAGTGACGCTGACATGCTTCATACCCACGTCCCCGTGGAAAAGCACCAAGTCGACCTCAGCTTGCGCAGCCTCGCCACTGAGCTGGTCCGCGACATTCTGAAGAAGCTCTCCAACGTCGAAATCTTGCACCGTTCGGATTCCGGTGCCCTGCCCCTCTATGAGCGGCACGAGATTGGCGGACAAGTAGTTGAGACCCCTCATTGAAGTGAAGAGCGCCGAGACAGAGGTCGCTGGCATTTGGATGGCGCAGCTTGCATACTGTTCCTTGGCATTGTCGAGCAAATGGGGAGGAGACACGTATAATAGTGTCTGAATGGCGGTTTGTAATGTGTCAACCAACTCCAGCGACAATGAATGCCATGGGTCGGACGTGCTCTCTGAGCGAGATGGCTGCCGCAAGCTTCCGACGCGAGTCGGCAACGGCGCAGAAAAGGTTCTGTTGAACACAACAGGTCGATCACCTCCTGCGTTCCACGTCCCCTCAGTCACTACGGGCGGAGACGCGTTGGTTGGGTGACCGGGTAAGATTCGTCGACCAGGCGAGAACGACCCAGTGCTCGTACTTGCACCCATGTCATCCCCCGAAGAGCTTGAGCTCGACATGTGTCCGAAGGGGTCATCGGAAAAAGACCTGGCAGAGTCGAAGGGATCTCGTCGCCGTCGTGATGCTGCGGGCCAACCGAAAACGGGGGTGGAAGAGGACGAGGACGAGGTTGCAGACAACTGCGGTCAGGTATGTGCGGGGAGGAATCATCGTCTCACAGGCAGCGGAGGTTCCGGGGGTGGCAAGTCGACATCACTGTTGGAACTGTTGGACCTGAAGACGGCGGAGGGTCGCTGTTTGGGTGATATCTCGGAAGATGAGCGATCCATGCTGGAGTTGCTCGAGCCCCAGCTCGCAGGGATGGTCGTAGCGTGAATGGATCCAGCCACCGGTTGCAAGTCGGTGTCCACCTCGAGTAGGTGGTCCATTGGGGGCGAACGATGCAAGAGCAGCGCGCGCGATGCTACGAGCTGATGGGCGAGGGCTGAGACTAATGGATGGTGGGAGGCGGAGATGGAGGCAGGCTTGAAGAGTAGTATCAGTCACGAGTCGGCAGTTTGACTAACCCGTCATGTGTGTCTTCCTCCACCGGGCAGCGACGAGCATGCTGGTTGCGGATGCGGTGTGTCCGTCTGGTCGGTCGCCCCTCGGCGCCAGCGCCAGGGTCTGCTCATGCTTTCAGACAAGGGCTCGCTTCCTCCAGCCAGTGTGCCAGGAGCCAGCCCTGCGCCCCTGGTAGTCTTGGGCGCCAGGGGCACCGTCTGTCCTCCCTCCACTCGACTTCGCCAGTCTACCGAATTACTTCCGTCTCGCCCCTCCACCACTCCGCACCTTCGGTGGCCGTCCCACAGATCCGCAGACACCATTGCTGGGCATTTAGGAACTCCGCACCTCATGCATGAACAGCACAGATATTGCGGAACGCGGGCCATCACTCCGCGGCACAAACTGTCAGAGCTGCAAACAGCGCCATCCACTGCACTGCACCCCAACACCGCGGTCCCTGTCAGCAATCTTACACGAGGTCTTGCCGTCTAGCCCCATGTAGCAGGCAGGTCCGAAACAGAGCGTGCGTCGAAGAAGGCGCTCGAGTTAAGAGTTACTGGTATCAGTCGAGCATTCAAGCCTGTCACAGCCTCAACAGTGATCATTTAGGCTGGTATTGGCAGAAGGGTGTCTGCCCTGGCCCTAGCCTCGGTGCAGACAGATTAATCAATGCGGGGAACGCTGCTTGTGCTTGGTCGCTAGAAGCGCCTCTATGAAGCTTGTGGCTTTCAGCTTCTCATTATCTCGGTCGCGCGCTCAGGCACGCAAGGCTTGCTTTGCATGCATGTACCCAACGCCGACGGAGCCACTCAACTCGACATCGCTCAAACACCTGGCTAGAGCCGTTCCTCTTCTACCATGGCCGGCGTGTCCAGCTTATCTGGCATCTAGATCATCACATCTACACTAGTACACAACGATGCGTCACCCCGCCATCTACAGAGGGCGCTTGAACGAAACCACCTCCTCATACAGCAGCTGCTTCAGCTGCTGGCGATCCATGTCATCCTTCATGAGGTCAAACTCGAAAAAGTGGGGGTCCAGAGGCTTTGCGGTCGGCTCGTCCTCAGGATCGTGGTAAGCCTCCAGATACGGGTGCTCCAGGCACTGGTCGACAGTGTATCGCTTCCGAGGGTCGACTGGGCTGTCAGCGTGAATCTTCAATGACACCAACAGGTCAATGTCTTTTCGAGGAAATCGACCGCGAGAGGGTTGGCATTTGGGTACAGTGTATTGAACCCCTTGCTCCTCCGAAGCGGCATGGAGCGAATATACTCTCGACTACGTTTCGAGGTGATGCTGTAGAATTCGTCAATGGTCGGCGTACCGAGTACGTCGAGAATGAGGGCAAGTTGATGGTGGCTGTCTCGTCAGCATGGCCACTTGAGCAACTGACATACTAGTCCTTTCCTGGAAAGATTGGTCGTCCGCTCAGCATCTCTGCAAGGATACACCCGATCGACCACACATCAATGGACTTGAGTATGAGCAACACCCCGGAGCCTTTACGTTACCTTGGTATACATGCGGAAAGAGAGCATGACCTCTGGGGCGCGGTACCATCTGGTAGCCACGTCTGTACATCAGTCTCCTCCCGTCACGTTAGCTCGCTCACACTCGGTCATGAAACCTTGCTCTTTCGGATACGCAGTCTGAGTGCTTCTCGCGAGTCCAAAGTCGCACACCTTGAGATCGCAGTTCGCATTCAGCAGGAGATTTGAAGGCTTCAGATCTCGATGAATAACTGGGGTCAACGTTGCTCTTTGTTTCAAGCACGCACTTTCCGCGCTGTGCAGGGCTTTGATTGCCCGACACGTCTGATAGATAAAGTACTGGCAGTGATCGTCCGTCAGATCTTGGGTTCGGATCACACGGTGGAGGTCGGTCTCGAGGAGCTCCTGCACGAGGTACACTGTGGTCAGACCACCCCCGGGCCTCCGACTTACCTTCGTTGAACGCATCATAGGACGCGGGGGGGATGATGTCTAGGATTGTAATGATCAAACCATCAGCACTCGGCATAGCTAAGCGCTCACGTTTTCACTAACGCCCTCCTCTGCAAAGTACTTCAGTAGCTTGAGCTCCCTCAGTGTCCGCAACGCGAACATGGAATGATCAAAGGGCGCAATCTTCTTGATGGCCACCTTGCTGTTCGTGGGGCGATGAATCGCCGAGACGACGACGCCATACGCTCCTTCTCCGATGACATCAACAATACGATAAGTCACGCCTGAAACATCAGCACGTATACCAGACAGCAATGCTCACCGACATTGAAGCGAACGCGACGCTGGCCATTTGCCTGAGACCCCCGAGTAGTCTTCTCCTGAACGTTGGCGGCAGTCGCAGTGCTTCCCGCCCCGTCTCTGCTTGGTGCCGTCTGCCGTGCAGTTGACATTGAACAGGCGTTTCCTTGATATTTGAAGACTATCGGGCGTCTTCTCGCTCGGTCCGATTCGACAACAACGACGACGAAGCAGCGAGAGGATAGAGAAACCTTTCTAGATTGCTGTCGGGGATGTGGAAGTGATGACACAGACGATCCGCAACCACTGCTGGAGGCAAGAAAGTCATGAGGAAGCCCGTAGGATGTGTCGATGCACAATTCCTGCATAGTAGCGGCCAAGGCGCTGACTTGTCCTGCACCCACTCTGGTTCAGTATTGCGCCATGGCGCTTTGATCACTCGGTGGCATGGAAGCCCCTGCAGACCTAGTCCAGCAGCGAGATTCGCCCACTTGACATGGCATCGGGGTATGTGATGAACTGCTTTCCAAGTCTCTCCTGAAGGAGATGTTCTGTGGGACTGGAATAAGGTGGAGAGGCGAAGATCAACCATGAAACGCTCGACGCCTCCATTCTTCAAGCACCGTAGTAGCAAGGGATGGACTGAATGCGGGTGGACGGATGGCCCTCTGGCCCTGCCGACCGTCCCCTTGTGCCTCAGCCTCGACCAGACCCTCCCCCTCTGTGCGCAGCATGCGCCTGTGAGGCTACCGCCCTTTTCGCGATGTACGCAACGGGGCCTAGTCAAACCCTTGCGACAGAGGAGCGAGAGGAGGCTGCTCAACGCCACCGCACAGTGAATAGCTTCCTTTGACCTTACTGAGCTTGGTCGCCAGATGTGCTACACATAGAGGTGGTAACTTGCCTCTTGCTGCACTTACGCACAGCGCTTCTGAGGTCTCCGATCCTGTGTCTGAAGCGGACACGCGTGCAATGTGAAGAAATGACAGCAAACCTGCGCCTGCGACAATGAGTCCTTATTAAACGAGAAGCGAGCAAGCAAGATGCCGAGTTCGGTGGGCGATCGGTTTTGGAGACAGAAGCGAGCAGTTAGCTTGTATCTTTGCAGTCTGAGCTTGCAGGCTGCGAGTGGCCCTATGAACTGAGTGAGCAGAGAGCAGAAGGCTTGCACTGGCAGCTTAATCTGCGCTGAGGGCGCGGACTCGAAAGTCATCCACCCACAGTATCGGGGCACGTGAACCCAGGCGTTGACGCGCTTAGAAACAAAATCCTAACGCGCTGCCTGCAAAAAAATGGATCCGCAAGCGCGAACGGTCGCTGTTTTCTATTCCCTTACCACTGAGCAGCGGCGCTGCGGCGCCCAGCCCTCAATACAACCAGGCACCCACCCGTCCCTGGCACGGCACTGCACTCAGCTGCGTCGATTGCGTCTGCATCTGCAACGGTCGTCTTGTCTCTTCTTCGAACAATCACACTTCCTTTTCTCTGCTCATCGCGTGCCGTCTCTCCCTCCTCCGCAGTCGGTCACACCCAAACCCTCGCGCTCTATTTCTCACACCAGCCTGCAGTTACCATGTCGTCCGTTTCTGTTTCCACCAACTCTTCTCCTGCATCCTCTGTCCAGCCCTCGGCCTCGGCGTCCATTTCGGCGGGCAGCAACCAAAGCCAGGGAGGCGGCAACCAAACCGTTTCGGGCTCCAATGCAGACTCTTCCTCCGCCGTGAACCGGACGGGTAACGACAATAGCAACAGCAACAGCACGGTGTCGGGTGGCGGCGGCAACTCGACGGCCAACGGCAACTCGACGAGCGGTGGTGGCAACAACAACGACACTGGCAAGGCGAGCCCTACTGAGGCTCCCGAGCCGAAAGTCAACAAGACCGCTGTGCCTCTGCCCACGACCGCCCCGCCGTCTGGGCCCGCTCCTGGCTCGGCCATGGCCCTCAACCTGAGCCCGCGACTGGGTCTCACCGCACTGCTTGTTGGGCTCGCTCTCAGTGTCCTCGCCTGAGGACAATACAGTTGTGAATACCCGCGCTCGAGTGACGCTAATCGGCAGATCCGAAGAACGTTGAGACGCTTCTGCTTTGCGACACATTCTCACCATCACGCTCATTACGCCCCGCCCACCAACTACAGGCATGGACTTGCACTCAGCGCGTAACCTGAATGGTATCCCATTCCATGTATTCATTCTCACCTGTTGCATCTATCGAGCTGGTGCGAGCCAGTGAGTCTATCAAATGATGCATGCAAGAAAAAGAGGTGGCCTGGAATATAGTCTAATGCGCGTGATGTGGTGTAGAATCAATCAGAGCTGGGGGTTGTCCTTGCGGAGGGCATCGTGCTCGTCGATGTCGGTCTCGCACTCCCAGGGGTAAGCAAGCCAAACGTCAGGGGTGTCGACGGCCGAGAAGTACTGGACATCCTCGGGAATCTCGCCGACCTTGGGCTTGAGCTTGTTGTGAACGACAAAGATGGCGAGCTTGGTCTCGGCGCGGAGCTTCTCGCGCTCCTTCTCATCCTGGACCTTGGAAAGCTGCTCATCAATGTCCTTCTTGAGCTCGTTGACAGTGTACATAAGAGTCGTGCGCGAGTCGTCAACCTCGTCGACAATCAGCATGCGGCGACCGAGGAGACCGCCGTGGTTGAGCTTGTTGCCGAGCTGTATAGTTAGTCATCCGCCGGGTACAATCCGTACTCACAGTCGAGAAGTCGATCCACTGGACACGAGTGACCTCAGCACCGGCAACCTCCTCAACCTATCACATTAGCACGAGCGCCAGCTTGACGGACTTACTCCACCCATGCTCTCGTAGAGGTACAGACCAACAGCCTGGATAGGGATGTTGCGCTTCGTGCCGTTCTCGATGTTCTTGCAGAAGGTACGCAGGATACGAGCAGGGATGAAACCGCCGCCTCCGATAGCGATGAAGAGGTCGGGAGCTAAGAGGCCATCAACATACTGCTCAGCGCAAACACAGTAACCAGAAACATCGCCGACGCGGCGTATGCACCAAGCTCTACTCACAAAACTGCTCCTTGATCTTGGGGGCAGTCGCCGCGATGGCGTTGTGGATGTCGTTGTAACTCAGACGGAGCCTGCGGGGTCAGCTTATCCTGAGCATGGCTGCTTATCATGACATGTGCAGCGGCGTACAAGCGGCAACCACGCCAAGCACTGGGCACACGAGCCTTCACGCCATGCATCCCTCACTGCGAAGAGCAGGTTGGCATGCGAGGGCGATACTCACATAGGAGGAGCCATGTTGGGCAAGTAAACGGGTGAAGTGCTGGTGTGTGTACAAGAAGTGACGAAGGAAGATTTCTTGATTTTCAAAATTCTCGACCGACGTTGCGGGTGGCGGACGCGCACTGCTTGGCGGCCCTCTGCCGCCAGCCAGCGCCAGAGAGGACCCAGATTCCGTCTATCAATTCGAACCAACCTTGTTATCAGCAGATCCCCATCCCGTGCGTTTTCCATGCATGGCAAGCGTTCATGTTGTTATTCTGTCTACGGCACATACACCAGCGCAGCAACGTCTGCAGCATTGCAGCTGCTTTATCAGGTTCAACGCAACCCAGCTCTCGTCTGCCGTTTGCTCCATGCATAGGGTGGAATGATAGTCTATGGTCCTCGACCGTTGGTGTAAAAAGGTCTGCAGAGTACGCACTCGCCTCCTTTTTGAATCTTCTGATACCCTTATACACGATCACTCTCCCTTGAACTCTTCCGGCTTGTCAAGACCGACTCGTCGAGCCGTAGCGGCAACACGTTCCTCCTGGGTCATGTCGTGAGTGGGGTTGTACCTCTTCACGAGCTCCTAATTCGTCAGCGCGCACGATCTTTGTTACTAGAGCAATCTACCGCAGCTGCGTTCCACTGCTGCGTCTGAAGCGGAGTTAAACTCTGATACGCACATGGTGTATCCTCTTGGCTTTGAGGAAATCGCGAGCCTCAAGAAGAGCCCGGTCGACGTCTTTCCCGCCGGACGTCACCAGGGACCGGAGCTGTTCCGCAATCAGAGGTGTGCGAGTCTCACGCGAAAAAGGAGACTGAAGTCAGCACTTGAATTTATCATGACAAGGAGGCACAGGGCAGCAGATGCGCCGCGAGGTGACAGGACGACAGGGCACCTAGACGAGCCTGTAGCTGGGATACTTGTGATCCAAAAGATGGACAACTTACAGCAAGCCTAAACTCGCGGAGGAGGGAGCGGTACAGAGATCGCGTGGAGGACATGGCGGTCTGGGATGGAAGATTGTGGATCTGACATCAAGCAGCTGTTGTAGGACTCACAAGTGATCGCGATAGATAGCCGCCCGACATTTTACCCCCGCTCCGGAAACCAGCACAGAGTGCCCCGCTGACGCAATGACGGCTATCCGACCACAACCGTCCGAGCAGTCATTATTGCACGACCACACTCTACTACTTCATAGGGCCGCCCATTTACTTTGCAGCTATCTTGCCAGCGGACAACGGATTGGTCGCGATGGTCCCATGGAATCCTGCGCGGACGAAAGTGAGTGGTGCGCTACAACAGGCATATGCCCCGTCGCGACCTGGGCTGCTGCCACGCCTTCGACGAAGCGCGCAATCTAGCAGCTCGACACTTCTGACACAGTATAGGTCCAGATCAAGCTTTCTATTCAGCGCCTTCGTACTTTACAAGAGAAGAAACTGGCCCTTGCCAAAAAGTCTCGTCGAGACATCGCTGATCTGATCGCGAAGTCAAGGATCGAAACCGCCAAGCTACGCGTGGAGGGCATGATCCAGGATGACATCTACGTCGAGCTACTCGAAGTACTGGAGCTGTACGCCGAGACTCTTCAGGCAAGATTTGGACTGCTGGACCAGGACAAGTGAGTGTTACATACTGCCAAGCTGACGTGTATAGTGGGGAAACGCCCGACCCTAGCATCAGTGATGCCGTCTGCGCCATCATCTACGCAGCCCCAAGGACCGAACTGAAGGAGCTTCACCAGCTGCGTGAAATTCTCATGCACAAGGTGAGTGGACAGACGATGACGCCTCCTCTGACAACAGTACGGTCGCACTTTCTCTCTCACCCTTCAGCCTCAAACTCCGCCGCCCGAGGCGGTTCCGAAACGAGTGCAGTCAAAGCTCGCCGTCTTCACGCCATCTTCGGAACTGGTGGATGCGTACCTGTCGGAGATTGCTCGGGGATATGGGGTGCCCTACAACCCCCTCGTCGACTCAGAGGTTGCCGCTGCCTCTGAAGAAGGAGGCAGCAAAGGAGAGGAGACTTCAAACATTGAAGGTGATGATGATGCCAAGGAGGGTTCGCCGGCATCTTGCGAGAAGCCGGAGCCGCCCCGCAAGACGTCCAGTCCGCCGAGCGCTCCTAGTGGCCGGGGACAACCAACTGTGGTGAAAAAGCGGACAGAAGTAGACGAGCTCGCAGCTCGGTTCGAGCGCCTGAAGAATATACGCTGAACGCGATGGCGTTGATGGGGTAACAATGCATGGTTGTACACAGATAAATCAAACAACGTCCTCGTCAGGCTGCTCATCGCGATCTGAAGGAGCGCCGTTTTCCCAGATGACTCGCCTTTTGTCCCGGTTGATGCTGACCACCTTCCTGAAGAAATGGTTCGTGACTACTCCTTCTTTACCCGGAGTGAGCACGACACCGTTCTGAGCCACGTAGACAGGGATCCCAGCGGCAAGCATTTTAGGCATGTCGAGGTACACGAGGAGAGACGACTGGTTGCGAGGGGTTATTCTTCCCGTGAGAGCCGGGGCGAGGTGAATATGCTGACGCTGCATTTTGTTCAGACCCGTGTCCCCTGAGCTGTCAGCAGGTGCTTGCGTGTCTAACGCACTGATCGTATCCCAGAGCTGCCACTTGGTCCCATGAACTAGCAGACCCGCCTTCTGCCTGCCGTTCTCATCGTCGATCAACTCTTCGAGATGACCGCTGTCCAGCTTGAGGGTGTGCCCCTGCACTGCACGGATGAACCACTCAGCCCTCTCGTCAGACTGCCCATCAACCTCTCCTCCTTCGTAAGCGGCGACAAGCTCGGGGTCAGGGAAAGCGCTTAGGGGAGGCGACAGCTTGATAAACTCGAGTTCCTTCCACTCCGGCTCCACCGAGATCACCTGCAAAGCCCGGGTCACCTCCTCGACCGCACCGCTCTCGGCTATGGCCGCGGTCTTCGTCTTCTTGGGCTGGCTCCGCTTCTTCGGCTTCGGCGGCGATGGATCGTAGCCCCAGACCAAAGCAAAACGCTTCTTCGAATTGTCTGCTACAAGCCGGAAGATGGTGCTCTCGTCAATGTCCTTGACTTTCGGTCTGGCCATCTGTGCCATTATCAGCACCAGCGGCACATCGATCGACCTCCACTCACGACGTCGGCCAACTTGACGAGCCCGTCAGACCGGATTGCCAGTCCCTCCTTCTCAGCGCCATGTCTCAGAATGTAAGCAAGAGTCTTGGAGGCTCTGACCTCGGGGCTGTCGGTGGGACGGCCGTTCTGCTTGGGCATGGTGACTGTTTGAAGCACGCTCCTTCCGGAGAATACGGCTAGCTCATCAGAACAATTCGACGTCGGAGATCAGTGATCTCCATAATGATCACCTTATCTTCCCCCCCTCTGTAACCACGTGACATGCCGACTGTCGAGGATCCATCATCTCGAGAGTCCGAAACATCCACCATCCACTGTTGTCATACAACGCGAAATGGATGACGACGACGCCTTCCTTTATGGCGACAGCGCGGACGTCAAGGAGGAAGTTCGATCCCAAGATGTGAAGGATGGTGAGTCGCCGTTGTGGTTTTCTGAAGTTAACAATAGCTTCTAACGGCGGTGTGAGCTCCTCGATGGCTGCGTGAGTCATCCAGCTTACTTCTGACTGAATCGCTGACCTTGCGCAGTTCTCTGGCGGCTTATGGCATTGATCCAAGCACAGCTGTCAAAGAGGAGACTTTAGTCGAGGATGCAGCCGAAGAAGGCGACTCTGACTCGGATTCCGACTCAGACGACGAAGTCAGCTTTGTCATGAACGCCGGTCGCGGTCTCGATCTCCGACATGGCGCGAAGCAACAATCGCATGTCATTGGAATCGGCAAATGGGCCCATACGGCAACGTCATCCGCTCCTCCGGCAGCCAGCCCTGCACCCTTGACTGGCACGCCTTCAAAAGGTCAGTACGCTTTGATAGTATTGCTAACATTACAGTCGCCCCAACCCCAGATGCGCTCACTGATTACACACCCGCTGCTCGTCCAGGCGTAGCCACTTCTCAGCCTGCACCTGCTGCAGCTGTTCCTCCTTCCGCTGCAGTAACCGACGTCAAGTCTGTACCTCAGGCGGGCAACGGACCACCGCCTACCACTCCGTTACCGCACTCAAATTTGGCAGTGCAGACCGCGCCCGCCAATGGCCCCCACATCAACCCTACAAACCCGACGGGGATCATCCCTTCTACTGGTACATCAGTGTACGATGTGGATGTTGCGCAGTTCGAGGGTAGTGGGCAGATGTGGCGCCGTCCCGGGAGTGACATATCGGACTGGTTCAACTACGGATTCGACGAGGTCACATACCCTAAGTTCCTCAAGTATCGACAGGACATGGAGCAGGGGAGGGCAGCTTTGGTAAGTTGCTCATGTAAACAGGGGAACTGACGCTTAGGCCCAGATGGGAAACATGAATCAGATGACCCCGGAAGTCGCGCAGCTGCTCCACTTGCCCATGGGACAGATGAACAACATGCAGCAACTGCAGATGCAGCAGCAGATGCAGCAAATGATGGCCATGCAAGGCATGGACCAGGCGATGTTCATGCAAATGCAGCAGATGCAGAACATGCAGAATCAAGCGCAGGGAGGCGGACAGATAGATGGAAATGGCCAGCCGCATGGCGAGCAAGAGGAAGGATCGATCCCTCAGGAAATCGAAGCTGTCGTGAGTTTGCACCGTTATGTTTATGCTGACTTTCACAGCCTCCTTCGGGACCGCGAGGGGCACCTGCGAGTCGCGGAGGCGCCGCCATCCGTGGTCGCGTTCCCACTGGCCCGCGCGTCCCTGCTCCGCGAGGACCTAAGAACAGGTTCCGAGACAAAGACCGCGTCACTGACTCCGCTGCCGGCTCTCTTGATTACGGAGCGGAGGGCGGTTCTGTACCGCATAGCCGCGAGGCCAGTCATTCCCGGTCACCCTCGCCGTACGAGAGGTATGAGCGCCGCGAGCGGAGCCGGAGTCCTTCGAGGTCAAGGGACAGATCGAGGGAGCGTGAGCGGGACCGAGACTGGGAACGTGATAGGGAGAGGGAACGGGACCGCGACCGCGAGCGTGAACGCGATCGAGACCGCGACCGTGACAGTCGATCATCGAGGCGAAACCGTCATGCTGACGGCGAGGAAGGCGAGTACCAGAGCCACGACGACGAGCGCTCTTCCAGGAGAAAGAGGAGCAGAAGTGTCGAAGAAGAGCGTCCTCGGAGAAGCACTAGGGCTAGACGTGAGCGATAGAGAACAGGAATGCATCTCATCTGTGCCGTTCACCGTATTTACGGTCTGCAGGTCGACTCCTGTATCGTGTGGGAACCCCGTCTTGAGATCCCTGCAGAGGTAATTGAGTGTCGAGACGACAGAGGTAAGTTCGGACCTAGTGACAACGCACAACATCCGTTGCCTGTGTGGCGATTTCCACCCTCTGCGCCCTCCGAATTCTACTATACCGATGATGCCTACCGTCGTCATGCGCTTCAGCGGGAGTAGCGAAGTTTGGATCCACTACATGGCAGTTCACCTTGCAGCTCCACTAGGCTGTAGACTAGCCGCCAAGCGTTGACTAATTGGAATAAGCTGCGGACATGAGGCTGACAGGGGCACTCCAGTATTGGGCTCCACGACAGACCGATAAAGTGCCTCGCTAGCCTTTTCGTGCCTCCTGCTCTCTGACAGGCTCGTGCAAGGCAGTAACCACACTCATTTTTGTCCAACGTTTGTCTACCGGCGTGGGCGAGATCCAAGAGCGGTGGCTGGCGTAGTTTCGCCATATCAGCTACCGTCATGAGCAGATTCTGCCTGCCTACCAACGTTCCTGCAAGCCATTGGTGCAAGTCGTGATTACAGCGACGCTCTATGCATATATGGATTTTGGCGGCCAAGTGACGGCCAGACAGTGAGAATATATGAAGTCTGATGAGTCTACCAGAGACGCTGCACCCGCCCGTCACTGACCATGTTGTGTCTCCTCACAGCCAGTTTGCTGGCCGTTCCCGCTTTGAGCGCATACGTCAATCAGTCCCGCGAATACAACCAAGGAAAGTATGGTGACGGACCGTACCAGGAGTTTGTTTCGTCGCGCTCGAAACCGTGAGTGTACCGGTTCCTACGACTTCACTGACACGACAGTGTCTTGTTCAACTTCCAAAAATTTCCCTCGTCGGCTCCTGAAGATGAATACCTTTTCATCGCTCCTCGCGGGCAGGCTGTCCGCTCTGCGGGCCCATACATTTTCGACCGCTATGGTGAACTGGTGTGGGACGGCACCATGTTTGGCTTCGGTCAGACCATGACCTACATGCCTACCACTTACCAGGGCAAGTCAGTCTTGGCTTTGTGGCAGGGCAACTTTAATATTAACGGATATGGCAATGGCCAGGGCGTAATCCTCGACGAGCACTACAACGTCATTGCCAACGTGTGAGCTGAATGCCTCCGGTCCAGCTGACAGAAGCTCAACCACAGTTCAGGGCGCCGGCGTCGACTTTCACGAGGTAGGCCTCACTGTCGCTTGCTGTGCCTAACGTCAGTTCACGATCCAGAAGGATCACGCGCTAATTAGTGTTTATCCTGTCAAGCGGTATGACCTGTCTGGATACCAGAACACTCTAGCTAGCCCCCGTAACGGGTACATCCTGGACGGAGTTGCACAGGAGATAGACATCGCCACCGGTCGTGCCATCTGGACGTGGAGCGCGCTAGACCACGTCCACCCGTCGCAGTGCTACCTGCCACCCGGAACCTCAGGGTCACGAGATTCGCCGTGGGACTACTTCCACATCAACAGCATTGAGAAAGACTCGAAGGGCAACTATCTTATCAGCTCGCGTCACTGCAGCGCGGTATACTACGTGCGCGGGAGCGACGGCGCGATTCTTTGGACTCTAGGTGGCCGCAATTCGTCCTTCCGTCAGGATCGCCGGACATCCTTCTCCTTCCAGCACGACGCTCGCTGGCACGATGACGAGACGACTATAAGTTTGTTCGACAACGCCGCTACCGGCGGTCGAGGCTCTACTGCTCGTGGCCTCCACCTTCGACCCAACTCCAACAGTGGCACCGTCGACTTCATTCAGGAAATGCTTCCTTACCTGCGCACGCCTAGTCTCAGCCAGGGCAATGTCGACCGTCAGGGTAACGGCAACTGGATTCTGGGCTGGGGCAACATTCCCTACGTCAGCGAGACGTCTCAGAGTGGAGAGCTGCTCTGGGCAGGACAGTTCGGATACGGCGACGTTCAGAGTTATACTGCTCACCGAGCCAAATGGGTTGGCTACCCAAACACGAAACCCGATCTTGCCATCCGGAAGAACAACCAGGGCTACACAGTCTTCATGTCGTGGAACGGTGCGACAGAAGTCAAGTGGTGGGAGATTTTCAGCACAAGTGGCACCCAATCCAGGAGTGTGGGTAGAATCGGGAAGTCTGGGTTCGAAACCACGTTTTCCGTCGAGAGCTCCAACTTTGACGGCTTCTTCGTACAAGGACTCAAGGGTGACGGAACAGTGCTAGGAACATCGAGAATCAGGAGGACGGACGGACGCGACGGAGGTGACCCCTGAGCTTATCCGAACGATATATTGTCTGTTGCTGGCAGACTGAGCAAGGCTCACAGAGTCCATAGAGCAGTGAGCTTTTGCTTCAGGTTAGCACAACTTCCATAAGAGTCCGAAGACAGACACGAAGGTTGCTTTTGAATGCAGATGTTATAATTGTACAACACATGTCTACTCGTCTCCCTCCTCCTGCCTAATGCGCCTCTCCATATCTTGCCGTTCCTTTTCACGCTGACGCATCCGGAGCAGCGTCGCCGACTCTTGAGCGGAGGCGAGTTCGGCATGTGCAGTGCGCTCGTCCTGCGCCCGCTGACGATGGGACGCGGTAAGATCCGCGATATCGGGAAACATCGTTACTGACGCAAAGTGGTCAGGTGCTGATCCGAACGCACCGGATCCAAACCTTGTTGAAGGTGCAGCGGCAGGAGTGCCGGTGTGCGAAGGTGGTGACGGAGCATGCGTACGGTCGCCCGTAGGGGGTGATAGGCTGTTCGTACCGTCTTGCGCCGCAGCCCACTTGACCCACGCCGGCTCCGCGCCAACCCACTTGGCCTTTGCCCCTTTGATTCCACCAGCATCCCTCAGGCAAGACCAGCACCCTCCCCAATTGCCTGGCGCAAACTCAACGACAGCTCGCACCTTCTTCTTCCCTTCCTTCGGCGCTGAGACGAAAACATCTGCGATCTTGCCATATTTCGTCCCGAGCTGCTTTCTCAGCTCTTCCGCGTTCGGCGGAGGCGCCGATACCACGAGTAGAATAGTCAAATCCTCCGGGCTGATCGGTGGCGGTGCGAGGTGCTTCGCGGACGCCGCGGGCGGGTGTGATGTGTGGGCCGTATTCGCGCGCATTGCGGCAGCTTGTGCTCTTCGTTCTTCGAGCAACCGTTTGCCAGCTTCCCGGATCTCCTCTTCCTTGGCCTTCTGTCGGATCGCATCTTGCGCGGCTGTGCGGGCCCTCTTGGCCTCCTCTTCTCGACGCAACAGATCCTGTGGTCAGTTAGGTCAGAAGAAATTGACAACTCACCTCAACCTTGACCTTGCGCTTAGCATCCATTTCAGCGCGGCGCGCCTCAGCCGCACGCGTCTGCTCCAGTTTCTTGTCGAGAAACGCGCGCTTACCAGGGTCCGTCAAAATGGCCAGGGCAATAGAGATGCGGTGGAACTCCTGCGCCGCTTCAGGCGTAGGGTTCTTGTCCGGATGGCATTTCAGCGACCGTTTCCTGTACGCCTTCTTAACTTGCTGCTCCGTCGCCGTGACTTCGATGCCGAGCACGCGATACGGATCGATGGCCCTCTCCTCTTCTGTGAGAGAGGCCATTTTTGGTAGTTGGGTGTGTTGGGAAGATTGAGTCAACAAGCCATGCTCATAATTCATCGGGTTGTTGCCACCCGACAGTGCACCAAATGACGTGGCGGTTATCATCTCCTAGCCGGGTAATGATAAGAGGGGGGTCCAATCAGATAACGGCCCGCCGTAATCAGTGCTCACGCCCCCGAGCACCCCTTTCCGATAGCTCTTCCTCTCTTCGGACCTCTTCTGCTGAGTCGCCTTCTCGCCTTCTCACCTCCGTGCTGTCCCGACGACTCTCAGAGTCGCTGTAAGTGGCTAGTTGTCTAATCTCATCTTCGGCGGCTACCTGTACGTTCCAAACCCCAGCCAATCACTCGCCACCCACCCAGCTCGTAACTGGGATGCTTTCCACGCGCCCGCCGTCCCTTCTCAAGCGTTTGTGGCTCAGCACGCTTCGACCGGCTACCGTCTCTATGAGCGCCGGCACTCAGGCTCAGTCAGCTTCGACTGCCGCGAAGTCGGCGATTCGTATCCCTGGTCCTGTCGAGACCAGCATGCAGCAGAAGGTGAGTTCTGCCTCCATGGCCTCGCATAGCGGACACTACGTTGCATCCCAAACAACGACCGGGAAGTGAGGTCGTGGGAGACATTCAAGGCATGGCCTGGTAATAGGTTTGAGGATGCCGCAGTCCTCGCAAACGTTCGCTATTCGCCTTCCCAGTTGGGTTTAACGTAGCGCAGCGAGCATTGAGTAGGAATGCCGATCACACCGGGACAGAGCAGTTATCTGGTGTCAGCCAATTTCAGCTCACACTACGGTTGACCTGGCGAATTCCAACTGCGTCCCGCCATCGTGCTCGTCAAGCGATGGCGCTCCCATTTGAGACGACCGGAGGGCAACCTGGGGCATCGAGCTACGAAGATCAGACCAGATCATCACTAACTCCAGCTCATGGAGGCTTTCAAGCCGCAGCTGATCCGCATCTCGAATGACTCCTCCAAGCACTCCCACCACGCCCCCATGAAGGCCATTGGTGGAGGCAGCGGCGAGACCCGTAAGTTTGGATCAACAACATCTGAGGCATGCCCGAGCTGAACACAATGCCATTTTTCCATCCGCCTCCCACGCTGCATTCTGGCCCTACGAATCGCACACAATCATAATCGCTTGCTCCGTGAATTTCTCGCATGCCTGACGCCCATTGTAACGGCATTGCGGTCCTCGCGCTCTGACGTCTCCCTACTCGCTTACTGCCGCAGACTTTGCCGTGGCTATCGTCTCCTCTGAGTTCGCTGGTAAAACCCAGATTGCCCGTCACCGCCTGGTGAATTCGTTGCTTAAGGATGAGTTCGACAACATGGGCCTGCACGCTCTCAGCCTGCGGCTCAAGACCCCCGAGGAGTGGGAGGGCGAGATTGCGAAAGCACAGGCGCAGTGAGCCGCTAAGTGTTGGAACGGTTCGATGGGTGCACTCTTCCCGTTGAAGCGGAGCGGCATCCTTTGGGCATCCTGCAACATGAAAAGGTCGATGCGAGGCAGAACACTGGACCGACCGTCCCCAGCGCACTGAAGAAGTGGGTCGGAAGCTCAGTGCCGCCCCTGCTGCTGCCCAGAGCGCGGAGATTCGTAGAACAGGCAGACTTTGTATGTATTCGTGTGGGTAATATAATGACGATGCTGGAGATCAGGTGAAAGTGATTTCTTGATGGTCTGAGTAACGGTGGACATCAAGATTTCAGTTTATGGAGATCAGTTCCAGTAGGAATAACACTCCCTTGCAACACGATGGCACGTCTGAGGATATCGACTCCGTATTGCACCCTTCAGCCTGTACAGGAGACTGAGCTGTATCAGTGCGCTGGCGCAAGGGCAGGGTAAGGAGGGTGTCACCGGCTCGGCCGCACTTCTCACTGGTCGCTATCGACAAAGGGTTCGTCTTCTGACAGAGGAGGTTGGCTGATGGTATCCGCATGAGTGGCGAAAACAGAGATACGCAACCTGAGCAGGCTTTGACAGCAGACCTTGACAAGCAAGCACCTGTCATTCCGCGGCATCAGCCCACGTTTGCGGACCCCCGTTCTGGAAGACTGCAGTATCCGAGGGTGATAGGTTGCGGCAAAGCACGGCTCAGGAGCCGACGACCGAAAGATACAGCGTCAATAATCGATTGGCGTCTCGGTGCATTGGGTCGCTACATTTATAGTACGCGAGGATAGCAGAGAACGTCGCGTTCTCCGGAACAGCCGGGGATCAGCCTGGCGCTGCCATTGGGGGTACAGTCCAGTGCCACCCTCGACTCGAACCACAGTGAAGTTTGTGGGATGCGTCGTGCGCTCTCAGACGATGTCGATTTGAAAGCGGCGTTCCGAGGTCACTCGAAGCTCGTTTTCAGTCGCCAGAGTAAGGACATGAGCGCCGCGGTCTTCCACTGAGTCCGGAATGCGTATCTTCCCTAACACGCAACCCACTTCGAAGTGACTGTGGCTGCAGTCATGGCAGCTACCGCCATCTGCTTGCCCAACGCTGGGATTTTCTGAATCTGTTGGGCTTCTTACCCAGCGGAGTGCGTGCCGAGCCCCCTTCCCCATCTGGCGCATGGGCAAAAGGCTGCTGATCTCGTGGTGCACCGTCCTGACGGAGTACGTTCCGTCTCGGGTTGAATGCTGTGGAGTGGTCAGCGCCAACTGCAATGCTTCCACGTCGATGCGCCTCTTTGTGACTGAAAACTTCTGGTACCCATCAACTCCGAATCGTTGCTTAGTCACATCATACGCTTGGCAGGTTGCTTAACACCAGCACGGGCCACATGTGCTTCACTGCAACGGGTGCAGTTCGCTTGTACTACATCAATCCTCGCCCCGGTCTGGTCATGTAGCGGAATGCGAGTGACGGATGCGCATCGAGCTGTGGGTGTCGTTGGTTGAGAGCAGAATGCCGTGGGATTGATATGCCTCGTTTTTCGCACTGGTTTGGGTTGACGAAAGGAGGAGAACGCTGCGCGGATGTTGAGCTATGCTTTACCTCCAGGCTCAGCGAAGTGCTCGAGAGATCGCCACATTCCGCGCCTGATACACCAGACATGCCTCCCCATCACAACCTCGTGTGCGAATTCATGTACCCAGTGGCAGTCTAAGCGAAGGGGCTCAACTTGCAGCCACGAGCGCTGCAAACCCCATCATACACGGCATAGCGCAAATTGCACGCCAATTACTCACGGATCTCGTTGCTAATACCTTTCTGAAGTGATGCAGCGAGCCGGACGAAGTACAAAGAGTTAGGACAGTACTCGCCTCAATGCCACGCGAAGACCCGAAGCCGTTTCCGTGGCCAGGGAGAAAGCGTTCTTCATCTTGACAGCCGCCCCACACACTGGCGAGAGGAGCCACAGCAAGTTGCGGATATCGATATCGCTCCGATACCGAGTTAATCGGGCCCGAAGGCCGTGACACGTCCGATGCCCGCCCGAGCGCTAGAAACAAGTCGGACGGCTGTTCCCTGTGCCCGAAGCAATCCTTCGAGGTAGGCCGCTAAGAGCCAACGGAAACCTTGTCAATCACTTGCAGCGACAGCCGCGGTTGAACAGCAGACATGAACGCACTTGCAACCTGGGATTTGTTGGAGCGGATGAGGGTTGGTCTTGGCTCGTAACGAACCCTCGACTGGAAGCGAACGGCGCCGAAAAGTGCGGGTGGGTGCGGATATGCGAAGCAATCAAGGGGACGCGCGGTGGTGGCATTCCAGGATTGCCCTGTGTGGGGCAGGGGAAGTCACACGCAGGGGAGGCAAACAGGCAGGGAACGGGGCTGCTGCGAAAACCGAGACAGTGGTACGCGATCTGCCGCCCCGCCCACATCAAGCCCACCCCGCCTGCCCTGGAAGCAAAAACCGAGTCATTCCAATACGAATCGCTCACACTCGTTGTTCAACGCAGCGTCGGCGGGCGCCACGACTGATTCCCCGGTCCTGACTCACTCACTGACTCAAGTTGATGCCGGAGAAGCCGGGGGCTACGCCGGTGGGCCTGTGTAGGTCCGCCCCGAACCAAGGCTCTACAAACTCACGGGCGCAAGGCAATGCTTGAGCTGAGGTTCGCTCTTGCCATCCATATGGACACATGTCCCATGTGCCAACGAGGTCAACATCGCGTTTGTCAACATCGTGTTTGCCGGACTGAGGGTGCTAAGCACTGTGGAATCTCGCCGCCGCTTGATGTCTAGAGTATGCCTATAAGTCTGCTGACTACTTTACCGCATGTGGATGGGGAACAGGTGTGCGCAGACTCGCTTCACATAGCCATGCACAGATCTCAAAAAACTTGACGAGAAACGCCGCAAAGCGACACCAGGTGCTCGCGGGCAGCCGCAGGCGGCAAGGTCAGGGTGTCGAGGACGCCCCAGCAATCTGCACAGCTCTTTCACACATGTGGGCCCGAGGACTCAGACTGCATCTCGCTCCTGCCGAAGTTCGGCATCAGAAACGAAAGGGCGGTGGCACGTTACGGGCGCTCGGGGGCAGGGGACACACATGGTGCTCTTGGCCTGGTGGCGGCATAGCTGGACCGGTTCTGTCAGTGTTCAACCGATTCTCGCCGCCTCCGCCGATATCGCTTCGGGTTAATGGAAGACCTGATACGGAAGAGGGAGCAGCAGCCGACGTTCGGGCAGAGGGGACCGTCAGGTTGGGGTCTCCTCGCTGTAGACTAGAGCTCTCATGGTGTGTAACGGAAGCCATAAGACACGCGTAATGGGCAGTTAGAGACCAGGGTTTGCCGATGATGCATACCTCGTCTGCGATCATCGCGGTATGCATCGGCTCTTGGGCTGAGGTTCAGGCTCGCCGTCGTCGGTAACGTCGCTGGATCTCACCCCACTAGGGGCGGGGGCGGGCAGCGGACAATTCGGCAAATCACCGCGACCTGCCGCTTCTGCATACGTCGTCGGCCTGATGGGGTTGGCTGAGCGTGCTGGGTACATTCGACGTGTGATACGGCCTCAGGCCCTGCTCGGCTCCCGATAGGAAATGGAGGGGTTAGTCACCATACTCGGCGCGAGCCTGACACGGTTCTCGGGTGCTGACACGGCACCAACGATCGAGTTTTACTCTGACGTCTGGTGCGGAGACCCCTCCGCAGACATGTGACGCGACGTTTCTGACTGGCCCAAATCTGCACCTCCCCCACACCCACGCGTGCGCGGTTTCGCTGGCCGCCATAACGTTTGGACGACCGACGTTGACACGGGTACGACATTCATCTTCACGGCGCGGAATACTGCATACGCCGGTGAGGCTACAAATCGCACGACGCACGCACCCCCGTGCTTTTGTCCGGTCTCGGGAAGGACAGCAAGCAACCGCTGGTGGTGCGCCTCTTTGGATGGGTGACTGTCCACAATGTCGCTTCAGCCCGTGGTCACCTCATGTACGGTGTTTGCTTTGTCAGAGCGTCGGACCCGCTGGTCCAGACTCTTGCATTCATCGAGCCACACAGCGCTCCCCGGATCACCCATCCCGCACGCCGAGGCGAAGGGTCCGAAGCGACGCCGGTCCTTGGCCTCCACGATCCATAACCTGTGAGCACTTCAGCTTTGGGAGTTTGAATTTGCGCATGGCCAGGGCACGACGATAGGGGAAACTGCAGTGCCTGAAGGATGTCAGTCACCCTTCAAAGACACTCCGAAGCCTGGTTTCCCGAAGACTCTCTGTCAGGTGCGGGAGGGGCGTGCATGCATCTTGCACGGCCCCTTTCATGGCAGTTGAACGACGACGGGGGGTAGTCTGTGTTACGTAGGGTAATATTGTGGTCTTGGCAGTCTGCACAGTCACTCGCGAGAGTCTGACCCGATTGCCGAACCGATGCGGCTTCGGTCGCGTTCGGGCGCCAGTGAGGCTAGCAACGCTGAGCGGCCAGGCACCATTGCTTGGTAGATGGGACGGTGCCTGTCTGTGCCTTGGGGGTTAACTCGTTACGAAAGGCGATCACTCCCTCCACCAGGTCTCGCTGTTGTCACGGACGATCGTCTTTCTCCGCTATCGGAGAGGCCAGCTTTCGGACTTTTAGCAAAATTCTGGCGGGCTTCTGTGCCGCCTGTAGGGGAATATACAGCCCCGATCCCCAGGACTCAATCGGCAGGTCCGGCACAGCAGACTGGCTGCCGTCAAGCAGGAGTAGTCGAGCTCACATCATTATCAGTCGGACAGATCTGAACGCCTCGCCTACCATGATTGCCATACCAGCGTTGAATTCCTGGTTCTCAGCCGGACATGCGTAGAGGTGACCTCCATGGACATCGGGCAAAGTACAGTGATGATGGAGCTTTAGTGAGACGGTGGGGCACGCATCTAACAAAAGTAATACAGAATGTAACGGCGAAAAACGTGTGCGTAAACGCATCGGACGTGTCTTTGATTCTGGCCTACAGTACGTCCAAAGGATGAACGGACGCTGCGTATTCCCGCGATTCTTTAATTAACGCGAAACGCACGTGAAATTCCTAATAACTCTATTTCATCTGCGGGCGCTCGTTTTGCAAGGCTCGCTTGCTCACGCCAACATGTATCGCCCCTCTGCGTGACGTCGGCGGCTGCTCGACAGCTCGACAGAGGATGGAAGGATGCCAAGCGAAGCTGAGTACCATAACCAATGAAGCACATTGGATGTCTAGAACGCCGTGTCCTGGCTGGCGGGCTGGAGTAGGACAGGTCCTCGCCCATGCTGTTCAGGGAGGCGGAGATCTGGACAGCCGCGGCGTCTCACTTTCGAAGCTCCGTCCACGGTAGAGCGGTTTAGAGAGCGCATGAAGTGTGGAGCTAGCACCCTGCACCTGTCATCGGTGATGCCAGGCGAGGAGCTCGCCCCTGGCGCCTGCTTTTTATCCGAAGCACTTGCATCATCCCGAGGCGCTGGGATTGGAAAGGGGAGGATCACACGCAGGGGAGGCAAACAGGCAGGGAACGGGGCTGCTGCGAAAACCGAGACAGTGGTACGCGATCTGCCGCCCCGCCCACATCAAGCCCACCCCGCCTGCCCTGGAAGCAAAAACCGAGTCATTCCAATACGAATCGCTCACACTCGTTGTTCAACGCAGCGTCGGCGGGCGCCACGACTGATTCCCCGGTCCTGACTCACTCACTGACTCAAGTTGATGCCGGAGAAGCCGGGGGCTACGCCGGTGGGCCTGTGTAGGTCCGCCCCGAACCAAGGCTCTACAAACTCACGGGCGCAAGGCAATGCTTGAGCTGAGGTTCGCTCTTGCCATCCATATGGACACATGTCCCATGTGCCAACGAGGTCAACATCGCGTTTGTCAACATCGTGTTTGCCGGACTGAGGGTGCTAAGCACTGTGGAATCTCGCCGCCGCTTGATGTCTAGAGTATGCCTATAAGTCTGCTGACTACTTTACCGCATGTGGATGGGGAACAGGTGTGCGCAGACTCGCTTCACATAGCCATGCACAGATCTCAAAAAACTTGACGAGAAACGCCGCAAATGCCCGAGCTGAACACAATGCCATTTTTCCATCCGCCTCCCACGCTGCATTCTGGCCCTACGAATCGCACACAATCATAATCGCTTGCTCCGTGAATTTCTCGCATGCCTGACGCCCATTGTAACGGCATTGCGGTCCTCGCGCTCTGACGTCTCCCTACTCGCTTACTGCCGCAGACTTTGCCGTGGCTATCGTCTCCTCTGAGTTCGCTGGTAAAACCCAGATTGCCCGTCACCGCCTGGTGAATTCGTTGCTTAAGGATGAGTTCGACAACATGGGCCTGCACGCTCTCAGCCTGCGGCTCAAGACCCCCGAGGAGTGGGAGGGCGAGATTGCGAAAGCACAGGCGCAGTGAGCCGCTAAGTGTTGGAACGGTTCGATGGGTGCACTCTTCCCGTTGAAGCGGAGCGGCATCCTTTGGGCATCCTGCAACATGAAAAGGTCGATGCGAGGCAGAACACTGGACCGACCGTCCCCAGCGCACTGAAGAAGTGGGTCGGAAGCTCAGTGCCGCCCCTGCTGCTGCCCAGAGCGCGGAGATTCGTAGAACAGGCAGAAGCACTACAACGTCATTGCCAACGTGTGAGCTGAATGCCTCCGGTCCAGCTGACAGAAGCTCAACCACAGTTCAGGGCGCCGGCGTCGACTTTCACGAGGTAGGCCTCACTGTCGCTTGCTGTGCCTAACGTCAGTTCACGATCCAGAAGGATCACGCGCTAATTAGTGTTTATCCTGTCAAGCGGTATGACCTGTCTGGATACCAGAACACTCTAGCTAGCCCCCGTAACGGGTACATCCTGGACGGAGTTGCACAGGAGATAGACATCGCCACCGGTCGTGCCATCTGGACGTGGAGCGCGCTAGACCACGTCCACCCGTCGCAGTGCTACCTGCCACCCGGAACCTCAGGGTCACGAGATTCGCCGTGGGACTACTTCCACATCAACAGCATTGAGAAAGACTCGAAGGGCAACTATCTTATCAGCTCGCGTCACTGCAGCGCGGTATACTACGTGCGCGGGAGCGACGGCGCGATTCTTTGGACTCTAGGTGGCCGCAATTCGTCCTTCCGTCAGGATCGCCGGACATCCTTCTCCTTCCAGCACGACGCTCGCTGGCACGATGACGAGACGACTATAAGTTTGTTCGACAACGCCGCTACCGGCGGTCGAGGCTCTACTGCTCGTGGCCTCCACCTTCGACCCAACTCCAACAGTGGCACCGTCGACTTCATTCAGGAAATGCTTCCTTACCTGCGCACGCCTAGTCTCAGCCAGGGCAATGTCGACCGTCAGGGTAACGGCAACTGGATTCTGGGCTGGGGCAACATTCCCTACGTCAGCGAGACGTCTCAGAGTGGAGAGCTGCTCTGGGCAGGACAGTTCGGATACGGCGACGTTCAGAGTTATACTGCTCACCGAGCCAAATGGGTTGGCTACCCAAACACGAAACCCGATCTTGCCATCCGGAAGAACAACCAGGGCTACACAGTCTTCAGTACGCTCACTGTGGAACGCTGGCCGGCTGAAGGCGCTGCCAGGCTGTCTGGCCGCCCGAACAGTCCAAGTCTTGCACTCCCACTATCTCCTCGTTGCACACAACTCTTCCCTCCTCTTCCACTCTGTGCTCCTCCAGAGGGTCTCTACCGGTCCGTCACCTCTTGTGTATACACCATCAACTCCTCGGCGCGCCGCTCTCCCTCTCGCTCCACCGTCGCTGTACTTTGCGCCCGCATCAACACACAACATCGGATCGCCTATCAAACACCCCTCCCTGATTATCTTTAGTTACACCCAACTGGCGACCATCCGATCTCGACGACTTTCTCCATCTCTCAACAAAGCGGACCGTTCTCGTCGGCTCATCTACCTATAATATAGGCTGTGAGCCTCGTGCCCTTGGGACGATCTCACACCATCAAGCACCCTGTGCTTTTGATATCACTCTGCTCGGCATCCATTAGCATCTCCACCTCAGCATCGTCTTCAGAGGACCTCCCTCACTGCGTTCACTATCGTCTCTCTTCATTGTCTCCCTCCCGCCCCACCATCTCTGATCAGCAACTGCGCCATCTCTGACCAACCTCGACGAGTCTGTCAAGACATGCAGCGCGACTTTGACGAAAGGGATCGTCACGACTCTCGCTTCCCTCTTCCTCCTGAGCGACCTAGCCACCGTTCGGCTTTCCTCCATGGCCTTCCTCCACCAATGCCACCGTCGCCGCGAGGCTACTACCCGCCTTCCCCCGGCAAGCGAGAGGCTCCCAGCCCCGGCGGCGGCATGACCGATCCCAATGGGTGGTCTTCCGGTCCGCCTATGAACGGCAGCAGGTCTGCCATGGAGCGCGACATGTCTTCCGCCGGTTCCGCCAGGAGTCGATGGTCTCCTCCGCCCATGCACATGCGAAACATGTCACCTCGCATGGGTGATCGTCTTCCGCCGCTCGCCGATTACCCCCCAATGATGAGACACCACTGGGACAGCACACCCCATGTCCTCAAGCCTTCTTCTCACCCACCTCATGACCCCAATCGATCCCCTCACTCCCACCCGTCTTCCTATCGCAACCAGGGTACTCCAGGTCCCGAGCAGCAGAGGGAGTCGGCTTACTACAGGCCTCCGACCGCTCCCTCCCGCGGCAACACAAGAAGCCCAGAGTCAAGGGTTCCCAACGGCAATGTTATCGCTACACCCGAGGCAATCAATGGGAACGCTACCAACCCTTCCAACAACCTTAGTGCCCCTGCTAACGGCACTAAGCACCCGGCTCCAGCCGCAAGCTCGACGGATCCCCCGTCTGAGCCACCCAAGAAGAAGAAGCGTCGTCAAGCCTTCTCGTGCGCGGAGTGCGCGAAGCGAAAGCAGAAGTGTAACAGGGAGACCCCTTGCCAGCACTGTGTAAACCGCAAGGTTCCCCACCTGTGTATCCCCAGCTCACGCCTGAATTCGCCACCCTCGAGAGCCAAGCCTGCGGCAAAGACGGACGGTGACAAATCAGCTGCAACTGGCAAGACGGATGAGCGCACGACCACGACGCCTATGCCGGCTCTGGGGGGTCGTGTGAGCAGGATCGAGCGCATGCTGAACGCTGTGCTGAATAGGATAGACGGACTGGACAGCACCGCCCTTGCGGACTGGCGACTTTGTGAGTACTGAACAGGTTGATGGAACAGGTTGATGGTTACTAATGAAAAAGTGCATGCTCGCGCGGAATCTCCGCCTCCTCAACACGGTGCTGATGTTAAACGACCTCCTTTGCAGATCAATGGATCCTCGAACGGTTCTCTTGGATCGGTGGTTTCTATGCAGAGCTCCATTACGGGAAGTGTTGGTGGAGCGCTCGCAGGCAACGACACCCTTGCGAATCAGGTGGTGGACAGCGGACCCTGGTCGGTGGTGAGTGCAGTTTCGATTCTTTAATTGAGATCGGCTCGGGGAAGTGGCCGTGGCCGTGCTTTCGGACAACGTGCATGTTGATGTCTTCAAATCCGAAAGTATGCGCTAGGTTCGGTTCGGCGTACCTGGCGGGGACATTGTAAGCGACTTCCCCGCACTTTCGTTTCTCAGACACGTCGGGCTCTCCGATGGCGTAAACGAGCTTTCGCCCGAAGGCTGTATAACCAAATTAAGGTCCTGCACGCGCAACCGAAGTGCGGGCCGACAACCACACAGCTGACCTGTCACAGTTGCAACGGACCTCTCAAACCGATCTTCCTCCGCATGAAGAGGCCAACGCTTTGATTGCCTTCTTCTTCTCCGACATTAATGACCTGCACTATCCTATCGACAAGCGTGCATTCCTGCGAGGTGAGTCGCCCGTCGGTCATGTGGACTGTGGCGACCCTGACTAATGACATCAGCCTACGACGCTTTGTACACCTCGAACCTCGAGGAGCAAACCTCACCTGCGACATTGACCGCCCTGCCTCTCGTCTATGCCGTGCTTGCATTCGCCTACAGGCTGGCACCTGATCATCTTGTTCCCGGTGGTGAGCGTGACCGTCTCAAGCGTAGCCAGCAGCTCGTTTGGAATGCCAAGTGCACGATTCCCTTGGCTTCGTCTATCAGCGAGGCGGATGCCACTCAGCTCGTCGAGGCTCGTTTGATCGAGGCCCGCATCATCCTGGGTCTGTATCAGCTCCAAGTGGAGCGCGCGCTTGAGGATGCTTGGGTGACGTTCCGGACGGCGATTGCGATGGGGACGGCGATCAACCTTCACCGCGACGGGTCCCAGCTCGGCTTAGACGCCTTGGCTACCGAGTATCGTCGCCGGCTGTGGTCCTACCTGTGCCACGCCGATGCTACTACAAGCGCGATTGTCTCGCATCCCATGACGATCAACCCCACCAGCTACGACGCGGATACTCCTTCCAACGTGAACCTGGAAGAGCTCACAGTTCACGCTGTGAAACCGAAACCCATGGACGAGCCAACGACTGCTACCTTCATCGTTTTGCGCTCTCAGCTCGCTCACATTGTTGGTCGCATTACGTCTCAGTTCCAGAGACTGAGGGGCTCTATGCACTATGACGAGGTCCTCTCGATCGACCGGGAGCTTCAGGACTTCACCGACTCCCTCCCCCCTCAATTCCGCATCATGGATACCGATACCTCCAAGGACAAGGGTGAGCTGAGAACATCGTCCCGTGGAACTGACCACTCAGATCTGCCGCATCTTACTGTTCAGAGGCTGTTCATTCAATCCGAAATATTGCACTATGGCATCGTGCTTCATCGCCCCTGGGCGCTCCGTGACTTCTCCAAGTCTCCGGAGAAGCACGCACACTCGCGCAACCGCCTTATCGAGGCTGCCATTTTGACGCTCAAGGTCCGTGGCGGTTATGCCGATGCCAAGGTTCCCGAAGTGTTGGAACCTCTGCTTTCTGGATCGACTTACGATTTCAACGCCGCATTCATCGCCGGTCTTGGACTCCACGCCGACCCTAGCTGTCCCCGCTGCCCCGACCTTTGGGACATTATGGAGAAGTACACACGCCAGCACCCCTACGACCCAGACAATAAGGAGACCGTCATTGTGTACACGTTCTACAGGCGTGCTCTGCAGGACAAGGAGAACCGCTGCCGCGGCGGGTCCGACTCTGCGCGGCCTACTATGGCCAACCTCCTGGTCAATGGCAAGCAAGGCAATGACGATCCTCAGCAATTGATTGACCAGTTCCTGTCTGCCAATGCTGGGTTCATTGAGAGCAGGCGCCCTCGCGACTTGACAGCACTTGGTTTCGGTGCTCCTCCTGACCCTTCTCCAAGCAGCGTCAAGAATGAGCAAGAGGAGAAGAACCCCAGCCTCAGCATTGGCGCCGTGCCTGCTCGTCTAATCAAAGTTCAGGATGGCCAGACCGCCGAGGAGGTCAATACCCCCGAATTCTTCAACCGGCTTATTGATGGTGAGTACATGATCGAAATCACGCGCCGCTTAGTTGCTTTCAAGCCTCCGGGGGAGGGACTGTTCTTTATACCCGCGGAGACGCCAGAATGTCTGCTGATGACAGCTATACACCAATACCGCGCCCCACAGTGAATTGACGCCGTTGCGCTCTCCCCGCGATGGTGCAAACGCGCAGCGCATTCCGACTCTTGTAACTCCCGTCCCCTATACCACGGCACAATTTTAGACATCTGGCCGCGATGATAATCTATACTATATCGCAAGACTGTTTCGCAACACACTGCATCGTTTCTTTCTGTATCGTCATGGACAATATTCCGTCGCTTTTGAACTCAGTCTCTGTGCAGGCTCATTATTTGAGGCAATGTACTAGGTGAAAGGTCGCGCGCGGTGCCTTCAGTAGAGTGTAGCATCTCAAAGTCGCCGCCGCCTGTTCCAGTAAACGCATCAGTGCGATCAAGATGATCGGGAGTGCCGACCACTCGAGGGTCAGAGAGCCAGGGGTCCAAGAGGCTCGGTGATAGACAGGCATGCGGGCAGGGCCGGAATGAGATCTGAGCGAAGGGTGAGGTATTAAAAGAACACCGAGTTGTGCGTCTAAGCGAGCCCCTCGTCTTCGGAGATAGCTCAGATGATCGGCGGCGGCCTGTTCCGCCGGGTTTGGCTTGCTCAATCGTGTGCACTAGCAGATTTGCCACGGCAGAACGATCGCAAGCGAGCAATGCAGTCTGTCAGCGAGTAATGAGGATGCAGGGGGAGCCGCAACAGCGTCGTCAGAGCCATGGGAGTCGCAAGACACGGCGGAGGGAATTGCTTCAGGAAATGGTCGACGACGATCTCCCAGCCCGCGGCAGATGTGCAGGACGAATCAACCCCGGCCAAAGTGTCATCGGCGCGTGCCTTGCTGCTCGGACCATCGCATCGGTGAGTCACGACTGGCCACAAGGTGATTGGTGCACGGGCAAGGGACAACGGGCCTGAGGTCGCTTCGGTCGCCAGTCTTTCCTCATGCAGCAGGAACTCCGAAGGCAAAGTCCTTCCGCGTTATCCTCGACGCGACCAGTTGCACTCCGCATGGGGCTATCAGCAACATGTGTACAGAACTGGACTAGTAGAGGAGAAAGAGGTGTTCGGGTGGAGACAGAGGGGCTTTCGGCAACAGGAACCATTGGAGGAGCGAACGGTGGGCCCCAGCGCCCTCATCGCAATCACGGTGTTTGGATTGTCAGGCTAACAGGACAAGTCGGAAATCTGACAATGCGTTTGTCCGATAATACTCAATACGGCTGGTTGCGCGGCCAACGACCTTGCATAATTGCTCGTGCGCGTTCACTACGCGCTGCCCGCACTCTTTGTATCCCCACGCGGATAAGCTTTGACGTCCGTTCTCCCTTCACCCAAGTGGACACGAGGGGATCTCGGTTTGCTTCAGTCGAGGTGAAACTAGGCGGTCCGCGCGCGGCTACGCGTGCCGTTCCATCCGTTGCATTCACTACTTGGCGCCACAGTTCAATAGCCTCGATACGTGATTTCGCGTACCTCGTAACCGTACAGCCGTAGCGCCGTGACCGTACTATGGGGCCGTAGCGCTGCAGCCGCGCACTACTGAGACTAGCGCGCCAGAAATCCATGATCAGTTTAATCAAAGCTGCTCGTGGGGGGAACGGCATCGAGGGATGAGCTTTGGCTACTGGATCACTGGACGCAGACCAGCATGCAGCCAGTGAAACTGTGGGCTACGTCACCTGCTTCCGACTGTCCGAAGTGCGGTCCATAATGATAGTTCGGTACAGAGGCAGGTGCTCGCAAGGTGACACCCGGATCTGCGAGGCGCGGGATTGGAGGCGCCGCGTCGAGATCTGCCCTACCCTGCAGCGTTCGATCCTGCCGCCGCAGACGTATGTCGACATCTCGCGATTCGCTTGCTTCCGATACCGGGATCTGCACACAGCTTCTCGCCCCTTGCTTGCCCTCTGAAGCCTCGCGACGAGCGACCAGTACGTAGCCCGCCCGGACTTTGGTCCGCGACTCCTCTGCTGGAATGTTGGCTGCTCGCGCTATTCTGTGCTCCATGACAGATCCGAAGCCTGGGTTGAGGAGGGTATGATAGGGATAGAAGGAAGGTTACAGGGAGTAGCGTCGTGACGCAGCAAAGTATCGGGCACATGCGGCAAACACGCGCTACTTTCATGTCTCTCACATGTGACATGTGCTTGAATTTCGTGCACAGTCCCACAATGCATCATCGCATCGCCTTGGTTCGTTGCCAGTCCGGCGCAGTCTAGTGCTCTGCATAGCTGTGCATCAGGTAGAGCAGAGGGAAATATTGACGGGAGCAAAGTAATCAACCGTTTATCCATGATTTTTGCGAGAGTGGGATGGGATGCAAGCATGCAAGGCGTACATGTGGGTTTGATTGGGGTCGGGCGGCGTTGATTGGGCTGATAGGGCGGTGATTGCGACGATTACGATTTGATTGCGATGAGCCGGGGTGCGGGATCAAATTCATAGGTGGGGCGATTAAAATGAAGCCCGGCATCCCCGTGGCGGGGGAGGCCGTGAAACCCGAGCAACCAGCGGGCCAGCACCCAGGGGAGCCAGCACAGGGGGGGAAAAGGTCCTATCGATAAACGGCAACCTGCCACATTCAGGGATGATGCCCCGGTGATTCCCGGCGATTGGAAGGTTGTCCCTGGCGATGGGCCTCGATAACCTGCCCTGCTTGCCGGCGCCTTGCCCTGAGCCGAGCACAGACGACCGGACACGCCGACACACCGAGGCAAAGTCCTGTTTTCGGCCACTTGGCCCACTGAAAGGGACACACCAGTTGGCCGGGTGGGTTCCTTGTTGCTGGCATGTACGATGGGCCAAGCGCTGGCGCGGCCATGATCTGCGGAGCGATGCGGCGAACAAACCCGGTGCCTCTGAGTGACAGCGATGCATTCTTCTTGCGAGCCGTTGTGCGGGGTTCGACGTGCGGTGTTGATTGCGGTAAACTCGCAAGCGGCCACTGGTCCATCCCCGCGATGACGGGCGGGGCTTGATTATCTTCTCGACTGAAATGGCTTGGCACACCTGCCCATCTGCCCATCGGGTTCGAGTGACAGCGAAACAAGAGGAACACGGGGAACCCAGATTTGGCGCTGATTGCCAATGACTTGGCCACCTCGTCACGTCCCCGCCCTCGTTACTGATGCGCCGTGCTGTGGGTGCCTTTCAGCACGGCGCACAGCGATGCACCAAAGATGTCAAGCTCTGAAGCATGCTTCGCCAGGAGAAGGGGACGCAGTCGCCGAGCTCATCCGAGAGAGTCTGGCGAGAATAGGCAGAATGCGAAACACTTATTCACTCGATCACGGGGACACGGCCACGGATCCGTGGACTGAGCGCGATAGACCGAGCGGCAGCGATGGATGGTGGGTCGGTGGTGACAGCTTGATTAGGAGCACGTACGCAGACTCGGGCTCGGACCTCACACACGCATACATTGTCATCCCGCGGAATCGGCGCTTCAGCGTCATCAGTAGGTTGCGGACAAAGGGCCGGGGCAGGGTTTGCCACACGATTCAGACTGTCTGAGAAGGCAAACTGAAAAAGCCGGTCTCGAAGGTGTCCGGGATTGGGCGATTCGGGCATGGGATCTGGTCCTGTGTTTTGTGGAGCGAGCTCGATGCACCACACGCACGTATTTCGCGGCGGCAGCTGCCCACATGTTGCATGCGCTATAGCATGGATTACCTAAGGTGGAGCGCTATGGCGTCCGAAAGCTCGGTGGTGGGATTCAGCATGCTCGGCAAGGTGTGCGCGGCACAACAGCACGGCACGGCGGCAAGGGGATCGCGGAGTAAGTTGGTGGTATAAACTTAGCGCTCTAGCGTCAGTTGATCGGGATCGCCCAATCAGAAGCGGCGTAGCCGCTGCGTTGTCTAATCAAATCAAGGCGAAATGAAATCGAATCTAAACACGGGAATATCACATGGTTACAACTCTTGAAAAACTGAGCGATGCAGAGGGAAAGGTGATTAGGACTGCAAGGACACTCAAGGGCAAAGTGATGGGAGAGACGGGCAAGGATGGAGCAGACCTGCCAGGGAGAACGGAGTTGAAGGATAGGGAGGGGGGGGGGGGGGGGGGGGGGCGAAAAATCGAAAAGGGAATGGAAATGATGACTGATCAGATGGCGGCCGGTTTGGTTGCGGCTGGGTTTAATCGCAATCAGCTCCCGCGTTTTGTCTTGGGCGTGGGCCTGGGGGCCGTCCCCTGAGACTCGAGGATGGGTCGGACAACGCGCCAACGCACGACACCGCCTTACCTCGGCTCAGCCTGGTCATCGATAGAAGGAGAAAAGGCCCCATCGCCCTGAGCCGCATCAGTCGCCAGCGCTGGATTGGCCAATCTAAACCACTCAGCCTCAGTCTAAGCTCTAGCCTCCCCCCTGGCCAGATGCCTCATGGCCGATGGGCCCTCGCCCTTGCTCTTGTCTGTCTCTGCTGACCCCCATCTATCTTATCCATCAATCACCCACCCATCTTGCCATCACACCCTCACTCCAAAGCCAACATCCACGAAACCCTTCCTTTTCATCCATCCATCTACCATCGACAACTCCATCCATCCACCCTTTCCATCCATCCATCCACCCATCCCTCTGTCGGCCCCGATTCCCGCTGTCGTCTTGTGATACCACCCCGATCCTACGAATACTGCGCATTGTTACTTGCACGAGCGATTGCCAAACGACAACTCGACTCGCTTAATCACCGCAACTACCTTTCGAACCAAGTCAAACGCAAAACCCCCTCTTCCCTTCCTTTCCACGAAAAGGTGCGTCGGTTTCTTTCCCTCCCTCCTATCCATGCCTGTGTCCGTTACCTCGACTACTCTGCATCCAGCCAGCCGAGAATCAGTCATCAGTCAGTTGTCAGCCGATGGGCCCACATCATCAACGACCCACCAAGCCTCCGCGCTATCAAATGATCTTTTGTTTTGCCGTCATCGATTACTCGACAATCCTTTGATGCATCCCACATGGGGTCATGCCAATGTGATCTTGTGACAGCGGACGTCAAGATGAGGTATCACACATCTGTGCTGCATAATCGTGTCGGCTTGATTGGGACTTGGAACTCGCTCGACCTGTATTCGGGCGGCGGGGTGGGACATTCCTTGTCACTTTGCCGGGCCCGCCCGCGCAGATAACGCCGCTCTTACCGACAAGCCCCTGCCCCCACTGCCTTCCTCGGTCCCTTGTCGCCGCCCACCTTTTTCCACTGCATATCCACCAGCCAATCCCGCTATCAACAATCACGTTTCACCCTCATGCATCCATCCCACACAATGCGGTGTGTGCCTTTTGGTTACAGTCACTGCACTCCATGCATGATTACTCACTCGGTGTACTCCACATACGAGTCCGGCGGAGTCGGCGGATATATCGTCTGATCAAATCATCGCGTCATCTGCCCCTTCTGGCTGGCTGGGCTTTTTTGATCGCCCGCAGATACCGGCGTCCTCCGTGGCTGAGCACGCGTGGCACTGGCATGGACCCATTTTTCATCCCGATTGTCATCCAACCCTTCTGCATCGCTTGCATACACCAGACAACCGCTGACCCATCAACAGTAATCCACGATGCCCCGAGCGCCCTCGGCGTCGCCAAATCATACTTCAGCCACCCTCACCACTACCGCCACCGCCCCAACATCTCCGAGTGCTTCGGCGAAACTCTCCCCCCGTGCCTCGCTTTCGGCCCCTCACTCTCCGACAGCACCGACTGGATATCGATCGTTCGCCGCCGCCCCTCGTGTGTCTGATACCCGCGGATCCTCGAACCAGCAGGACGAGGAAGAGGACGAGCTGGACGACGACGACGCCCCCGCCGCTCCGCCTCCGGAACCTGCTCCTCGTGCACCCCCCAGTGGCAGTGGCAATATGAGCGGCTCCGCTTGGCGACCAAAGTTTGCCCGTGGGTGGGGCGGTGTCGGCGGGTACGGCGCTTCCAACGAGCGCGGTGGATCTGACGGGACTCCGGACAACGGTGCCTCGCCTCAACACAGCGCCCGGCAATCGGAGCCCGTATCGCGCGACATGTCGCCGGCCGTGAAGGACGATGGTGACGATGAAGATCGCCGGCGCCGACCTGCCCGCCGTTCCGGAGTCCAGGGTCCCCCCGGCAAGCGGCCGGAAGAAGACGAGCTCGGCCCGAACAAGAAGCGTAGGACGCACTCGCCCCCACCTGCCCAGAGCGGCGGGGGTTGTGGGGACGATGGTCCTGGTTCGTGCCCTGGAGACGGTCGCTGCAACGGCCTGGGAGGAAAGACAGCTTGCGAGGGTTGTCCCACGTACAACAACTCGCTTGCTGCCAAGGCTGCCGTCGCCGGCCCGTCTGAAGGTGTGGATCGCCCTGTTTCGAAGCACTCGCCCCAGCCGGATCACCACAACGCCGATCGACCCAGTCCTTGGAACATGGGCATCCTCAGCCGTACGAGCTCCATGAACAATGGCCGCGGCACTGCCTCCCCCATTCCTCCTTCTGGCCACGACATGAAGCCTTCCGTTTCACCCGAGGCCGATCCTCAGAAGCAGCAGCAACAACAACAACAGCAGCAGCAGCAGCACTCTACCCCTGGTCCTCAGCCTGGCACTAACGGGCTGGCTACGACTCCAGTTGGCATGAGCTGCCGCAATTGTGGTACGAGCACTACACCCCTTTGGCGTCGTGACGAGGAAGGCCGACCGCAGTGCAACGCTTGTGGTTTGTACCACAAGCTTCATGGAGTTCCCCGACCCGTCGCCATGAAGAAGACGGTCATCAAGCGGCGCAAGCGTGTTCCGGCCGTTGCTGCCGCTGCGTCGCCTGCCGGGCGAAGCGCGTCGCAGGGCGCCCCGTCGCCTGGTGGATCCGTCCTTGGCTCGCAGCCGCCTTCTGGCTACCCTGGCGATGACAAGTCCCGTTATCCTATGGGCAGTGGCAGCCCGTGGTCGTCTGGTCTCCCCCCTTCGGCTCGCCAGCAGCAGGAGATGGAAGCTCGTCGAAAGGGTATGCCTATGATTGTACCCGGCGGTGGTGCCCCCTCTGGCGGTGTCGAGCGCAAGAAGCCATGGTGGATCGAGGATCGTCGCGAGCGAGACGACAAAGAGCATGGTCAGGACGTGAGTCGCAAAGCTGACATCGATATGCTGACTCTTAAGCTTTCTCACCAGCTCGCTGCGGAGACCCTGCTTTCGATTGCCCCTCAGACCAAGGTTGCCACACTGTCCCCAGATAGCCGTGACAAGCCCCTGGCTGGCGGATCCGGAATGGACATCGACCCACGTGACGATGACGCACGCGGCGTCAAGCGCAAGTCTGCCGAGGACGACCGTATGGGCGCTAGCGCGCACAGTTTGGGTCTTGTTGGTCTCGAGAAGGACCGCGACCGCTCTAGGGAGCGCTACTCGCATTCGCCGTTGGCTCAAGCAAACGAGGGCCGCGGTGGTGCGGGTACACCAGGTGGCCGTGTCGGTGGCAGTGCTCAGTCCACGCCCTCATCGGTCTACAATGCCAGCCCCCGCTACTCGATTTACGGTCCCAATCCCCGGGAACCCAGCAACCTCATGTCGACCCCTTGGTCAAACCTGGGCAACAGCCGCTACGGTTTCGGGTTCGGTAGGAGGGATCTTGGAAGTGGTACGAGCCCGGCCGCTCCCGGTGCCTCGCCGGCAGCGTCGGCGAAGCACGGTGGCCCGCCCCTCTCGCCTCCCCGTCGCCCCGCGCCTGAGCCCCCTCGAGAGTCGTCGTCACTTTCGCGCTTCTACTCCGGCAGCGGCATGGGCTCTAGTGCTGGCGGCCCGTACAGCATCAGCCGCCGCGAGCTTACCGAACACCGCGAACAACTTCGTGAGGGCAAGCGTTGGCTCGAGGGCATGCTTTCCAGGACGGAGAAGCTACTGTCCGTTGTGGAGAGCAAGATTGCCGCTGAACCCGCCCCGTCTGCTCCGGCTGCGGCTGCCAACCCTGCCGCTCCGGCTGGAGCATCGGCCCCGGCTCCTTCCGCAGCGAATCCGGCTTCGCGCAATGACGACTGGGAGTTTGAGGAGCGCGAGCGCGCGCGCCGAAAAGAGTTCCAGCGTCTGGAGGAGGAGGCTCAGCGGGATCGCCAGGAGAAAGAGAGGCGTGACAAGGAGCGTGCTGGCGCTCTTCCCATCCGTGGTGGCGAGCCTCCTCGGGAACGAGAGCGTGAGCGGGAGCGCGACGTGCGGGAACGTGAGGCTGCCGCTGTTGCCGCCGAGCGCGTTGCCGTCGAGCGCGAGCGCGAGCGGGAACGCGAGATGTTTGACCGTGAATTCCGTCGCACTGCCTCGGACAAGGAGGAACGTGGCCGTGATCTCCTCAACCTGTCGAGGCGCAGTGGTGTGTCGCCGAACGGCGTTGGGCGCGTTTCCTCTAACGGTGGCGAGCAGCCGCCCGCACCGCGGTCGCACGATAGGGAGCGCGAACGGGAGCGCAGTGGCAGCGGCCCCGCCAGCAGTGGCAGTGCCGCGCCGAAGTGGGAGAGCGAGGGTGCCGTTCCCCTGCCCCGGCATGAGCGGGAAGGTGTGTCCCGTCTCGGTCGTGGACTGTGGGCTTTTGACACACGTGGATAGCGCCACGGCCATGGACATTGGGCATTGACACGTTTGGATAGTGCAGTAGTTAGTTCAGTTCGAGTGATACATGACCTGTTGTAGTTTGTTGATGCCTGTGACAACTTTGCGTGTGCATGATCTCTAAGCAAACTACGTCTCGCCCACATGTTTCACCTCGACAGGTTTGGACGTCGGCTGGCCAATCTTGGGTGGGAGAACGAGGACCTGTGTATTCCTGCGGGCAAAGTTGACGAGCGTCGTCGCCAGCGTCGCGGGGTCGTCTTCGTGCAGAAAGTGGCCTACGTCCGTCATGACTTCGAGCTGGAACTTGCCCTGCATCTGGCCGACGATGAGGTCATTGTCTAGTCTCTCCTGGCCAGCCAAAACGAGAATGCGAGCGCATCTTGAGGACAAGAACCGCTTCGACAAGCCCTCGTACCAACCGAGCCAGAATGGTTCCGTCGCAAGGAGGTCCGTTCGCCACCGCTGCTTCCCATCCTTATCTTGTGTGTTCATCGGCACAACATACGAGGGCACGGAAACACGCGCAGAGGTCGGGTTCCGGATGCTGCCCGAATCGAGGTGCCACTGAATCGCGCTGGGAACCGAGCCGAAGGACGGGGGCCGCTTTGAGAGAATGTTCTTCATGAGCGGGAGCGATTCGACGGCGGTTCCCTCGACAATGTCCAGCGCTGCAACGCCCGCCACGGTGTAGCCCTCCTTCTGCAGCAGCGGGGCCGCGTCAATGCACGGCGCTGCGCCCATCGAGTGTCCGACGAGCTGATGTAAGCTAGGTGAACAGGTCACATCTGTGCTATCTGTCCCGGAGGAGACTCACGATAAGACTCGGCGCCGTCTTCGGGTCCGGGAACGTATGCCTGATAATACCCGTCAGATCGTTGATCAGCGTAGGCAGGCTGAGATCCGTATCCCGCCCGGCGGCTCCCTCGGTGCGCGTCTTCCCATGGCCCCTGCAGTCGAACGAAAGCACGCCATACTCTGGTCCTCGTGCCGCGATCTCCTTCGCAAGCGCCGCAAAGCTGAGTCCACTTGCGCCCGCCCCGTGGTGCATGACGAAATACGTTCCGTGAGGGTTGCGGCTCTGTCCTGGCGCCGTCACCGAACCCATGCCCGGCGCCGAGCCCGAAGTGGCCATAGCGGAGGGAAGCTTGCCGGGGAAGGTGGCTGGGGCGCTTGGGGGTAGTGTTGCGGGGACCGAGGCACCGGGGCTCACAGCGTTCGAAGCCCAGGGCGCTTGCGTGGGGTTGAAGCCACCTCCGGGATTCGGCTGCTTAAGGGAAGACGTCGAGGCGGCAGGCCGTCCGGGGGATGGAGGGACGGCCTTCGGCGGAGTCATGTACGCGCGGAACGTCGTGTCGTTCCCTGGCGGGTTGATCTCGAGCGCCTGAGAGAAGAATTCAGATGCCGAGAGTGGCTCAATCGTCGCCTTCTTCGTGCTACTACTGTCAGCAGGAGCCTTTGGTCCTCCCAGCCTCCTCGTTCGGCGTTCAGTCTAACAGCTGGGCGGAAGACTCACGCGCTCGCGCCGCCGAGCTCGCCGAGCTCATCAGCCAGCTCCTCCTCCTCATCATCTTCGGCCCACGGAGCCTTCGTTGGCGGTGCAAGGCGGTTCAGGATCGCCTTCCTGAACTCCTCGGACATTGTAGAATTGGTTGTGTTATGTTCAAGTGCGCCGCGCTGATGCAATCAATGCGCCTTGTCCAGTCTTGTCAACTCGACTGACGAACACCGAGCGCACCGCGCAGCAATCAACGTGGGGCTCCGGCGTCGCGTGGTCAATTTATTCGGTACCACCTGTACGCCTCCGAACATTGACCCGCGAGGCAAAAGTCGGACTGACCGCCGCTGAAAGTTACGGCTTGGACACTGTTATCGTTGTTTTCGCCGTCGTCTGCTCCTCCCTCGCTTCCGAGCTTCGCCCCTCACCCGAAAACGGCTTTGGATCGCTCAACACCGAGCTGAAAGCCAGTACCCACCTTGTTACGACCGTTCCTTACCATCCGACGCCCTCCTCCGTCTCCTAGTAATCATGTCCGGCAAAGCTGCTGTCACGCAGATTGTCGTAAGTACAGATTGCCATCGTTAGTGAGGGCACCCGCTGACTGGAATACAGAAGCTTCTCGTCCCCGCTGGAAAGGCCACGCCGTCGCCCCCTGTCGGTCCCGCGCTCGGAGCGAGGGCCGTGAAGGCCATCGACTTCTGTAAGGAGTTGTGAGTATTCTTGATCACACCAGAATCTGCAGTTGCGCCGGCAAGACATGGGATACTATGGCTTCCACAACTGTTTCGGGAGGCTGCTTCTGCTGTTCTCGAGCGGGTGCGATTGTTCGTTTCGAAGATGTCTGCCTTGTTGAGACACGAGGTGCGGGCTCGACCTTCCCCTTATACTGCTACCCCTCTTTGCAGCGTCGAGCTTGAGTCTGGGCTAACCTCAGCAACGCGCGAACGGCACACTTCAAGCCGGATGTCCCGATCCCGACGCTCATCACGATCAACCCCGACCGCACGTTTAGCTTCACGTTTAAGACGCCGCCCGTGTCATACCTGCTGAAGAAGGCCGCGAAGATCGACAAGGGCTCTGGAGCGCCCGGATCAGACATTGTTGGTGAGGTCTCGCTCAAGCATGTGTACGAGATTGCCAAGGTCAAGTGCATGGATGACGCTCTTAAGGCCCTTGGAGAGGAGCGCGTCGCTCGGTCCATCGTTGGAAGCGCGAAGTCGCTCGGCATCAACGTCGTCCCGTAGATAGAATGTATTGCATTGGGCTCGGACGGGGTATCGGTACTGACTGACTAAGGACTGGCTGACAAGTTGAATGGGTACTGAGAACAGCTCTGAGGTCTGAGTGAATGGAAGTTCGCAAACTCGTCCTTGTTGATTCTGCCGCTGCTTGCGCATCGCGCGGCGAAAGTGCACCAAGGGGCGCAGTCTTCCACCAGTTTTCGGCTCCCTCCTAGCGGATGCTGTGTTCTGCACCCATTTGCTTAGTACTTTCATATGCCCGGTGGTGGAGGTTGGCCCTGTAACCATGACGCCTGATGAACAGTCCGTGGACAACTCTCCATGCAAAGCCCCACAAACATCAGCACAGCCCTGCTACCTTGCTCGCAGTTCGTGCGTCATGAAGGGGAATAGAGGATACCAAGCACCGATGGCACCGATGACACCGCTTGGCTGGCCGAATAGGGATTGTGCCCGCAATGAGATCTCGCAGCGACTTCATGCCCGATACTAGCGTGGCACACAAAGCGCTTTAGCGATGGCACGGGTGGCTAGCTCTCAGCGCTTCACCTTTTCAACAGACTAGTAGACACAGCGATCAAGGGTTCTCCTCACCCTCGACGGCTGGGTCTGCCGGTCGAGGTTTATTCCTCGTTGCTTCCTCGTGGGGAAACAGTGCCGTGAGAGGTGATTAACACTGTGATTTTTTCTCCGGTAATGCGCTAGGGCCGAGAAGACGAATATCTTAGACTGATTCCCCGAGCACCGCATGGGGCGTTTGGTTGAATTCCAACTCGGCAAGAGGTGGTCTGACTATCTACGAGGACCCGCCATGCCTGGTCGTGCCGACTTGCCGGACTGACTGGTGGGTGCAACCCACTCTACCAAGTGTTTGAACTAGCTGCGCTTCATCAGCAATCTTCTCCACCAGAAGCGCACAACACGTTTGCGATTAGGAATGCAGTGGGTACTCCGACCTCTCGGGAGCTTAGGTCGCAGCTAGAACGTTACTAGCCTGTAATGCTGTGGCGACTATCCACTGGTAGTCCCATTGGTTGCACGTGGCCCGCGTGTTCAACCACGAGATAACAGCCACTGACATCAGATATCGTTCGGCAAAGCACCGGCAATTGAGCCAGCGGAGACGGCGCCGGTGCTAGTGACACATTGTCCGGCGATGGGCTCAGCAGAGTGATAGCTAGTCCGTAGGCCGCGGCCATGGGTGGGCGAAGCATCGAAGCATCCTGCTACTGGACATTTAGGCGAGTCTAGGGAGGGCAGGGTGTGGAGGAGGAGGGGTGCTTTAGCTCGTCTATGACGCTGGGGTCAAGCATCATCCTGAGCTACCACAGAGGCAACGATAGCTCTGCATGTTGCTGTGATACTCGTCGAGTTGAAGTATCCCGAAGAGGGTGCTTGGGATGGTATATAAGCAAGAGTCAGCGACGGCCAATCCTCCACCATCAACAACAACAAATCCCCTCCTCACAACGTCTCTAGACCAAATCCAAGCCACGATTAATCCCACAATCACAATGAAGGTCATCGCTCTCGCCCTTACCCTCTTCGCTGCCGCTGGCTCTGTTTCCGCCCAGGTTGAGTGAGTGTTTTTCTTCCCCATTCACAATCACGACACCTCTCCGCGGTCTTTCTGCGCCTCTCCAGTCTCTTCTGTCGGCTTTTGGCTAACATGGAGCGCCTCTACGGTCGACCCTTGCCTCAAGGGCTGTGTGATCCAAGCCGCAAAGGAAATCGGATGCTGGAACGAGGGTGACATCCCCGGCTCGATCAAGTGCGGCTGCGGTGACAAGCGTGGCGAGGCCACTTCGCACGGCGTGGCCTGTCTCCAGGGCAAGTGCCCCGAGCAGATTGGCGGAGCTTGGGGCCTCTTCGACAAGATGTGCAAGGAGGGCGTTACCGGCAACATCAATTAAAGGATTGCTGGCAGCGTTTCGGAGCTCTCCACAGCTTCCTTGTAGCAAAGAGATTAGATGAAGCGTGTTGAAGGCGAACTTTGGCACACCGAGCAGACTGAGCAACTGACAACATTTAACTCAGCAACCAGCGAAGACGGTGGTGAAGAAATGGATAGTGCATAAGTGGTGGTGGTGCTGATTGGTGATTGGTGATTGCTATGCTTGATATACAGGTGTACAACATTCTATCGGTAGGGCTGCTCCTCGTCTACAGGGTCGTCCTCAGGCGTCTCCGGCGCTGTGCGAACTCCTTTCTTCAATACCTTGGCGAGCTCGCGCTTGACACCAGCTCCGTGGAGGCGGAGTCGCTTGCGCTTCGCGAGGTTGTTCGCGTATCCCGTCGTGACCCACTTGATCTTGCTGAGGCCATCGGCATTCTCGTCGATTGCGCAGCGCTGGTGCAGGACAGCGATGTCCTTAAAGAGGATGTGTGGCGGAATGTTGGCCTCCGGAACCATGCGCGGGTCGGTAAGACGCACGGCGAACTCTCCCGGTACGCGTGGAACGTATTGCCGGAGAATGTCGGCGGCTGGATAGCGCTCCGCGAACTCGAGCAGGAGCTCCAATGCGCCGTTAACGTCTCCATGGATCGTCGCCATACGGATACCGGCCGCCCATATCTGCTCCGTCTGCCGGTCATCGAGGCCGATGAGCCAGCGTTGCCTTCGAGAACGTGAGTCATTCTCCCACGATACCTGTCTCTTCGCCTGCTGGTACCACGCGCGATACTCCTCCCACACTTCGGAGCCCCAGGCATGTGCCGCCTTGGCATCGGCAGCAGACATGCGTCCGCGCCCGCACTTCTGCAGGATCTCGAGGTACGTCCAGCCATTAGGTCGGAGGTGGAGGGACGGGAACATGTCGCGCACCTGTGCCCATGTGCGTTCGTACACCTCGCGTGTCGCCTCAATGCTCTTGTCGTGCACAAAGTGCGCAGAAATGTACGAGTTGATCAGGCGCGCAGTGGGGCGCACCTTACCAAACGGCACCGTGTAAGGGTCAACGTCACGGCCCTGCGTGAGCTGGTAGTCTTGCAGGCACTGCTGGAAGAGAGCATCAACTTCGCGCAACGCGGCAGAGCTCGTTTCCGGCATCTTTGGCTTCTCCGGGTCGACCTGGGCCTCTACGACACCTTCCCGCTGGTCAGACGCCGCAGCCGCGGCAGCAGCCTCCTCCGCTCGGGTGACATCACGCGGCGAAAGTGGTCGGATCACCTGCACGTCATGTCTGCGCTTGATGGGCTTCCAAGAAGCGTACGTCATGAAAACGCTCGCCATCGTCTCCTCGTTTGGGCTCTGGATTGCGTCACGGCCGAAGGCGCGAGATGAGCGCGCGAGGTCGACGACCTCGTTCAACACCCAGCGGGCACGGTCAAGGTCGCCGGCACGTTTGGCACCCTCAAGCAGCGCATTGAACGTCTCCAGTGTCGGCACCCAGGGCGATCGCTGCGCGGCTTGGGCTTCATTAAAGGGCTCCCATGTCGCATCATTATGCTTCGCAAGCATCTGGCGCATGAGGTCGAACGATTCGAGGTAATCTTCCTTCGTGCTACCGAGCGCGCCGATGATGGCATTGAACTCTTCACCAGAGGGCTCAATCCGCTGGTCAACAGTCATCTCAATCCAGAGGTCGCGAGCGCGCTCCGGCTGAGGCTGGCGAGGGTCCGCGCACGCCTTGATCATGGTCGCATACACCTCGCGCGACGGGACGGGGTGCGCCGCGAAACGCATTTGTGCGAACAAGTCCCAAGCCTGGCTACGCTCTTCCGCGTTCGGCAGACGATCAGTGGACCGGTTCGACAGGTTCTTGAGAACGAGGTTGTAAGACGATTGAGGGAAGGGTTTGCCAAGCTTCTCACTCTGCTTCAGCAGGTCGATTGCTCCGGTGACGTCCGGCTTCTCGCCGCCCAGCATCGACAGAACGACAAGATCACGATGGTGGTCAGTCACCTCAACACCACCTGACACATCAGTTTGGATTCCAATGAGACAACTCACCCTCATCAAGGTCGGTGATGTAGCGCATAACCTCGACCGTCATGCCGCGGTTCGCGTAGAGCTCGGCGATCGCATCCACTTGCGAAAGAGAAGGCTGCACGCCGTGTCGCTCCATTGTGCTCAGAAGAACCTCAGCTCCGTTACCATCGCCTTTTGCGATCTTGGGTCAGTAAACTTGATCGTCTGGATACGCTTACGAATGTGTCCAGGAGAGCTTGCCACTCGGACTGGGTAACAAGACCCAGGGGGACATCGAAGGATCCTGACGGCTCATCACGGCCCATTTGCAGAAGAGCGCTCGTGAGCGCGACGTGCGTAGGCATGTTTCTCGGAATAGTGGGAGCGTCGATGATCGGCGCATCTGCCGCCGCCTGGTCGTCTTGTTGGTCCGAAGAGGTCTCCGTCTTCGGCGCTTCCAAGCGGGAAAGGAGGTTCTCAAGAATCTGCTGCCGCTGCTGAGGTGTCACCTTGGGAGCCTCAAGCCTCGGAACGCTTTCGATCATGTCCTTCTTGCCAGCAAGAACGAGATTCTTATAGAAGTCGCGCAGATCGTCCTCCGAAAACGCCGGAAGCGCCTTGATTGACTGATTCGTGACGCGCCTTTTGATCTCGCGCTTAATGTCGTCGTCGGAAGGCAAGTCTTCCAGTTCCCCGCTCCACTTAAGCGCGTCCTCCTCTTCTGGCGGCGGAGGCGGAGGTTTGTAGAGGGGAAACTTGCTGGGGTCTACAGGCGGAGGAATTGTGGTGGCAACGCGATTAATTGGCGAACTGGCATGTCAGCGTGAGACCGGCAGAAGTCACATACTCGCTGTTGTATCGAGGAGCCATCATGCGTCCTGCGCGCAGACGCAGAATTTTTCTCGCTATCGTCGGCCGCAGCATGTTGTTGTTGTTGTTTTTGCGACAAGGACAGATCGAAAGTCTACGAAAGCTCTCTCAGCGTCCAAAATTCCGATCAGAAGTGGAGGTTCCTATCTTATAAGGGAGGAAGAAACAAGTGTCATGTCAACATCGATGATCGGCAGTCGCGTGCGTCAGTGCACAGTTGTCCACCAAAACCGTCGCCACGTCCGCATGCGAGGTGTAAGATGCGTCCAGGCCATGCATCGTGACAATCGCGGGTGAGAGCATAGACGAGGTATCCATGCGAATTACAGGAGAGAGTGGAACCAATATTTGCAGGATTAGCGGGGACAGATCTGAAGCATGGCAATCACGTGTGTTTGCCACACGCCCAAATCCGTTCACGCTGCGTCATTGCTGATCGCAGAATCACGACAACGCACTTAGGACCAGCAACCTTCCTTCCGTCCATCCACTCAACGTGTCCATCATGCCCGGCCTTAACCCGAGACAGGAGGGTGAGTTAAGAATATTCCTGAGCATGCTGACCGTCAGACATCGACCAGTTCGTCGCTATCACCCAGGCATCGCCGGCTGATGCCGAGCGCTTCTTAACAGAAGGTGTCACTCTGGAAGTGAGTATAGACTGCCTTGGGTATCGCTGTCCAGGGGCGCCAGCGTGTGTCGTTGTGCGTGATCTGACATTAGGGTGCCATCGAGGACTACTTTGCCGCCCAGACTGCGGGCGGCGCTCCTCCTGCTGCCAACCAGGATGAGGAGGATGAGCTGGATGCAGCGCTGGAGGCCTCTGCCGCGGAAGGAGGCGCCCGCACACTCGACGGACGCCCCGCTGAGGCTCTTCCTGAGGAGTGGAGGAACCGCGGTGCCGGTCGCTTTGCTTCCCTTTCAGACATGGTGAGTAACGGACCCTCCTGCTATACTCACATCAGAACCGTGCCGAGGAGCCCGAAGAGCCCGCGGAGGACCAGCGTCACGGAAACGAGCTGTACACTGGTGGCGAGCGCAGCGGCCTCGCTGTTCAAAACCCCGACCAGGGCCGTGGCCGTGGTGGTCGTGGTCTTGTCAATGACATACTCCAGCAAGCGCGCAGGTGAGCCGAATAGCTCTTGCCAGATCTGACAGGCAGCGGCGGACCCCCCTCCGAGCCTGAAACAACCGCTGCGCCCTCGCGGGCTTTCCGCGGTGCCGGCAACACTTTGGGGTCTGAGGACACTCCATCCGTTACTGTTGGCGGGGGCGGCGGTCCTCAGCGCATTCCTGGAGCGTTCGGTGATGATGATGACGAGGAAGAGGAGGAGCTGGAGACAGCCCAGCGCCGCCTTATCTTCTGGCGCGACGGCTTCAGCATCGAGGACGGCGAACTGTACCGCTACGATGAGCCGCGTAACCAGGAGCTGTTGCAGGCGATCCATGCTGGTCGTGCGCCTCTCTCCCTGTTCGACGTTCAGTTCAACCAACCTTTGCAGCTTGTCGTTGAGCAGCGCACCGACGAAGAGTACCAGCCCCCTCCCAAGAAGCCCATGAAGGCGTTCAGCGGCGGTGGAAACCGTCTCGGCTCCGCGGACGACGAACCGGCAGCGTCTTCCTCGACGACAGCCGCTGCCACCGCCGGCCCTGCTGCCAACGCTTCAGCTCCCGCGCCTGCAACCGAGATCAAGGTCGACCCCGGCAAGCCCTCTACGAACGTCCAACTTCGCCTCGGCGATGGGTCCCGGTGAGCCAACGGGGAAGCTTCTGGCTAACTTTGCAGTCTCGTTGCTCGCGTCAACCTCGATCACACTGTTGCTGATCTTCGCGCATTCGTCGCAGGGTGAGTAGACCGGGAAGCCCCACAGATGTAGCCCCACAGATGTAGCTAACCGCAGCTCTCGTCCCGATTCTCGACCTTTCGTGCTGCAGACGACCTTCCCTTCGCGCGAGCTGCCCGATTCGGAGACGGTTGAGCAGGCTAAGCTGCAGAATGCTGTTGTCGTGCAGCGCTTCACGTAGAGGAGGTCAACAACGTTCAAACTGTAGGAATGAGTAGAACGATGGACTACCGTGTGCATGTGCGCGCAATGAGCGAAGCTAGGTTGTGGCAGTGAATAACACCCAGCGATCAGGCACTTCTGCACAGATGGGTGTGCGGAAGGACTGTACTGCAAGCTGTGATTACCCTAGCCTCACGCGTGGCAATGCGGAGGCTGATGTCCGGAGGCGACTCAAGCGACGCTAAAAGTCGTGTTGAGGCATAGGAATTCAAACCCGAACTCCAGCCATTATCTCGGCCCTGCTCCGCCTGACCACATCATCTGATCCGCTCCGGTTTCCGACGGAGCCTGCAGCAATTGTCTGCCTCATCATATACCAGGGTCTGCTGTTGCAATATGACACGAAATCACCGCACGCTAGAGGCGTCTCGTACCTTGCGCGAAGGGCTTTACAGTCGTTGGAGCCGATTGTTTTGGGAATGGGAACGGATGAGGATTATCCAGGTGGTCCAGAAGACATTCCAACTCCAGCATTCCAGATTGGCATCCACAAGCCCGACATGAGGCGGAGTGCAGACGACGTTGGCACTGCGCAAGGTCGCTATGAGATTTAGACAGGAAGGGGCAGTCGCTCCCGCTAGCAATTTCGATGCGGAGCAGAGTCCCCAGCGGCCAAGAAACGGGTGGTGAGTGGCCAAATTGTGGGCAACGATGATATAATGCGACTGCATAGATGCGCTCCGAGCCGCAGATCTGGGCGACGGAGTTGGTTCAAGATGTTTCCATCGACCAACGAGATGCAGCAAGCAGCACCGAGTCGATCAGTCTCCTCCACCTGCCCCAGATTCAGGCGCTCAGGCGCTCACTGCTCCCTAGGATTGTGTTCTGGGCGATCCGTCGCAGTGGCTGGCCTGCAACAGGGGCCCTCTGTGCCAATGAAATGCCCACTTTGCCAAGGGATTCCAGATTCTCCACATTTCAACGGAACAAACAAATGCGGGGCCTCCCGCTGCCTGCCGGTGCCGCCGGTTATGCACTGACTCTACCGGCGCTGACTGGCTCATGCTCCTGTCCTGGCTGTGCGTTGTGGGGGTGGCGAGGTCCGACAGGATGCAGAGCGGGGTACTCCAGGGAGCGTGAAGCGTGTGGATAGTGCTATGGCGTTGAGAGGACAACTGTGAACGAAGTGTGGAAGGTTAAGCAAGTCGCTCATGCATCTCGCTAGCGTCGTAGTAGGTCGTGTGAGAGACTACTGCAATGAGGCATTTCCGGGGTGGGCTAAAGCAGATCTGAGACTACGACCCAGCTGGGTCGCCCACGTTCCGGTCTAAGACACTATCACCAGTCACCACACGGTTGATCAGCTGGTGCTTCGACTCTGGCAGGTGACACCAACAGCGGCTCGTCTGTCTCGCCTGAGCTCTGGTCTTTCTTCTGACACGGCCTGATCGCCGGGACACGGCACGGGTCACACTCCAGATCACAGCCCACCAAGTCCCGCGCACCGGCATAACCGGTTGTGCGATTGTGACGCGGGCCTCTTTGCTCAGAATAGCCAAGGATTCGTTTATGAGCGTCTGACTTCGTTCACCGGAATTGGAATCAGTGCGGTATAGTCGCAGTTCGCTGGGTCCATGCACCTGGTTCTGGGGACGGCCTTGACCCACAGGTGACAGCAGTTCTGATTTGTGGGAAGATGGGATCAGACTCCGGCGCCACCTGGTCAGGAGAACAGGGCACGAGTACGTCAGGAGTGCATACGCTCCTGCCCTGCCCCCGCGGGGCTCACCGCCAGTAACCGTTCGCGATGCCGACGGAAACTCCACCACTCAAGCAAGTGGGGTGCCAAGTGCGCCAAGCCAATCAGTTTGCTGCCCGACTTTACCTCCCACCTCTATGCTGAACTCTTTTCTCTCCAACAAGCTCAGCCCAGGCCCGCCCCGCCCGCCCCGCCCTCGCCGCCCTCTCAGCCCGCGTCGCACATCGGAAACTGAATCCCTCAATACCGCCCAATCTGCCGTTCTCTTCCCTGTCAAAGCTGCCCCAGAGATCGCACTCTGTCTCGATGTCGGTTCATATGGCGTTCGCCGAGACAGGCGCACGAACCCGGTGGCACCTTCCACTTGTCAGTCGGCGTTCTAGATGATCACTTGACTTGGCCCTGCCTGCCGCTCATGCTCCTGCCGCCGCGCCTCGTCTCGCCGCGCCAGCCCAGCTGTGATCCACCTTGGAGCGTGAATGAATCTCGAAATCCGTCGGCATCCGGTTATGCCTCTCGTCATCGGGTGGATACTGGCGCTGCCGTGCCTCTCCGGCGCGTGCAGAGATAGCCTGAACTGCGTACGTCTCGGAGCAAGATGCTCCTGCCGCTCGAGTACAAGTAGGAGACGTTGTTGCTCTCTTCCCCGGCTGTCATCACCAGTTAGTCAACGGCACTACCTCCCGCCAGCACGATCCTACCACCCTCGGTCTATCACTGTCCCAGTCCCACCAACCCAGCCCCGATCAACTCCTTGCCTAAGCGCCCGACCCCCGCTCCCGTAGAGTTTCGCGCAGCATGGCTACCGTGAACACTCTCGACAAGGACCAGAAGCCGATGGAGTTTGCAGAGTCGAAGCACCTCGAGCGCTATGATTCGGACGAGAAGACACCCTCGATCGTGGAGGCCGCCCCCGTGGGCGGTGCCAACAACCTCGACGTCGGCTTCGCCGCCGAGGAGGTCAAGCGCATCACGAAGAAGATCGACTACCGCCTCATCCCCGTGCTCTCTATGATGTATGCGATCTCGCTGATTGACCGGTAAGTCTAGCGGCTGGTGGAGGGCGGAGGTGCAAGCAGTGGAGGGGCGCAGAAATGTGGCATGTGGCAGACGCTAACATCGCAGTACCAACCTCGCCATCGCCCGTTCTGCGAACGAAGTTAAGATGGACCGCGACCTCGGCACCAACCAAGGCGACCGCTACTCGATTATCACGCTTGTGTTCTTCATCCCTTACATCATTTTCGAGATCCCTTCGCAGTTCGGACTCCGAAAGTTCGGCGCGAAGATCTGGCTCGGTTCCGCCGTCGTTCTCTGGGGAGTGAGTGTGCCCCATCGCCGGAGCCGCCGGCAAGTGGCCGTGCGGCTGACCTCTGACCGGCCTGAATGCCTCTGCTGACTTCAGGTTGTCATGCTGTGTATGGGTTTCGTTCCCAACTGGTATGGCCTCGCTGCTCTCCGCGCTGTCCTCGGTATCTTCGAGTCAGCCCTCTTCCCCGGTGCTGCTTACTTGATCTCCTGCTGGTACCCCCGCAAGGACATGGGTCTGCGCAACTCGGTCTTCTACATCACCTCTGCGTGTGCTGGATCCTTTGCCAAGCTTCTCGGATGGGTTTTCTCTCTGCTCGACGGCAAGGGAGGCCGCTCCGGCTGGCGCTGGATTTTCATCATTTACGGCGTCGTCACGATCGTGATCGGCCTGCTTGCGTACCTCCTCATCACCGACTTCCCGGACAAGGCCAAGTTCCTGACCGAGGACGAGCGCCACATTGTCATCACCCGCATTGAGCGCGACCGTGCCGACTCCAAACCCGACCCGCTCACCTACTCCAAGATGCTCAAGTACGCCATGATGTGGCAGCCTTGGATCTTCGCCCTCATGTTCATGAGCATGACGACGGCTACGTACTCCCTTGCTTATTTCCTTCCTACGATCCTCGCGACAATGGGCTTCGACAACGTCCAGTCGCTCGTTCTTGGCACGCCGGCGTACTTCTGGGCAATCATTCCTTCTGTCATCTCGGGCCGCGTTGCCGACAAGGTCAAGGGCGCCCGCTCGTGGGTCATCGTCTTCAACGCGACCTGTCTCCTCGTCGGCACCTGCATGTACTCGCAGCTCGCCAAGAGCCAGAAGGCTGCTCGCTTCGCCGGCATCTTCCTCGCGGTCGGCGGTGCCAACGCATCTATTCCGCTTATCATTTCGTGGCAGCACACCGCCATCCGCTCGCAGTCCCTCCGTGCCTACTGCTCTGCGCTCACCGTCGCCTTCGGTGGCATCGGTGGTATTATCGGCTCGACTGTCTTCATGCAGAAGGAGCAGAAGCAGGGCTACCCCTCCGGTGTCTACACCTCCCTTGGCCTCATGGTCTTCTGTATCCTTGCCGCCATTGGCCTGCAGTTCTACTACCGTGTTCAGAACCGCAAGGCGGACCGCGGCGAGCTCATCATCAACGACCACGAGGAGTTCCGCTACCAGCCTTAAACGGAGCAGAGGTCCCATCCTTTGACGGTCTTGGGAAAGGGGTTCACGGTCGGGGCCAGCCGGTGGCGGGCCAGAGAGGGAGCGATAGAGTTGGCTAAGAATGACGAGGAGAAAGGAAGTAAGGTCTGAAGTCAAGTTGTTCGTACAGATATTGGGTCTCTGTAATGGGTTCTTGCTGGTATGCAGTTGTGAATATCTCTTGTAGTCGCTCGAGCAAAGACAATTTCGTGAACCTGACTCCGTATCTGCTCGGAAAAGACGGTCTTTGGTGGTATCGGTCATCGCCGATGAACAGCGGTGACTTGTGAATGCTGCGGTCGGCGGCTGAACCATCACCGGCCACTGCGAGCTTCATCCAGCGAGGGTCTCCTTGTTTCTGGGTTGTACGTGTCTAATTCTGGGGCGGCTGAGTGCCCGCCCTCACCAGCAGCAGCACCGTGCATCGAAGTTCCGCACGAGGTGTGTGGAGGTGGAGGGTGACGGATCGGGAGAGTCCTATCTGGGTGAGTCATCACGCTTGATCCGACACGGCTCCGCCGGGGCCGCCCAGTGCGAGCGCTTTGATTGGCCCGCCCGCGTTAAATGCCGATCTGACTCTGCAACCGTCCACTGCCGCATCTGGTTGTCTGGGTCAGCCTGTTGAATCTATCCTGGACCTTGCGTTTACCTTCCATTGTTCTCTCTTTCCATCAGCAACCATGCGGACAGCCAGAACACTCCGACCACTCTTCCGAACCCGCCTCACCTCTGTTACTCGCCCAGGTGTCGCTACCGGCGTCGCTCCCCTCGGCACCCGCGGCCGCTGGAGCATTGCGAATCCAGTCACCAATCTGATCGGAAGTGTACGCGAGGATGCCTCGATCTTACCCACCTACACGGTGGTACACCCCGTCAACGGCAAGGTGCATGCCGTGCAGCACTCTACTGCTGTCGATATCGAGCAGGCGCTTGCTTGTGCCCACGGTGCCCTCGCCTCGTGGTCGGCGACTCCGCTCGAGGAGAGGAAGAAGATCTTTGAGCGCGCTGCGGACCTCCTCGAGAGCCCCGAGTGGAGCGAGAAACTTCACACAATGAACCGCGCGGAGACTTCAGTACCCGAGTGGTGGTCGCGCGAGCAGCTCAAAATCGCACCCCAGATGATCCGCGCGCTTGTCGGGTACGCCGATGAGGCGCTTGCCGAGAAGACGGAGAAGATGGGCGACAGTGAGTTTGCTTGGTCCCTGGTTCCTCTGCTTCAGGCGAAAGATGCTTAAGCTGGGAATGGGCTTCACCTCCACGTGCGGACAGCTAACGTGCAGCCACTTTCCACGTCACGCGCGAGCCTTACGGTGTTTGCCTTGCCATTGCCGCATGGAATGCCGTGCACCTTCTTACCCTTCGCGCGATTGTCACGCCGTTGTTGACGGGTAACACGGTGGTTCTGAAGACTTCCGAGGTGACTCCTGGATCGCAGGCGCTGTGGGCCGAGCTGCTGTACGAGGCGGGTGTTCCGAAGACGGCTCTCAGCGTCGTGCACGCTGCGCCCGATGAGGCCCCGGGCTTGACGGAGCAGCTCGTGCGGGACAATCGAGTGCGTCATGTGAACTTCACCGGCTCGACCCGAGTCGGTCGCATTGTCGCGTCACTCGCAGGCGCAGGCCTCAAGCCCTGCATCATGGAGCTTGGCGGCAAGGCGCCCGTCCTTCTCCTGCCCGATGCCGACATTGAGACTGCCGCGAGCCACATCCTCTTCGGTGCCTTCTTCAATCAGGGTCAGGTGTGCATGTCGACTGAACGTGTGCTCGTTCCGGAGTCCCGATTCGGCGAGCTTGTTACGGCGCTTCAGAAGGCTTGGCGCGAGGTCGAGGACAAGAGCCCGAAGGCGCCTTTCCGCCCCGACGCGGTTGCACGGCTCGGCGAGCTCGTCGACGATGCAGTGAGCAAGGGTGCTCAGATGCTGATTCCTGTTGCGGAGGCGGGCGAGGGCACGTTCCCGCACACGATCCTTGGCCCCGTCGCTCAGGACATGCGCCTTTGGTCCGAGGAGAGTTTCGGCCCCCTCGCTGTCGTGATTCCCGTGCCCGATGATGGAGCCGTCGACACCATGGTCGACATCGCGAATGAGAGCGAGTACGGGCTCTCGGCGGCTGTCTGGGGCCAGGACCTCCAGAACGCCGAGAAGGTCGCGAGGCGGCTGCACTCGGGTGCTGTCCACATCAACTCTCCGGTAGGTTCCGCTACTCGTCCGTTGCTAACACCAGACTGCCAACGACCCCCCGATGGTCCCTCACGGCGGATGGAAGTCGTCTGGCTGGGGCCGATTCAACTCTGTCGAGGGCCTGCGCGGGTTCACGCAGACGCGTAGCATTGAGGTGCCGAGCGGCAGTGGTCCGGTCCCCCTCAACGTCTTTAATCTGTAATATGCCTCGACAGTTGCAGCGGCATACATATAGAGCCTCGCGCGGCGGCCGGATTGCGCTGTCAGCTTTGCGACATCAACATCAGAACAGAGTAATTCAGTAGAGAGCCAGTAGCATCAGTGGGCATGCAGACGTTAGCAGCATCGGGAGGTGGGGGAAGGACTTGGCACCGCGAATGATGCAGGGGGTCAGTACGAATTATGAACGAGAGTGCGCTCTTGTAGTCATCAGAAGTTTGTCAATGCATCTCGCGTCTCGCACGAAACGAAGTGTAGTCCGTTGGAGTCTCCCACACCGAGGGGTGTCGGACTGTGGTCGGCGGCCGTAGGTGATGCCAGTCGGGGATGGCCGAATCTGGATTTCGGCTTCCCGGGGACACCGACCGGTCCCGGTGTATAGTTACCGGTCCCCACTGTGGTGACGCGTAGATATTAGTTCGACACCTTCCTCATCAACTCTACTCCGATATCCCTCGCATTGCGCCTTTGAACATCTTGGTAATCTTTCTACCAATTCATCCCACTGACGATACCTACGCCGACGCATCACCAAAGTTTCAGAGCTCCCCCCAGCCACATAACCCTAGCGAGAAAGACAGCATGCCCGAAGAGAAGGCACCCAAGACCCGGCCAATGGACCGCGTCCATGTCCTCGACTTTGAGCCACTACACATGGGATATCCCATGGCGAGCATGAAGAGCGTGCTCCTCGTCGACTTCGAGGTGCAGGTGCATGGGCTCGAGGAGATGAGCAAGAAGAAGAAGCCGGTGTCGATTATTGTGAGTTATAGCAGGTCGCTGGACACCCGGTCGGCGCAAGACTTCGGTGCGCTCGCCGGCATCGTTGCCTGCGGACCTGAGGAAGCGATGCCAATCTTCTGCGTGCTCCCTCTTCTGCAACAAGCTGCTTCGCGCTGGGCAAAGCTGACAATCTAGATCATCGCGCATGGCTGGGCGAACAAGGCGGAGCAGCACTGGCGCATGGCGTCGGGCATGCTGGGCGAGATTAGCCGGTTTGAGCGCGAATCGGGCGTCGAGCGAGCAAACGACGTGCTCGTTGTGACGCTCGATCAGCGAAACCACGGCACGCGGCGACGGATCAAGGATGGGCGGACGTTCCAGAACGACCCGTTGCGGCTCGCGCATATGGCTTGCACGATCACAGGCGGGAAACAGGATCAGGAGCTCGTCATGCAGTTTCTGCCGCCATACCTCTGGCCAGATGGGGAACGAGAGGTTGCGCACTGGCTTCCGTGCGGTATTTCCCTCGGTGGACACACGACGTGGCGCCTACTCCGCGAGAACCCGAAGATCACCTGCGGCGTGCCGATCGTCTCTCTCCCCAGTGAGACGCTCGGGAGCTGGCTCGCGAACCGCGCCGAGACGGGACTGAAGCACGGCACAGTGACAAAGGAGACAAAGTACCCGCCCTCCCTCGCTGCGTATTGGGACGGTCCGACGCCGCCCAACGCGTACAAGGGCAAGAAAATTCTGTGCATCTATGGAGGCGAGGACGCAGTCCTGCCTTGGAAAGTCGGACAAGAGAAGTGGGAGTGGATCAAGACTATGCAGGAGCACCCGGGGGAGATGGACCAGTGGATCGAGCCTGGATTCGGGCACGTCATCACTGTCGGCATGGTCAGTAAGACGGCTGAGTGGTTCTGGCGCTGGGCCGTCAGGCAGTAGTTAGGTGATATAGACGTAGATTCGTAGAGATACGGGTGAAAAGTACGTTTGGTCTCTACTTTGCTCTGGGGCTTGGAGCGGCCTCTGTGTCATGTCACCTCCGATGGACTGTTGAGCATGGCTGTGATATGGACTGCTGAGCCAGGCTGTGATACCCAGCTGGTGTTGAGCCGTAGGGCGCGACTTTCGGCATGGCGATGGTGGAACGGCGTACTGTGTCTCTCCCAACGGCCGAGCATTCTATTCCCTCACCTTGCCTCGGAAGTGCCAGAAGCTAAGTCTGGATACCACGGTTAGCTGTTCATCTCCATGCTATCAACGGAGAGAAGTGGCCGTGAATTGTGTCCGTCCGCCCCTATGTGCAGGCCAAGGGATGTATGAGGGAAGTTCGGTCAGTTGGGATCTCAGGCTTTCAGCCGATGGGACGGGCGGTCGTTCTGCTGCCTGAATCCAAGTTGCCGCCCGGCGAGATAAGAGTCGACCGGGCATTTCCGTCAGCCGTTCGCTCGGTAGCCGACGTCGTGAGAAAGTGCACCATTGACAAGGTCCGACACAGCTGTCGAATGATCATGTGCTTCACAGGATGCCCCGTTACGCCTCGTAACGCTGTGATCGCGAGCTCTCGGCAGCTTCCTTTGACGACATTCCTGTCCTTCTGTGGGTGGCACAGAAGGCGCTTTCGCCGAGCGAACCGACCCTGCCGCTATCCACCGCTATAGCCCCCGGCCTCTCCGTACTGAGCCGGGTACGAGGACCGCGGATCGATAACGACATCGCGATTCAACTGGCCAGTGGCTCGGCCCCCGTCAGCTCGTACTCCGTAACACTTCTCCGGATGTATATTTAGCACCTTTGCTCAACTGGGAAGGAGCCAGAGAACAAGCCGACTCAATCGAGTGTCTGGCCAGGTGTACCGGGAAGTCGGATGAGGGTTAGGGTTGCGAAGAGTTTCTGAGAAGTCAGCAGGAGGCGCAGAACATATGAAGATGGTGAGCTCCACTACCCTCGTTCTCAGCGATCCTGGATCCCTACTTCTGGTCCTGCAGGAACATCCTCTCAGAGCTGTGTGCCTGCAGGAACAGCAGGATATAGTGAAGATGCCCCAGAAAGAAGGGTGAGCCCCGCATACGACGCCGGACGATGCTTCTAGTGGATAGACGGAGGAAGTCCGAGACAAATCAAAGAAATCACATGCGAGCGCCCACCGATGTGGTGGTGCCATGACGCCGGACCCAGGCACGCTTGGCTCACTGTGGGTGGAGAGGCCGAACTCTAAATCACCCGACAGTTCTAAGTTGGGACATCGTTGGAGCCACTGCACCTGAGGATTGCAGATGGTTGGGGCCAGGTGGGACCTGATGATCGGAGTGTGACGGCGTGGGACCACTGGACCCCCAAAACGTCATGTTCAGAGGACGCGCGTGCTTTCTCTGTCCTGGCGCTGTCGGCTACTGCATCCGTCCTCAGCTTCGTCAGCTCTCGTCAGTCCCCGCCCACTCGCTTTGGCCCCGAGACTCTCGTGGGCTTACATTCGCCGATTCTGCTGAGTGGATTCAAGCAGAGTTCGGTGGGCCGAACCAGTAGTCCAAGGCGATGCACATCCGCGCTCCCGATAACAGTTGCACTAACCGCCGAGACGAGATGCCCATCCCTCCGCTAGCTCCTACGCATGGTTTTTAGTCAGTTCCGCCCCAGTCTAGTTGGTCGGTTCCAGCATACCATTGCGCACCTGCACCGAACATCTGAGCCAGCTGAGCAACAAAGATTCGCCATCATTGACGATTTTGTCCTAGACTGCGAACTTCACTCTGCGGTGATTGGGTATGAGTCTGGCAATGAAGCTAACGGGCGGCAAGTAGTTCATTCGATCGCCAGATTTCGCCGAGTTTGCCGTAGCCCTTCATCACCCATTCCTTACTTTCTCCGGTGATGACCTCCGCCTAACTGTCGGCGTCGGGCGCTAGCAAGATTCCCAGGTGACACCGGTGACAGAGCAGAGTTAGAGTTGCGAGCTTCCTTGTGCTGGCACGGCCCTGCAATTGCTTGAGTATGCCCACCTGACTTCGCGCTGTGAATGCAGCTGTTCCAGAAACGGCAGAACTGGCAGAAGAGTTCAGCATGAAGATGACTTCCCACGACGTCATTGTCACACTCGTGTATCGGTGTGAGGCACCAAAGACTAATCGACGAACTTCTTACGCTCGCTCACCTCGCTGATGGACTTTGCACACTGCCGGCAGCAGGCGTACGCATGTTGCTCACGAGTACCTCTTTGTTACGTACAGAGCACGCACGCTCGGGCGTCCAAGCATGATTGGGTTTATGCTTGGCGTTAGCTGCTCAGAGACAATTTTAGACATGGCTTTTAAACTCTTAGCGCCTTCATTATCCTCGGCCCTGAGCCAGGCCAGACTACTATCATCAGTTGATCATCCGTCATTCAGGCCGTTATCCGGTGCTCACGCGGCCCTCGGCCCTTCGGCTCACCGGGTTTATAGCCTGCAGCGCAGCATGCGGTGCAGGTCTCGACATCGACATGGGACTTCGGTCGGCGCATGTCGTGCATCGTGCACCATGTGGATGCGCATGAGTCAGCGAGCCAGCAGCCTTCAAGCTCCCACGCCCGAGGAAGCCTGCAGGAGGTGGCGGCGCTAGCCTGCGGCGGACGGTGTGAGCGGCGTAGCGCGACTGCCGTGGTGCCGTGCGACGATTGATTGCAGTGATCGTACTGAATGCCCGCAGCCAGCCCTAGTCCAGCTCGCAGCAGCGCGATATATAACGTGCGTCCAAGAAGACCTGCCTGCTCTTCTCCCAGTCCCACCCCTTTCTTGATACCTTGCACATCGGACGCTCGACAGTCATGTACAAGGTCCTCGGCCTCCTCGCCCTCGCAGCGCCGGGTCTCGCGTCCATGCGAGACTACATCCCCGCCAAATACTTGAAGCAACCGCACCTCGATATCATTCATGCCCGCGACCTGCAGGAGCGTCACAACGACGGCCACCACGACGGCGGTGATAAGGGAAACTCGTCCGTTGGTAGCCGCTTCCTCAACGATCAGACTAAGCGTGAGTGACTAGGTCGTCGGACCAAAGTAGAGTAGTTATGTCGCTAACCTGAACAGCGTTCCACGTTCCGAGCCTCCCCGACATCAATGTCGACCTCGTCGAGATGTACTCTGGTCTTATCCCCATCGACACGAACAACAAGACGGACGGCGAGCTCTTCTTCGTATTCCAGCCCAAGACCAGCGGTGACCCCGTTGATGAGGTCACGATCTGGTTCAACGGTGGCCCCGGTTGCTCGTCTCTTGAGGCTTGGTTCCAGGAGAACGGTCACTTCCAGTGGCTCCCTGGCACAAAGGAGGCTACGTTGAACAACTTTGCCTGGTCCAATCTCACCAACATGCTTTACGTTGAGCAGCCCAAGGGTGTCGGATTCTCGACTGGTCCTCTCGGCTTCTACACAAACGAGGAGGATGTCGCTCAGGACTTCATTAAGTTCTTCAAGAACTGGCAGGACACTTTCGGAATCAAGAACTACAAGATCTACGTTACTGGAGAGTCGTACGCGGGCCGCTACGTCCCGTATGTGTCCGCGGCTATGCTTGACGCGAACAACACTGAGTACTACGACCTCAAGGGAGCCCTCATCTACGACCCTTGTATCGGCCAGCACGACGTCATCCAGCAGCAGCTGCCGGCCGCGCAGCACATCCGTGACAACAACAACATTTGGGGCTTCAACCAGACTTTCCTCGAGCTCATCGACAAGCTGGACAAGCAGTGCCACTTCTCCGAGTACATTGACAAGTACTTGACATTCCCGCCCGCCGGTGTGCAGCCTCAGCTGAGCTACAACTCTTCCAACGGCGGCACCAACGGTCTCGAGCAGACTCTCGACCCCGACTACGGATGCCTGATCTTCGATCTCGCCCTCCAGGAGGAGAACCGCATCAACCCCTGCTTCAACTTATACGAGATCATTGACCACTGCCCTCTGCCGTATGACCCCATCGGATCGATCGCTACCGGCGGCGGCAAGGACGAGATCTACTTCAACCGCAAGGATGTGCAGGAGGCTCTCCACGTTCAGCCCAAGGAGTGGACCCAGTGTGTTTCTCCTCAGCCGTTCCACGCTGGCAAGCGCGGTGGACCGGAGGGCGAAGGAGACTTCTCCGCCAACCCCATCGAGAAGGTGCTTCCCCAGGTCATCGATGCGACCAAGCGTGTCCTCATCTCCAACGGCAACTACGACTTCGTCATCATCACCAACGGCACCCTTCTTTCGATCCAGAACATGACCTGGGGCGGCCAGCTTGGCTTCCAGGAGAAGCCTAGCAAGGACCTCGTCGTCACGACCCCCGCCCTCAACGAGGCCGCCACCATCGACGACCTCACCTACTCCACCCCCTCCACCCAGGGCCTCTACCACGAGGAGCGAGGCCTCATGTGGGTCGAGACCTTCTACGCCGGCCACATGCAGCCTCAGTACCAGGGCCGTGCCGCTTACATGCACATGGAGTGGCTGCTCGGCCACCGCGACGACCTCAGCGCCCGCAACTCTGACCTTCCTATCAGGAAGCCCAAGAAGGGCGATGGCGATGGCGGTGACGGAAGCGATGGCGGTGACGGAGGCGATGGAGGTGATGGAGGTGATGGTGGCGACGGAGGTGACGGAGGTGACGGGGGCGACGGAGGTGACAGCCAGGGCAACAACACCAGCTCTGCCGTCTGAGCAGAGTTCGGGGCTTCTTGACATAATGCCGTGCTAGTAGAGATGAACATTGTCCAAGCTATTCCGTCAATAGGATGAGCAGATCAGTGTGGTGGAGAAAGTATCACAGTAGTTTGGCGTCGTCAGATCTTGGGTGACTGGGCATTAGCAACGCGTCTCGCCGTTGGTGAGTGAGGACCGTGCTATCAGTCAAGCGACCCTTGCAGGTCCGTAGGTTAAACCAAACCGTGGCCCGAGCTCCAGCTCAGCGTGATGTTGTGGTCACGACGGCCATTGCTACATTCTCTCAGCAGTAGACCCGACAGCCAGATCGTATGACGAGGTGCGATTCTCAAGCGAAATGAAGACACATACATGGACATGCAGATTCTGTCGAGTCGACATCTGTGCCGTGCCCGACGTCTACGCTGTGCCCGACGTTGCAGAGCACTTGCCAGTTTCCAGCCTTCCCACCGTACTTCAGCGGCTCGACGCCGTTGCTCGCACGGGAAGGCACCTCGCAAGGAGTGCGAGCGTCCATGCAAACACTGGAGCATTCGCATACACGCACACAGACGTTGCGATGCCCAGACTCCCATTGGAATCGAGGTCGGAGGAAAGCTCTGCTAGGTTCAATGTCTCTCACGGCGTCGTCCTGTCATGAGGGGTATAATCAGCTACCGTCACAAGTGTACATGCCTGCCCGAATCACGGCGCCTGGAAGCCATTCCCAAAGTCGATATGCTGCGGCCGTCGCTTTGGCAATAGTGGCTCGTGCGGTGGAGTACTTGGGGGGTCTCGTCACAGCATGGGGCAGGTCCCGAGATAGCCACTGCATGGATGGCTGCCCCTGTGCTTAGTAACTTCGTGCTCATGCCGCTCACGGTGCCCCAGAGGCTAGCTGAGACTAGTCGGTGGAATGGCACGTTGGTTACCGGTCGCCTGACCAAGATCTTGCAAGACGTAGCACTGAGCCAGCTTGTTGTCGTTTTGTCGTTAAGAAGCGCTGTGCTCAAACTACATCATGAGTTGCGGCCACAGTGGGTGAGTATCGATGGCGCTGTCGTCAATGGTCAGTTGTCAAGATCAACAATGCTTGGGATGCAAGACGTGGCCAGCCAACATGCTTGAACCAGGTCACCTGATCAGTCTCTTATGTCACCACCTCGCATCGTTCCAACACGACGTAGCGACCCGAGACCGGGCAGAACAAGATGACCGCTCCCGCTGTGCCCGCGACACCGTGCGACCCGTTCCTCGCTGCGGCGGCGACTGTTCGGTTCGCTCTAAGCTTCTCAGGACTGACGGCTGTTGTTGTTAAGCATCACCTGCAAGTTGTGTTCCGGCTGACCTAACATGCTTAACCTTCAGCCACCCGTCCCGGTGGCTGCCGGTGTCGGTGCCGGTTGCTCGGACACTGGCGTGTTGGGTTCTGCATCGTGCAGCGTCGTTTCGTGACGCGTTACGGTGAATGTGGCTTGCGACGCGATAGAGTACGTGGTGTGGCTTACCGCTTGCTGCCGTATTGTTTGCGGCTTGAAGAGGGGTAGAGGACCGTGCGGGTGAAGTTCAGGTCGCAAGTCTCCGTACTTGGACAGGTGCAATGTTAGGATAGCCTCCTATGACGGTTGGAAGTTCGGTTCCGTCGTTCCAGTCGGAATGTGGGTAGCGATTCCAGATACTACCCATCGTTCAACCATAGGCGGCTGAGGGTTTCCCACTGGGCAAGCACGCTGCCGGACAAGAGCCATGGCCATCGAAGTGCTCATTCAGGACAGTCAGCTGAGGCGTGCGGGTCCAAGTGAGCAACGAGCGGCTGGCTGCACCGTACTGGAACACCCAGCGATGGCGGTGCGCATGTCCGCACCGGGGAATGCTTTCGGGCTTCTAAGCGACACCGCGCACAGATGTTGAAGAGAGCGGAGGGAGGACACGGCGCCGTGGGAGCCGTGCTCGCGATGTCTTCACGGTTGTGGAGGTGAGGTTGACAGAGATGAGGGCTTGCTCGCTAGGACTGGACACGCCCTAGCAGCTTACGACACGAGCGCAATCAAAGTCGTACCGTGCACGTCTCTATCAATGCATCAATGGTGCGGGAGAGGCACTGCCTTGTAGTTGTTCAGTTGTCAATGAGGTACGGCGAGGCACGCTTATCGTCATGGCCTTCCCGTTTTGGTCTCGACGGCCGTCAGCGAAAGTAGCTTGCATCCCGCCATTCGCAGTCAGCCAGAATGTAGGAGCCTCGTCGAGGCCTGGGTCGTGTCGCGTGAGAACTGCCCAACCGGCCCGGCAGACGCCAGCCAGGTACGCATATAGGCACAGTCGGTTAGGCTTAACGTACTTTGAGAGTGAAGACAACGCTGCGACTCCCGTTTGGAACCTCTAAGGTGCATGCTTCATGCTCTCCATTCAACTGGCTGAGCTTGCGCATGCCCCGTGTCGTTGCGTCGTGGCAGCCCCTCATGGTAGAGAAGTATTGAGCAACAGGCAGCACATGCAGAGATGACAGGCACAGGCAAGTGGGGTCTGGGTGACCATGTCGGTCTTGCGATCCTGTGGTTCAGGCCTAGGCTTGAATGCGCCTGAATCAAGGAGCGTCCCGTAAGTGGCATTTCGGGGCGATTTGGGGATCGTATGTGAAAAGCAAGCGACCAGCGTACGTACACGCCCACTCACTCATCCCGTCCCGATAGGAATGCATCCTGGACAGGCCAAGCATGCAAAGGATGGAGCAATCGAAAGGATACAGTGAAATCATTGTCATGTAGTAGTAGTCACCAGACCGCTCCTAATTGTTCTACAATACTAAACATATTGTCCATCTTGAGGCTTGGGGGGCCGAGGGGTGTTGGTGATATTATAACGAAAGAGGATGACCAAAAGTGAACATGTTGCTGCTGCTATATGCGAGATCTATGGGATGCGTTTTGCGGTCGCGCGTGCGCTTTTGCTCAGGCTCGGCCTGATCCTTAGACGGTAGCCTCGACGGCCTCGGCGGTCTGAACACAGATCTGGTTTCCGAAGAGCTCGAATCCGGGCTTGCAGGACGAAGCAACGCACTCGCCCTTGATGCAGCGGACGTTGTTGACGCCGGCGAGGGTGGTGCAGTCAATGCCGTCACCGCCCTGGGCACAGCCGCCGCAAGACTCGAGGTTGGACTGGACGTCGATGCACTCGTTCTTACCACCGCCAACGGGGCAGGACTTCTGGCCAGCAGGGCAAGCAGGGGCACGCTTCCAGCGGGGCTTGGACGAGGGAACAACACAGTTGCAGTTGTCGTCAAGGTGGCCGCCCTTGCACTGGCAGCGCCACTGGTCCCAGCAGTCGCAACGGCGGCGAGGCTTGCAAGAGCAGTCGGGGTTGACTTGGAGACCCTGGAGGAAGCACTTCTTGATGGCGAAGATGTTGTAGCACTTGTTGCACACCTGGGGCGGGTCGATACAGACACAGCGATAGTCACAGGGGAAGCCGAGCTTGTAGCAGCGCTTCGTCTTGGAGGCGTTGCTGCACGCAGTACCGGGGTCACGACCCCAGCGCCAGAGGAAGGTGCGCTTCTCGTGCTCCTCGTCGCCCTCTTCAAGCGAGAAACACTGGCCCTCGGAGTCGGCGACCTTGCCCTGGTCCCAGCAGCCGGCGAGGGCGCTGACGTCCTTCGAGAACGAGAAGGGGAAGAGAGCAGTGTCGGCAACGGGCTGGTTGGGCGTGCGCTGGAAGGGCTGGAGGCCGACACACTGGCAGGTGGCCGGGTCCATGTTCTCCATGTTGACGTAGCACTCGGCACGCTGAACGTTGGTGCACGGTGACGAGTTGAAGTTCATCTGCTCGCGCTCAGCGAAGCGCTGGGTGAGCTCGGAAGAAAAGTCGTTGGTGTACTTGATGGCGCGCGCCGAGGCGGCCATGAAGGCGACAGCAGCAATAGCCAGCATGGTGATTGTGGCGTCGGGGAGGGGGTAAGGAGAGTACGAGAGGGAGTCGGACTACAGAAGATGTAGGGAGGGTCAAAGTCCGGGAGTGTGAGGGAGTGGAATGCTAGAGGGGAAGGCCCAATTGATCCCCTCGCTTGTCTTTTTATGTACTCTTGTTCTTCTTAGAACGTTTACACGAATGATACGGTCTACTGGGGTACCGTACGACCGATGGGAAGGAGGACAGAGGGTTTGGATACCGCCCTCTCCTCTTCGCTAGGAGCCCACATCCCTCAGGTGTTGTTGTCGTACCTCAATGGGGTTCCGATTCCTGCCTCGAACTTTACGGTTTACGTCGTCGATCTCCCACCCCTTGGCACTCCCTCTGTTTCCCTGGCGAGGCTAACAGGCTCAAACCCATTGAAGCCTATCAACCTAGGCTGCCTCAACCTATGGCACCCCGGGAGGCATTTGGAGCGAGTCGGCTGGCGGAGGATCGAGGGAGCGCATTCTCACAGCTGCGGCCAAAGGACACCGCAGCTGACCGTGCAGTGAGACATTGCGATCATACTCGTCCGAAGAGACGGCTTGATTATGGGAGCCTGCCGTCATATGCCGTTGTAGACGGGACAGGGAAGTGGTTGGGATCTGGGACAGCCCGGTCAGTCGCGAAATCTTTGGATGTCATCCAGGCAGCCGGGACCCGCGAACTAGTGACCGCACCAACGCCGTACGCCTCCAGTACGGCCCGTGAATCGGATTGTCTTTGGCTAAAAGCCTTGGGAGAGCACCCGACAGGACTGCCCAGAACGTCAGAGCGCAACCAAGGGTAAGGGCCGTCCGTAATGACCAAGTTGCGTCATGTTTTGGCAGCAGACTAGTGGTGAGTCTGGTTCATGAACGGAGGGAGGGTCAGGGGCGGACCGACAGGGAAGACCAATTCATACCCGTCTCATCCGTGTAGGAGATCAAACGCGCAGGCTGTTGTCAGAGCAGTCTCGCTGGCGCTGACGGCATCTGAATCCTTCCCGAAGTTGACTGGTGTGAATCTTGGCACTGACCTTGCACTTCAAACGTAAGCGTGCCAGCGGACTCACAAACACGCATCTGAAGCTAGTGCGAATCGGGACACTTCCGCGGTACGTATTTCGGCCATTACCCTCTCGCTCACCTCACGAACCCAGCGCTCAAGGCGGTTCTTCCTGTGGTCCAGACTGAAGGATGCCGAAGCAATTCGCGCGCACTGCTCGCCCCCCTCTACCTCCAGACAATACAGCGATGCCCTCACCATGACAGCACCTGTTTCACCAGTGAGAGCCAGCTGACTGCGGATCCGAACGTTGGGCGATGTTGGCGTCGCAGGGCTGCTCGGGGTGGCGCCCGCGGACATCAAAAGCTGGCGTCAACTGGCGGAGCGTGGTGCCAATAGCGCGGGTCTGGGACAATTCAGTCCGAACGTCGTCTTCCCAAAGCTTTGGGCGAGCCCTTGACCGTATCCTGCATAAGCTCCCAATATTCACGAGCCCAAAGCACGTTCACTTGGTGGTCCTCCGCTCTCCGTTCCCGCAACTCGGTTTACAGGCTGTCGGCTCCTCGTGCTCGGAGAGAGTGGAGTGCGTCGTCCGTCGGACCCGGGCTGAACGGGAGAAAAGGCAGAACTGTTAGCGCCCCTCGCGTCTCCGTCACGGTCAGCCTTGCTAGCCGTTCCATCGTTTTCGGCCATCAGCTCGGTTCCCTCTCGGAACGTCTACCAGACATGGCTGGCATCAGCTGGCTTGTTACCTTGACAACAACCGGTGGACCGTCCTTCCCGGATTCCGGTCAGGAATGAATAGCGGCTGCGGCCGTGTACGTGTTGGCGATATTGTCACCGGCACAGCTTCGAATACACCGCACGGCGCTCGCACCGGCACTCTCTCCGGTCCGTCTCCGGCACTCCGGTGTACGGCAGTTCTTCGTTGGCTGGAGAGACGGGGCGTGGCAATTTGCCGCCGGGTCGGATCTCATGAGCGCTGTTGCGTTGAAGCTCGCTGCTGAACCGCACGGCCCCTTCAGGACTTCTGGCGCTTCCGTAAGGGCTGCCTCCGGGTGCTCACTTGTCTTGCGTCACTCTGCATCCTTGGGGCAGACTATACTCGCGCATGCTAGCGGGTCCTGATTCCTGACCACCAAACCTTACCCGGGATACCGGGAGGAAACACAGTTTCACCCTATCGCCAAGAGAACGTTCGGCGTCCGCCCGTTGGGATTGCACTGCCGCAAACGCTCTGGAGAGTTGGCCTCTAGAACGCACGAATACACCGCATTGCTCATGAACATGAGGTGAACCATGCTTACCATCCTGTCTTACTTAAAGCCAACCTTGTTTGTGAACTCTGATGGCTGCCGTCCCTCACCAAGCTACGTGCCTATGATGAGCCCTCGAAGGCGAAACAGCCTTCCCCGCCAAGAGAATGTTCTGACCACTGGCCCTCTTCTTGTCCAACCTTCTCAACTTCTTGCCCTTGCTGCTGCCCTGCGCATGCGGTCGGACCACGCGGCATATCCTCGGTACAGCGGCGACAGTCGGGACTTACTTTTGCAGTGAGCTTCTTACAGGATGCATTTTTTCAACAGGTAAACGTAGTACGACTCTCAGTACAACCCACCCTCGATCCCGGGCAAGATCGGGCAGTTCCAGCTTACCCGGCCGGGGTTTCGAGGTGGGACAATGATGATGTTCAGGCTCATCGATGAGCAGCTTAGGCCAATCCAAGGCCGCAAGAGACCTCGATGATCTGTCCCTGTTAAATGTCAGCGCTGCTCAGCAAGCTACGTGCTACATCCCATCCTTGCCCGCTGGCCGGCCCCCTTACCGAGAGTCTTCCGAAACAGAGATCTCGGAAGACCCTCAGAAAGAGGGGCTGATCACGGTCTGAAGTGCGCGGCACTACTATAGACCACGTTCACCATATTACTCACGGTCATGGATCCGTTCTCAATGAGGTCGACGTAGGTCTTCGCGACGTCCTCGACGTCCGAGATCTTGTTGAGCGCCGCCTTCTTCTTGGCCTGCTCAAACTTAGCCGGCGAGAAGCCCTGGCTCCACTCCGTCTCCATGACACCGGCCGCGACCGCGTTCACGCGCACCTCGGGCGCGCACGCCTTGGCGAGCGAGCGGGTGAGCTGCACCGAACCAGCCTTCGTCACCGAGTACGCCTGGACATTAGCACTGATCCTGTCGTTCGATGCGTCGTAGTGGTCACACGGAGTACGCCTCCGCGGGTCGTTGAGGCGTCTCGGTGTGAATGCCATGACCCTTGTGGCTGCCACTAGCGCGCTTTGGGAAACCGAGGAGTGCGAAGGAGATGAGGTACTCCTGCCCCTTCGACGATGCCCGACGCCGAAGTCACTCACCATGCTGCTACCTCCCGGACGCAGACCGGCGACCGAAGCCGAGATGACGAAAGCGCCGTTGTTCTTCTTCAGCTCCTCCTTGACCGCCTGCATCAGCCACAGGTGCGCCATAACGTTCGTCGTGAAGCACTTGTTCCAGTCCTCGTCGGAAACAGCGTCTGCGGCAGTTAGCGGGGATTGACCAGTGAGTCTGCGAGACTATGCAGCCCACTGTGCTCATCGACAGGGAACACATTCGGCCCTTACAGTCCGAAGGGATCTCTATCTCGCAGCACTCGGCTTCTTGGATCCGGTCTTTCATCGATAACCAGGATTCCGCAGCCACGCTCACAGCAGTACTCACCGATGTCGTTAAAGTTGGCAAACTGCGTCCATCCGACGTTGGACACGACAATGTCGAGCCCGCCGAGACCCTTGATAGCCTCAGCCGCGATCTTGTTGACGCCCTCATGGCTGAACGCGTCTCCGGGAATGATAACGTGGCCCGATCCAGCGAGCGAGTCGCGCGTCTGCTCGGCACGGTCCTTGTTCGAGCTGTAGTTGATCGCGACCTTGGCTCCGCGGTCGGCCAGGATCTTGCTGACGGCAGCGCCTGATGTCAGCTCGTGCAGAGGCTCACTCGGTCGAAGCCATCCGCGGATTCCAGTACGCATGCCGAAGTCTGGTGATCGAGGTCCCCCGACGTGCCCCGCATCCCCACACCAAAGGAGGTGACTCGGGGTATCCATCCAGCCGACTTCACACGACCGAGCAATCGTTCGTACTCACCAACACCACGAGATCCACCGGTAACGAGAGCGCGCTTTCCCTGGAGCGAAACCATTTTGATGTCTGTTCTTACTGGAGTTGTTGAGTGGTCGTGTAGAGGAGTTGAGAAGTGGATGTGTTAACGGCTCGCAGTAATGTTCGCGTTTCTGAGAACCGGCGCTCGCCGTGCATGCCAGCAGTTAAGTAGCGGGGCCAGCTGAGCGAGGCTGCGCTGGACGAAAGCGGTGATATGACGTCTAGGATCGGTAACCAGTCGGGTAAACCAAGATTGAAGGTGGGCTTCCCCTGGACGGATAAAGGGCAGCGTGCATTGATAATCAACCCACCCCAATCTGTGCTAATATAAGATCTGGGCCTGCGGTAACTACGCTCGCTTCGCACTGAGAAGAGATCTGGCTGAATGCCGCCGGAAGACGGGAAGAGGTACGCGCTCGCTATGGCTCGATGGAGCTCGATGTGACTCGACGTTGCTCGCTACTGGCTGCCAAAATATCGAAGAGGGAGACTCGGTGATCTAGAGTTGTGAAAAGATGGATCTCCCAGTTCTCCGGTGGATATTGGGAAATGGGTGAGTAGCCGATTTCCTATCACGTGAATGGTACTCAGCACAGTAAGCTCAGAGTCCAGACCGAGGTCCGTCATGGCAGCATGTGTTCCTCCCACTGCGCCCCGTCACCACCACGTCAGTGTCGATCTCTCAGCCAACCACTGCGCACGTCTTTTTCTGGCCTCGGGGACGCGGCGACAGCATACAAAGACGCCGCGATGGGAGGGGACCGCGTGTAAGTCTTGGTCAGCGCATATGTATCATTGGCCCGGAGTCGCCGGCGCCGTCCGGCCGGCGAGTTTACGGGGGTACGGCCGACAGATGTCCGGGCGACTAACCCAGATTGAGCGACGGTCAGCCGAACACTGAGCCGGTCTTGCTGGCACGCGCGAAAAGTCACTCCTCTGCTGAACCGCGGCTCTGATGTGGGCTGCAACTTGTAGAAACGTTGAGAATGCTTGCGTTGATCTGGGGTAGTCATGAGGATGCACGCAGCGGTGCGGGGGATGGGTCAAATGCAAAGGAGGGTTGCTCAGAGTCGGGGACCTGGTGTCTGAGGAAGAGGAACGGTTTGCCTCCGCGGCCGGTATTAACCGAGTCAGGCGGGCTGGCGTACTGGCGTGCGACCCCCCACCTGGCCACCTGCGCACCTGCAGAGCGGAGACCCCTCCCACCCATTCCAGACGCCTGACGGGTGCACCGACGAGACCTCTGTTCGTCGCTCGCGGGGCAACATCCATCTCGTTCATTTCCACTTTCTCTTTTATCAACGGCATCCACCCGACCGCGACTCTCCCCGAGCCTCCACGACAATGGACAGTGGAAAGCAGGCGCCTCAGCCGCCATCCGTCTTCCCGGTTAGTATCGAGAGACTTGTTCCCCGTTTCTTTCCGCAATCATATCAGTCCATGAAGCTGACGCCGGCGCCGTCGCCTCCGCCCGATAGCCTATCGCCCCGTTTAGTTTCACGCTCGGACCGGGAAACGCCCTCCGCAAGGCCAAAGCCGTCCAGAACTGTAGCGGTGAGTAGCCCTGCAGTCCATCCTTTGCAGACGCGGACGACGGTCCATGCAACATGCATTCGAAGCCGGGAGCTGACGAACAGCGTGTCGCCGTCGAAAGACAAAAGTTCGTATGATCGCCGGGCCGCCCGACCCCGCTTACGCCTCATTCCCCCATTCCGGGGCAACGGCGGGGCACAACCTCCTTTGCTCACTTGATGCATCGACTAACGACAGTGTGACCGCCTGTGGCCATGTACGCCATGCAAAGACCGCGGCGAAGCGAACCTGTGCGAGCAATACGTGAAGGAGCCGAGCGATCGGCCGACGTGAGTTTCGGTCACCGTTTGCAAGTGACTCACCGGTGACAGGGGCTACACGCATGTTCTCGACACGTCGATTCTGGCGAACCGCGTGCAGCAGCTCGAGAACGTCCTCTCGCGCCTGATCACTCGCGTAGATAAGGTCGAGGACTACAACGACCTGCTGTACGAGTTCAAAGACCCGCTCCCGACCTACCGCCCTAACAAACGCGAGGGAGATGAGCAAGACAGGAAGGACTCGAAACGTCAGTCGACCGACCACAAGCCATCACTCCGCGACCACATGGACCTTGATCGCGAGAACTCGGTCTCTGCATCGGGACATACGAAGGCTGCCTCCATCGCCCCAAGCAACCTGTCCCAAGACATTATTTCGCCTGTCATGACGATGCCGCCGTTGAGGGCTGGAGGAAGACCACCGCATCAGCCTCAACCTGGTCCATCCAATAGCCACAACCAGGTTCCGACTCAGCAGGGAACACCAGGCAGCCAGATCATGGGCGGAGAAGCGACGTGGATGAACAGTCTGAACCGCGACCCGGGGCCGTATGGAGGAGCCTACACCCCGAGTAACATGGACTTCCTGCGCAGCGGGTTCGAGCCTGCGAGTAAGGCGCCCAGCGCCCACGAGCATGATGCCGCCCTGGCTCTGGAGGGCATGGCTCTTGGCCGAGAGCTGCACAACGCCATCCCGCAGTCAAGAGATGAACGTGAGCTTGCTCTGACTGTAGCTCTAGCTGACTTCAGAAAACAACAACGAGCCAACACCAGGGTCACCGATCACTTTCTCATCCTTCGTGCAGAGCAAGAAGATCCACAAGCCGTCAGGCGGGCTGAAGTCGTTCCCTGCCGCGTCGCGGCTACCCTCCATCATCGTCGGCAAGTATGTCATTAACCACTACTTGGACAACGTCGACTTTCGATGGCGCTGCCTGCACCGGCCGACATTTGAGCGGCAGCTGGAAGACCTGTCGCAGCGATTGCGACACAAGTCGACGGACTTTTACCGCGACGAGCTTTCGACGCTGGCGCTGTATGCCTCGTGTCTTGCTGTCGGCGTGCACTTCCTCGATGACGACGGGTACCGCGACCTGAACCTGAACGAGGAGCAGGCCGAGCAGCTCGCCGCTACGTGCTGGGAGGTGTCGTACCAGGCGCTCGAGGCGTCGGACTGGATGCAGGTGCACGATATCCGCAGCGTGCAGACGATCATGTAGGTTGCCTGGAGCTGCGTACAACTGACAATCAGTATCGCCGGAGTGTACCTGTCCTCGATCCGGCGAGCGAACCAGCACTGGACGCTCCTCGGTTCAGCGACCAAGGTCGCCATGGCGCTTGGCTTCGGCAGTGTGCCCGACGAGCAGAAGATTATCAATGGCGAAGTGAAGCGCATCCCGCATAGGTGGCGGAGCACGATTGACCGCGAAGTTGCCCGGCGAGTGTGGTACTGCCTGCTCGAGCTCGACTGGCTCTTCTCCATGGAGTATGGTTTCGTGTACCTTATCTCTCCAGAGATCCACCAGACGACAGAGCCGGCCAACATCAATGACGTCGATATCAAGCCCGACGAGCCCGTCGTTTCCCTCCCGCCCGACCAGTACACGGACATGTCTTACTTCCTGCAGCGGCTCAAGCTGTTCTACCCCTTCCAAGGTGTCGTGCTGAAGGCTCGCAAGGCAGGACGCATGCGCTACGCCTTCGTGCAAGAGGCCAATGCCGAGCTGCAGCGTGCGGTGGACAACATGCCCGCCTTCTACCGGGACACGGACGGCGCGGAAGCCGCCTCAGACGCCGTGCACCTGTACCGTATCAAACGCGAGTCGATTGCGCTCAGCGAAGGTGCCGACCTGCGTCTGATGCGGTTGCACCGGTACTACTTCTCCGAGGCGTGCCAGAACCCGCGATACCTGCTGTCGAAGCAGACGTGTCTGTCGTGCGCACGGCGCCTGCTCGAGAGCAAAGCGAGGCACGGCAACCTTTACTCGAACACCAACTACTGGGCGCACACGTACTGCATCTTTGCCTCGAGCGTCGTCTGCATCATCTACCTGCACTACGCACTGCCGCAGGAGGTGGACGACTACAAGCGCCTGGTCGAGAGCGGCGTCGAGCAGCTTAAGAGCCTGACGCGCCGGCGCGCCTCGGAGCTCGGCGAGGCGGGCGAGACCCTCCTGTCGCTCATGAACGTGCAGCTCAGCCGCCGGGACGACCCGACGCAGCCCGAAAACCTGAAGCGGGGCCTGAACGAGCTCGAGACCGAGGCTTGGGAGGGATTCCTCCCACCCGATCTCCTCGCGAGGCTGAATGGAGGCGTGTTCAGCACCGGGGTCGGCGATCAGACGGACACGTTCAGCGGCCAGACGGGCGATGTCGGGGGCAACACAGACCTCGGGTTCTCGTTTGACAATCTCCTCGATGACCTGCAGTTCAACGAGGGAAACTTCATGGTTCTGTAGTCGTAGTGTATTTCAGCATAGTTTTAGAGCAATGTAGCCAACTTTGTCGTGTGTCAGTGGAGTGTGGAGTGGTGGAATCAATTCGGCCGCGAACCAGCGCAGCGATGGAGAGATGAAAGGAGATGAGGAGAAAGCGAGTGTGTCCGCGATGAAAAACACAGGATACAGACCGATCAGTCTCAATGTGGAAGCGGCTCTCACGGCCCCTGACATCCCGCGGCATTCGCGAAGACGCCGACTCGAGCAACTCTCCTCCGCTCACGACGATCGTCGGATCATGTCATGTAGTTCAGCCGCTATCGGCAACTCTGGACGATCCGCGGTCCCAGCGATCCAAAAACCACGGCACTCCCGGCGGCAAGAGGCGGCATATCAGTAAGGCGGATCATCTGGCGGTGAGTTACGCGATGCCCGCGGCGATTCCGTTCGGCCAGCTCCGTCTTGGCTCTATGGTCAGCTGCCCATAGTTCCCCATGGGAAGAGCTCATTACGTTCACAGCCTTCGCTGTGCTCGTCGCTATCAGTAGATCGCTGCTCGCTGTCTGGGCTGCTCGCTGCGCTCACCACGCTCGCTGTATCTGGTCATGAATATGCATGTCATTAAGAATGCACGAAAACTCCCAAACTAAGACTAAGACTTCTTACGTTACATTGAGATACAAACTGCTGCTTCCCTCCTGCTTCACTTTCCAAGCTGGTCACTTGCGCCCACTTCAGTCTGGAGCTGTGAGCCCCAGACGCTCGCTACGCTCGCGCCTTTTTGCTTGTTTCGCTTAAACACGCTCGAGGCGGAAGTCCTGCTCGAGCTCGTACTTCATCTTGCCCTCGAGGCCCTTGGGGGGCACGTAGTCCTTCGGGATGGGCTTGAAGTCGACGATGAGCTTGTCCTTGACGGCAAAGACGGCGTCGTCGGTGAGGTAGTCGGACTCGCGGTCGAAGATCTGCGACACGAGGGTGCGGTGTCCGTCGGCCTCGATCCAGTAGTGGATGTGCGCGGGGCGGTACGGGTGGCGGTCCATCATGGTCAGGAGCTGGCCGGCCTGGTGGTCATAGGGGATCGGGTAGGGGGTGGGGGCGGAGGCAGACAGTGTCGTACCGTCCGTTCTCGTCGGTGCGGAAGCGGCCGCGGCAGTGGTACTCGGGCTTCTCGGGGGTCTGGGCGTCGTACAGTCCGTCGGGGGCGTCGTGCCAGATGTCAACAACGGCGTTGGGGAGGGGCTTGCTGTCGCCGTCGTAGATCGTGCCGTACAGGTGCGTGTAAGGCGCGTCGGGCTCGTCCTGGCGGATGATCGTCGTGCCGTTCGGCTGCTCGGGGACACCGTAGCGGTAGAAGGGGCCGAGGATGGCCGAGGGTGAGGCCTCGGTCGTCTTGCCGCCCTTGCGAGCGGGGCGGGTCTGGTCGAGCGCGTCGACGAGGGACTCGACACCAAGAATGTCGAAAATGAGGAGGATCTCGTTACGCTTGTCGTCAGAGACCTGGCCGGCCTTAACGAGGAGGTCGAACGCGGCCATCATCTCCTCGTGCGTGACGTCGGCCTCGACGAGGAACTCGTGGAGCTTGCGGAGGAGGATGGGCATCACCTCCTTGACGCGAGGCGAGGCCTTCGCACCGATCGAGTCGATGCTGCGAATGTCAGTGGATGATCCAAGTCAAGGAACCATCGGTGCTTGCGACATAGCTGGACGCCAAGTCGAGCGAAAATAAGACCGATCTTGCTTCTACTCACGAGGTCTTGGTGAAGTCCGAGAAGTCAAAGTTGGACATGGCTGTTGATGTGTTGAGGGGGTGTGGGGGATGAAACAAGGTTGATGTGTCCGTCTATATATCGGGCTAGGCAAGGCTCGGGGGTCGGTGACTTGGAGGATCGGAGGAGTGGGAGATGCGCGATTTGGGTCTCCCTTTGGTTCCTTGGGCGTAACGATGCATCCTGGCCTTGTGCCGGAGCAGCCGTGAAGTCTCGGGGTCTGCATAGGCTGCCCGCGTTTGCCTGCGTTGGCTTGCTGATTTCCTTGCCAGCCAAGTGGATATGCGGTGGCGGTCTCGCTCATCCCTGAGCCCCAATGTCGCTGGGGCTGCGAGCTGGGCGCGATGCCGACCTCCGGCGAAGGCGTTTGCGGCGAGACGCGGGTGACGGCGGCGGACTCGAGGCTGCGGCACCGGGCCAGCGGGTTCAGCGGGGATTGCGGGGTTGAATGGCGGCAGACTTCCGTACCTTTGCTCCTACCTGGGGACCCCACGGGTCCGGCTCCCTCCTGGCCACTCATCGCTGGGCCATTACGCCTGCTCTGGTACTCGGATCGGAGGGCCCGACGACCACTCTGCACCACTTCCGACCCGGATCCCCCGCGGTCGGTACTCATCATGTGAGCTGCGTCACTTCTTCGCCTCCAACAACGGGCAGCGGACAGCGGGCATGTCCATAACGGAGTGATCAGTCCTGAAGTGCAAGATCGGAAAAGCGGAGTTCGTAATATGAATGACCATAATAGTGTCGCTTAACCGTTGCAGTGCTCGATTAGGATATCGCTCGAGTGGGGACAATTCCGAGATTAATCGGTCTCTCCCACAGTCACTGTCACCCTCACCAGGCCTACCCCGGCAACACTCGGCACATCACTCGGCCTCCACCCTTCCACACACTCACTTCCAACGGCTCTCACTTACGACTTAGTCATCAACACATCTGACCTTCCACTCTACTCCAATTCACCAGCAATCCCCGTCACAATGTCTGTCACTCCCCAGGTCGCCTCCTTCGTCAAGGACCTCTACGCGCGCTCCGACGTCGGCCCCGAGGGCCACGACGCCTATGTCGACCTCTACCTCCCGGACGCGACGCTCGTGATGGACAAGGTGCAGTTTGACGGCCAGGCCGGCGTGCGCAAGTTCCGCGAGGCCGGGTGGGAGAAGGTCGCGACCCGCCACCACGTGTGCAAGGGCATCTTCCCGAGCCCCAGCAACCCGGACGAGGTCATGACATACGGTACCGTCGACTATGGATTCAAGGACGGCAGCAAGAAGGACGGCATCGAGTTTGCGACCCGCCTCGTTATGGACCAGAGCGGGAAGGAGATCAAGATCAAGTTCTACCAGGTCTACATTGTGAGTGGTCCCGGGCGGGCGAGAGCGAGCGAGCGAGACGCTCGTTCCGGCCGTCCGCAAGGTGTCTGATGAAAGTAGGGCTGACATGCAGACCGACCGCACCTCCTAAGCACCGTGACTTGGTCATACAGATAGAGAACGTCAGCAGCATGCATCCATAAGAGTACAAGAGGGGCGGTGGCGCCGCGACTGACTTTCGACTGACTACTGACCACGTCGCTCGTTGGGTTGCTGACTGAGGTTGCAGAATGTGGCTTGCCCACTTCGGCCCTACCTGGTGTTTCGACGTCCTCCGTTACACAGCAGTAGTGCACTTACACCCCAAACAAGCACCCAAGCCCGATGCTCTGATCAGTCTGCTTGCTCACTGCAACAGCAATCCAAATGCAGTCTAGATTCCATGCAACTATATGTATGCCTATGATTAAGAACTCAGCTAGAGCCAAGCAACGACGGACACGGGGTGCTCCTCGCCCTTCTCGCCCAGCTTGAGCTCATCGAGGACCTCGAACCCGTCTTTCTCCGTGTAAGAGAGCATCTGAACGAATCCCTCCTCGCTGTCCGTGAGGGCGATGTAGCTCTCTCCCCTCGGCCCCGCATTCGGCGCAACCGCGATCGCATTGGCCCATCCACCAGATGTGCGGGTCTGGAACCGGTGCTGCGGCTGCTCGTCTGCGGTCTTGAGGCGGCCATTCTCGTCGAGCGACCAGGCCGAGACCCAGCCCTTCGTTTCGGGCTTGAGGCCGCGGGTCGAGCCGAACAGCGTCCGCGCGTCGGGGGACAGACGCACCTCGTCGGCCCAGTAGAGGCCACAGTCATCGGAGGGGGGAAGGATGTTGCCGCCCTCGACCCACTCGAGCGACTGGTCGTCGTCACTCAGCCGGAGGACGTCGACGTAGCTGCTGTGCTCCTGGAGAGAGTACACGATCCGGCCATTGGGGTGGGGCCACGCGTGTCGCGGGCCGTCGTGGCCCCGCTTCGCGATGTTCTTCGACGCCTCCTTCAGGTGTCCCGTCGCGGGGTCAACGTGGTACATCCACACGCAGTTGCGGCCAATGTCGGCGACGTAGAGCTTGGACCCGTCGGGCGAGAGATCGGCAGAGTGTCCGCCGTGTCGCAGTCCGCCAAAGTCGAGCACACTGTCACCCTTGTGTCGCCCGTTCTCGCTCACGAGCGCAAAGCTCTGCACCGCCTCGCCTGTCTTGAGCTTGCCCTTGTCGTCGAGCTCAAAGACGTCGACCTGCGGCCCGCAAGCAGAGTAAATCGCCTTGGCGTTCGCGACGACATAGCCCGACATGTACTTTGACGGCGCGGTCGTGGCCTGCTTCGCGGTGTGATATCCAACCTTACCCGGGGGGACAATGTCGTAGCAAGTGACCCGAGCCGCGCCCGTGCCCCAGCAAGTGGCGTAGAGCGTCTTGCCGTCCCGGCTGACGTCGAGCCAGTTGTGTCCGCTCAGCGCATCGTTCGTCGTCTGCAGGCTCAGCTTCTTGGAGCCGGGCTCGAAGCGGATCGTGTACAGCTTCGGCGAGCGGAAGGTGCCCACGAAGAGCTCGTAGGACTCTGGCGCGAGCGCAGACTGCACCGCGTTCGCGACTGCGTGCGGTGCCTCGATCCCGCCCCAGTGTCCGACACGGGGGAGGATGACGCTGTGCCCGTTCTGGGTCTCCTTGGCCCACGCCTGCACGGGGGCAGGACCGGCGAGGTAGTCCTCCGCGCCGCCAATAAGGTAGACGGGCACGGGGGTCTTGGCCGCGTCGACGTCAGGAGCAGTAGCGAGCGCCTTGCACGCGGCGGCGTAGCCCTCGGGCGAAGTCGTCGAGACAAGATCACGGATGAAGGAGGTGATGGAGGAGTTGGAACGAGAGGCCGAAGCGACGCCAGCGGAGGCAACGGCGTTCGCAATGCCGGCGAGGCCCTCGCTGGATGAGGCGGCCGAGGCACGCGCGCTCATGCCCTCCTTCGCGGCGGGGGGCAGGTTGCGGACGGGGTGCAGGAGAACGAGACGCTCGACGAACGAGGGGTTCTCCTGCGCGAAAATGGAGGTGACGGTCTGGGTATCGTCAGCAGGTCGCCCAGTGCCACTCGACACCACCTCCCATCCTTTCCACGACCCACTGCCTTGTGCCCAGTGCTCGTCGCTCAGCACGCAGAGCTGAACGTTCGGCGATGAGAGCGCAGCGATCAGAGATGGAGTGTATACTCACCGCGTTCATGGAGTGCGCAACGAGGACGACCTTCTGCAGTCCCAGCGCCTCAAGCACACTCTTAAGATCGGCGACGTACGCGGCGATGCCGCCGTCGGACCGGCCCGAGAACGGGCTCAGCCCGTGCCCGTCCATGTCGTAAACGTAGATGTCGCGCTTCGCGAGCTCGGGGCTGGCCGTGAACACGGGTGTCCAGAATGCGGAGGAACTGCGAGCGTCAGTGAACGTGTTGTGGATGGGTGAGACGATGTGCCTTCTGTTGCGCTCTCAGACTTCTGCCGATTGCAGTGGGCACCGCTACCTCTGATACGGGCGGCGCTGTTCGGCGCCCTGTGGGCAGTGATGGTAGTGCCGGAGTCACCGCGGAACATGGGCAGCGATGGGCGCAGCGTTGAGGGCGCAACGAGCAATGAGGCGCAGGGGATTCACTCACCCGCCGAGACCGTGCAGCGCGACAACGGGCGTGAGGCCGTCCTGCGGCCTCGTGCCCCGGGACACGAGGCAGTGGATCCGCCTCCCGTCGCCGAAGGAGAGAGTCTGCGCCTCGAACGATGCCATGTTGTTGAGGAGGGCGTATGAGTGGATGGGCGTATGCACAAGCGGTTGAAGTTGATAAGATTACAGTCGCAAGGTTACAGTCGCAAATTGTTGAGTAGCAAGATGCGGAGAGGGGATGGAGAAGGGGAGTGGGATGTGCAATGGAAACATGGTGACTCCGCGGCAAGCATGAGCATCTCGGCGGCGGCGCGGCGGAGCAGACCCGCGATCGATATCGCAGGAGCCTGTGGTGGCTGCCGCTGCCGGCCCGGCGGCTCCATCAACCCTGACGCAGTTCATGTCGTCTCCCAAGCCTCTCCACCGTACAGTGCCATCGGGACTGCCGACAATTCAGGCACCAAGCCTTTATCAGCACCCGTCGACTTGGTCAGCTGTCCACTCCCCCGCAATTCCGTAGGCGGGGCCGCCCTCCACCACTGCGATTGCGGCGACTGGGATTTGGCGGGCAACCTTGCCGCCATAGTACTCGCTCGCTCCGGCGGAGAAACACATCGCTCGCACCTCCGTCCACGCAGGCGGCGTCTTCAGTCAGCAGAATCACGTCTGCATACCTCTGTGCGTTTTGCTTGCTAAGACAGGTCGAAGATGCTTCCAACGGCCAGTCGGGAGGCTCTTCCTTGGCATGACGATGTTAGGTCGGAAGTAGGCCCCGGACATGCCGCGGCACAAGCGGTTCCGATCCTATCTCAGACATGGCTTGCCTCGTTTCACAACAACCGTGCACTATATAGACCTGGCCAAGATCCGGCCTGCGCGTATTATGCTTCTGCCTCAACTGCCCACTTGTGATACCACCTTCGAGACTTCGGCTTCGCCGCGCACAACGCACGACCGCGGTCCGACCAGAGAAGTACAGTTACACGCATCGCAACGCTCCGATTCTGACCAACGACCTTATTAACACACTGATTCATTTACATACACGCTGAAGCAGGTAGTGTGTGCGGCCCGAAAGCGATGTACAGATGGGAGTGATGGGTACAGCGAGATAGTGGATTGGCGAGGGGAGGGCGGAAGGAGGTATCACAGCTTTCCGAGGCCCGCGTCCGCTCAAGCACAGGAGAGGTAGGATATAATTCGATCATCGTCCGAGCGGTACAACCTTGGGCAACAGCGAGCCTGCATGCGCTCGCTCATATTCCACGCCTGGGCCGCCCGCTCAGACTTCCTCCCTACTTGAGACCGACAAGCACACACTTGGCAGCTTGGCTTTACCTTTGCCCTTGTCGAGCTTGGGCTTTTCGTCGAGGCTTTCCATCGAGTTGTCCGAGTCGTAGTCCGTCAGTGACACGGACGTCACCGTGCGATCTGTCCGTCCGCGCGACGATGTTTTGCGCTCAGGCCCTCCAAACCCAGCGACGCCCAGCTTCTCCTTATCCTCGCCGTGATCTTTGTATGGCACGACGGGGACAAAAGCTCCGTTACCGCCTCCGCCGCTCGCTTGGCGAGTCTTCTCAATCGCGGCAATCTGTGCTGTTGAGTACGTCTTGGGTCTACCTCCGTCAGTTACGTTCCTGCGATGATCCTAACTCACCCCTTCTTACTAGCTCCTGACCGCTGCGAGGCCGTTTCAGGTCCATGCTCGTTCCTGTCATCGACGACGAACGGTTCGCTGCTTGTCAGCTCAGCGTTACGCGGACCGAGCGGGCCGCAAAGGACCCTCGGTCGCTGACACCTACTTCTCGAGACTACGGCCCACCCGCTGCGGTCGCTTCTTCCTCCTCAGGAAGAGGAACAACAGCGCGAGCAGAACAGCTAGACCAAGGATCCCTCCAACCTGCCCTGTCAGCGGCGCGGGAAAGCGGACTACGGGAGCTACACTCACAACGCCGCCAGCGATGGCTCCAGCTGGAGCTCCTTTGCTCTTTCCTGAGTCATCCCCCACAGTGCTGTTGCCAGAGGGTACAGCACCGCCGAAGCCGACGTCCGAAGGGCAACCCTTGTCGCCTCCTCCATTTGCGTTGCCGAAAGCGCAATTGTCCTTGTCGATGGCAGACTCCTGGGGCTTGACGTTTGTCGTTGAGGCCGCGCGAGCTCCTGTGATTGAAGATTCACCCGTAGGGGACGGCGAGACATCGAGGGCGTAATGCAAAACTGTGGTGACGGGGGCTCCACTGACAACAACTACTGCCGAGAAGGGCACAATGCGGGTGGCGCCCGCCTGCTCGTCGGCGTTCGTCCCAGAGTCCGGGTCCTTCCGATCAACAGCTTCCACTGTCTTCTCGGCCGGCGGAGCTAGAGTGACAGTGACCGAGAACAGCCCAGCAGGTACGAAAAGCGACCTGGTGGTGGGAGGCTGGCCAGCATCATTGAAGAGAGTCGTCTCTATAATGGTTCCTTGCGGAAGCTGCTGCTCTCCGGGGGGCGGCGCGGCGGTGGAAGTGCGGGTGGGTGCGGGTGGTTGCTCGGCCATCGTGAGCAACGATAGAAACAAGTCGAGCTGATGTCTTCTAAGCAAGAGTAGCCCGAAGAGGAGGACGTGTCAACGCTAGTCTACTGAATGACAATGTAGAACGCAGCGACCAGCGTAGACTGCTCGGTGGTCCGTTGGTTCCGAAAGCCTAGTCGCAGAGCGGGTCACTGACGGTGACAAATGGATCGTTGTGATTGACGGAGGCGAGGGACACGGCCAACAATGAACACCAACAAACTGGAAGCAGTCGAGGTTCACAATCGTCCTTCCTGCCGATCTTATCGTCGTTTTCGAGGCGGTGGCGGCTCAAACGTCGGCCGAAGCTGTCGAGTTCGGCTGAGTAGTCAGAACAACGAAGAGAAGACAACAAGCCTAAAGGTGGAGGGAGGAAGATGGTAGTGAGAAGGTGGATTGGGGTGTCAGAGACAGAAAGGCACAGAGAAATGGGGGGACAGAGGAAGGACGGCGGTGACGAGGGAAGGCGGGAGGCAAGTTCAAAGGACCTCAGTAACCTGAGTGCTAGGCAATGCAATGGGACGAGTGTTGGAGCGCAAGTGCGTTGATGCGTTGTGGTGGTGCGTAGCGCAGGCTGATGTCGGTGCGTACCCGGTCAGAGCTGTAGATGTCAAGTGAGAAGCGCAGAGGCCGATCGTCGCACAGCTGTACGGCGAATGCAAGAGATTGTGCACGGGTGCGAGTGTGACGTCGTGCGTAGCTCGGAACGTGAACGGAGGGGAGAGGGGGGAAGGACGATGTGCGCAGACAGTGTGCTTTGCTGCGTGTGCTGTGCGTTGACGTCGTCTGGGCGTACTCAGGTCGTCGTCGTACACTGTGTGCAAGTGATAAGTTTGAAGAGGCAACGTCGAAACGGGCTCGGTGGCGGGAGTCGTCCGTGCAGAAGCAGCTCCAGCATAGCCTTGGATGTTGAGAATCGAGAAGTGTCGAGCGAGCTCAAGCACTTGCGCTGATTCTCGAGTCTCGGCCTAACCTGAACACCCGAAGTGCGGAGTTTGGAGCCCGGAGCGAGTGAGTGAAGTTAGATAGCTAGATAGATAGGCAGAGAGGCGACTGAGACTGGGGCGGTCGGGGGTTGACAGTGGAAGAGGTCTTGGACCTGGCGTACCTTGCCCTGCATGCTCTGACTAATCGGGATCGAGCAGGACTGGACCTGGCCGCGTTGACCGCTCTTGTCTCACTGTCTTACTTGGAGGTCGAGCTCGGTCTCGCTCGACCTGGCCGCTGGGGAATCAGTGCGAAGGGAGGACCGGACTCGAAGGGATCTGACCATGCTGACTATGTTGCATCCGCGTATCCTCAATGATCGTGCGAGGGAGTGCGTGCGTCTAGAGAGTGCTCGAGTGCGGAATGGAATGGAGGAATGATCCAATCGATCCAAGAAGCGACGATCGTGCCCAAAGCTGTGTCGTGTGCATGTCCGCAGGATCGCGGGAATGATCGACTGTGATACGCTCCCCTCGTGCCCAGTGCCCAAGACCTCCGCCCCTTATCCTCCCCTCCAGCCACATCCCCGCCCTTGACTCCGGATCTTCCCAAACCTCTGCCCTGCACCATCGTTGGCCTCGAAAAGGAGTGTCTGCGTTAATGATGCACGCCCCGCCCTCTATACCTTGCTGGTCACATGCAGGTCGTGCGCGAAGAGGGCTCGAGTGGGGTGTCGCGGTGCTCGGACCGCCAAAGCCACGCCTGGATTAAGGTTATCCTCCGACCGACTCTCGTGATCCCATGCCTCGGCAAGCATTTGGCTGGAATCGGTCAATTCCAGCTCTGCCATTCCCGAACTCCGCCCCTTGCGATCCTCTGGCAACACTCGCCTGAGAGCAAGCTGCGCACTCCTCTGATTCGTCATGAGGAGGTCATAGCTGTGCAGACTGGCGCAGGTATGAATAACCCGATATGGTGTCGGGTCCAGGTACCGGCCTCCATGACCGCGAGTTACACAGGAGGGGAAGAGGAGGGAAGGAAGAGGGGAAGCGGGCGGCAGATGATCGCCGCGGACGAGGCGGTGCGAAGTGTCTCCTGGGTCGGGGGTAAGGTTCTGGGCCAGGTACAGGTCCCAGTGACCTCGACGCTCCCTCTCCGAGGTCAACAGCCTTGGCATCAGCGCGTATCTTTGCATCATGCATTGCAGGGGTTCAGCCCAAGCTCGCATTCAGTCTGAACACTGGCATTCGTTACCGGTACAGATTCGTTCATGATTCGCTCCTCGTCGCCTCTCTCGTCTCCGTAGACTCGGACGCTTCTCACAACCCCGCTTGCTTTCAGCGGGGGAACTAGATCCAGACGTTCAAACTACTTCACACTCTACACAGGGGGTTGGCGGTCTCCCGTTGGAGCCCGCACCGAGCGAGCAAGAGGCGAGACCTCTCGTACCTGATGAGTCATGTTCGGCAGGGGCCAACCCTAACCCCTCTTCTCGTCCTTGAACCCGTTGTTGTCGGGGGGCTGACCTCCCTGCTCGGCAGCAGAGATCTCGGCGACGTACTGCGCCTTCTCGTTCAGACGCTGCGAGACGTTCTCGGCACCCGAGCTCGAGACTCCGGACGTGTCGGGGGACGAGGTAAGGAGCTTCTCGCCGGTACTCGAGGGACTGGCGGGGGTGCCGGCGCTCATGTTGGAGGGGCTCATGTTGGACCGCCGGGAGGAGGGTTGCCACCCGTCTGTGCCCAGGCGGGGTCGTAGCTGGGAGGAACGACGATGGTGCCCGCGTCCGACTCCTGCTGCACGCGAGGAGGGGGAGGACGGCGGCCCTTGGGATCAAACGACAGGGCAGAGGAGAGGCTCTCGCGCCACCCGGGGTCGGACTGCGCACGCCTGGAGGTCAGCTAAAGCAGTGACGTTGAGCTCACGAATCGCGGGGAGAGACGGTCTGGCTGTATGGTACCATCACTTGCGGCTCCTCGGTCAGGTCGAGGTGCGTGCTGCTGTCAGCTATCATACGCGTTGCTTAGCTTACTCCTCCCAGGTAGGCTCCTCGACCTTGCGGCGGCGCAACAGGAGGAAGATACCGAGTGCGATCAACGCCACGCCCACTACTCCACCGATCTGCGGTCAGCGCTGCTAGACTATGACCTTACCGTTCCACCAACGATGGCGCCGACATTCTTCTTCTTCTTATCCTCGTGAGGCAGCTGGGCGCTGAGCGCCTCAAACTTGTCCGCCGCGTCCTGGTTGGTAAACTTGTATCGTGCCGAGCGGAACTGCAGAGTGGCGTTCTTGTCAGTGTTACGCAGCCAGCACGTGTAGCGTGTCTTCGGGTCGAGGGGCGTGATGAACATCTGGGTGATGAGCTCGAACGGGCGCGAGGCATTGTACGACCACTTGGTCGTGTTGCCTGGCGAGGGCGCGAGCTCGACCTCGTACGTCCCGCCCTGGTATCCAACGAAGCCGCCAATCGCCATGTATGCCACGCCCTCGGGAATATGCCACCAGACCTGGGCACCGGGCTTGCCGCGAGCGTGGGGCTGCTTGTCGTCGAACCCTGCGGTCAGCTTTGTGAAGGCTCCAACTGAGCTGCGTGAGGGTTGTGCAAAGTAGGGAGTCCATCACTCACTGCCTGGATCAAACTGCTGAACCCAATCCCACTCTCCCTCCCAGTTGAACATGGGGTTCTGCTTGGTGTTGTTCAGCACGGGCTGCTGGTTGATCTCGGGCGCTTCACGGCCAGCGGTGTATGCCGCGTCGATCTGGGTCTGGACGACGATCTGATCGACGGCAAGGCTGCCGTTGACGAGTCGCAGACCCCAGGAGTGTTCCATGCTCTTGCCAAAGGCGTGCCCGTCAGCATCGAGGTTGACCTTGTAAGCGCCGGCGAAAGTGTATGGCTCAAACTTGGCAGTGAGTTCCTTGTTGTCCCACATGCGGATAATCGTCGTGTTCGTCGTCGCGCTGCCGTTGAGGAACATGCCTGTGCCGGTGAAGTTGGCGGCGAACTTGGCATTAGAGCGGGAGACATTCAGCGCCGCTCCGTCTCCGAGCATGGGAGGCTTCCACTCAACCTTGGGGATCGTCCACGACCACCCATCGGCTTCGTTGCCATTGTATGTGATGGGGTCATAGGCGATGATGGGCGAGAGAGGTGACAGAGGCACCGACAAGGGAACGGCGAGGGCGCTGCCGAGAAGCGCGAAGATGGCCCACATCGCACAGCGGTTATCCGGCTCTGGCGAACGGCGAGGACGAAGATGTTGAAACTAGATCGCTTCCGCTTGTCTTCTGTTAGTGTTTGCTATCCGATGTCGACGTGGCCGTGGGGTGTGTTCTTATTGTACGAAGCTATTGTCCTGGAGGGCGGGATGAAGGATTAAGTTGAGGCAGGCGAGGCCCTTCTTTGCTCCGACGTGGTGGGGACAGCGGTGAAGGGCTAGTAAGTGGTTCGAAGGTCTAGAGCCAGTCAGTCTTGAGCTACTGAGTCGGGGAAGGGGAGGAAGACGACCGGGTGACGGACCTGGAACGGGACGGAAGCTCGGAGGGCGACGAGAAGCAGCGACGGTTGGTCGTCCTCGTCGTCACTGAACCTCAGTCCTGAGCTATGGACGACGAGGTGCAGCATGCAGCATGGCCTATGCCTGGCAAGCTCAGACACTACCTTTGAATCGTCTCTGAAATGGATCGCTGAAGCGTTGCGTGTCTCTCGCACATCATGCCCTTCTTGGATCGGCGTGCGGGTGACCCAATCTTGTGGCGCCCTCTGCCCCCTCGCCGACCAGAATATTGGTATGATCCGCCATTAGTGTTCGGGCTGGACTCTGATCAGCGACGCAGTCAGCATGGCAAGCCGGGCGTGTTCCTGACAACGCCACCCCGAAACTCCTTTGTTCGAAAGGCGGCCCGGAATCGCCGGACCGTAAGGGGCGTCGCGCTGTGGGGCGCAGGAAGCAGAGTGGACGTCGTTGGCAACGTTGACAGGCACTAGACACCAGACCTCGACATCTTGTCAGCTGTCAGAAAGGAGCCGACTTTACGACAAATCAGGAGCAAACAATCTAAACTGGGTCACTGGGTGTATGAGAGAGAGTCAGCACCTATTGTTCTCTGATGCGGTGTCGTTTCACAGTCGCCGTCCTGGGCGCGGACGATATCAGAGTGTCGACAACCACCCAACAGTGCCCCCGTTGTGAGCGTTTCACGGGATGGTCAGTTGTTACAGGAGGTGAGGGCCCTCATTCCAAGCTGTAGGGGCCGAAGCAGGCGTCTCTTACGACCTTTGTGCTCAGTTAACTCGTAGCCATCTTCCTCACCGTCAGGTCGGATGGTGTTGCGGGCGTTACAATCATCGCAACGCTGAGCATTATCTTGCTACTGCTTCGACCTGCTCGAGTTGTTAAAGTAAGGAATGCGAGTTCTGCTGTTGTGAGATCTCAGCAGGCTGCCGACGGACTATAAATGGGAAGGGGTTGAAGCTGAGAGCGCCACTGCGGGGCTCAATCCCATCGGTGACATAGCGTCTGCGACGATTGGATCGTACAGACGAGAGCCGGTGCCTGCGTTCTGGCCGAGTAGACTGTCCCGTCTGGCCCTTTGTCTTCTTGTACAGCCAATGCCAGGCTGGCTCGATGCGAACGATCGAAAGTCGAAGTGGGACGCATGTGGGAATATGGCACGAGCACGCACCTCAGCCTTACTGCGGATGGGACCGATCCAGCCTGCTCGCTATTGCTCGCTTCGGTCGTCAAGAACTGGCACTATGATGGGGACAGAACACCGAATGCCGCTGTTCGATCCTCTGCTGTATGCCCACTTTGCATCTCGCTGCTTCTACTCTTGCACTCTGCAGATTCAGACCCAATCAGTAGAGCAAGCGCGCGGCTGGCCCTCCTCGCAAAAGTTCTGCAGGCTGATCACCTCCCGGCTGATCTGTGGATCTGCGGGACCAGCGGCCATAAAAAGGTGATAACACCGGGGACCGGGGTCTGGGTCGGGGACCAAAAGTCGTATGCCGCAAAATCGGCACTGCTCCATGCGCTCCACGAACCACAGGCCCGATTATGGCCGTCCACTGCCGTCTGGCCAGCATGGCTGTCAGCTGAAGGCAAAGTGTAGAGTACCTGGTGGGAGTTGGGGTCAGGCACAAGCAGTGGAGAGGCTGCACCTCCACTGCCTAATGTCGTTTGAGTTGCACCCGTCGGGGCTGGTCTTCGGGCATGCACAGAAGGTATCGGGCAGGATGAAGAGCGGGCCCGAAAGCTCGGGCATATCATCGCAACTTTGCTCTGCGTGCCAGGCATGTGTGGGTGATGAGAGTGTGCAAAGTAGGATGGCCACCAAAGTTTTGCCTCACTGCCCGCATTCGTAAAGTCCTAGTATCTAATCAGTGATCGAGAGCGATGCGCAGCTTAGCATCCTACATCCTGCCAAGCCATCAAGCTCCGTCCGCTATGCTTCATATCGGTTACGCCCCAGGTTACGCACAACCTTAAATAACGATGACCGCACAGGTGAATGTAACGGGGAGCGTCGATTGACAAGTGAGCTCGTCAAGGTCGCCAGAAGAAAAGCAGGTCCGCGGTTGAGCAAGGACGAGTCTGTCGCTCATGTCCGAGCGCCAAGGCGCCGATCTGTATTCTGGCTGGCGTTATTTGCATTGTTCAGTCGCAAGCCTCGCATGCCTCGCAGGATCGCAGGTCGCGCAGGTCCGTTGCCCAAAGAGTGCACACAGACTGACCAATAGCGAAAGTGGGGGAGGGGAAGGGCACTCTGCGCTGCGCTTTGAGGCGGCATGCGGCGTTGCGATAAGTGCTCAACTGGGAACAGGCCGCGAACTGGGCGGTATATTGGGCCTGGGGCCTGGCAGCTGACCGAGGGTTCTATTTCGACGTTTAGAGATCGTGCTCGGGAAATGAACGAGCAGGTGATCATATGGGCAGCTGGGTAGCATGAGGACAACGGAGCCCGGACAGCTGGGTTCCGAGATAGCTTCCTTCCGACGAGGCCGGCAAACTTTGTCTGACGGTCAGCAGCGTGCAGCTTGCAGCATGCAGCACCTCCGAGGGACATGGCGACGGTTAGAGAAGAAGGAGCGGCTCTGGTGCCCTGGCGCTGGTGAACTCAGGGGCGGGAGTAAAAATGCGGGGGGTCGCTCCCTGTATTCGGCTAAGCGAAACCGTCATAATCGCTGGGCTGGGGCACACCCGCACACCCACACCCGGCACAGGGTGGGTCCCAAAGTGGAGGGACGGGGGAGGGGGAAGGGGGACAGACAGATGAACGCAGACGGGGGACAGCGCGAGTCAACACCAAAGCACCTGGCGGGCAGCACACTGTGCAAAGGGCACGGGCGGCGCGACAAACCAGCCTCTGCACGTTGGCCGTTGCCCGGTCCCCGGATCCATGGCGCATGGGCTGGACAGCCTGTGCTCCGATGGCATCCCCGCTGGCTGGCTGGTCGATGTGAAAGGGTACAAACGTAGACGCAGACACAGACGCAGACGCACCGTCCACCCTCCGCACCACCACCACTGACCTGCCCAAGGAATCAATTCACAGCCGCCGGTTTGGTCTCCTGCATCCTGGTGACTACTCCTTCCTTCATCCGGACTCACTTGACATCCCTCTTTCACCACTGCACACCTCACACACACACACTTCGTCTTGCCACTTACACGCCCGACCTCCTTCTCGCCCCTCGACATACTCGCCGCTTCTTCCTCCACTCTCACATTCCTTGCATCGGTTTGTTGCTCCACTCCTCGCCGTCACTGGCCATCGACCCCCGCGGCCCACCTCGAGCGACATCCGCTGCTCCGCCCAAGATAGCCGCGGTCATGTACAAGTACCTCCAGGAGGACAACGGGCAGCAACCTCTTAGTGCGTAGCTTATGTGTATTGGTGGCTGACCTCTACAGAAAAAGTCAAATGTCAACGAGTTAGTGTCGACGCCTCCTGTTCCATTCCTTCCGGTCTGGCGAGCTAACGTCTAACAGGCATGCAAGTACTGCCGAAAAAGCCATACGACATGCGAAGACACGCGGCCATGCCAGAGATGGTGAGTAGTTTCAGGAAATGCCTTTCTGACAACCCAGCATTAAGCGAGACATTGCCCAGTTATGCCTGGCAGATGAGGCCGAGCAGCTCCAGCAGCAGGCGGCACAGCAGGCAGCTCAGCAACAGGCGGGCGCCAGCTCGCGAACGGTCCCTCAGAAGCGACGTGCATCCCAATCACAGACGGGGACGTCTGTGGATAGTGGTGATCGGCCGGAGCGAAATGGACACCCGCCTGGCTCGGATGAGGGCAGCATGGCTGGACCAAGCTCACAGCGAAACGTCGTGTCACCATCTGCCGCTACGAACGGCCCAGACATGATGAACGCAGTTCACATGATGACTTCGCCCGTCGACTCGTTCCGGCCACAGACCCTGCCGTCCATCAACGAGGGCCAGGGCGGCGCCCAGATGCCGCAGCAGCAGCAGCAGCAGCAGCAGCAGCAACAACAACAACAGCAGCAGCAGCAACAGCAGCAACAGAACACCGTCGGCAATAGGCTGTGGTACGAGCAATCGCTCGGTCAGAACAACACGTCCTCCAACGGCGGCGTACCGGAGAACTTCTCGTGGAGCGCCCTCGTCGAAGGCATGTTAGATCCATTGCACACTGGGACACCGCAGTCGGGGAATCATCAGGACGTGTCGTGGCTTAACAACTATGCTAGCACGCCAGCTGCGCCTGCGCCCATGTCGCTGCCTGCGCCTACGCCCGGTCCCGCGGCGCAATCGAATTCACCGGGCCAGGGAGGATCGCAGGACGCAGCGCGCATCGCCGCCACGTCGCAATCGCCCAGCACAGTCACCGGTGCCCAGAGCAACAGCGTAGACGAACACATCACACCTTATAGTGAGTGGCAGTGGCACCTACTATTGGCAGATCTGTTAACAACAACAGATTACACGTTTGGTTACTCGAGGCTACGGACATACACGAACGAGCTTGGCGATCCGACCTTTAAGGCCCGCGTATCGGCTGCGACGGACCGGTTCAAGCCGATCCTGCACAGCTGCCTCTCGCAGTACTCGGACGATCAGAACATCCAAGCAGAGATCCAGTTCGTGTCCTTCGTTCGGCAGTGGCAGAGCCTTAGCGACGCTTTGCCTGTACCTGCGCTCGTTTGGCGACGGACAGGTGACATCAACGGCGGCAACACCCGCATGGCGCGACTGCTCGACGTTCCGCTGGACAACCTTCGGTCCGGAAAGCTCTGCATCTACCACGTGAGTCCCCCGGCAGGAGTAGATAAGCCTCCTCGCACAGGCATGGAAGGATTCGCTGACGATCTCCAGATCTTGGATTCTGCTTCGTTCCAGGACTACTGGGAGGACTACGCGTCCAAGGTGCTGATCAACCTTGCGGATCGGTCCACGTTCGACGTAACGGTGCCCGTGGCGCTGACGAAGAATGCGGATCCGACCAAGACGCACCTGCTCAGCGCGTCTGTCATGTTTGACACGTTCGGGCTGCCACTGGTGGTCAGCGCGGTGCTGACCCCGCTATCGATCGAGTACAAGTCGCGCATCGAACCGTCAATGGTCATCCAGGTAGGTGGCACAGATAGGAATCCTACGGTGCGACCCGTCTCTTTGCAGTCACTGGAATATCTGTGGATGTGCTGAGGGAGAGCGAGGTTGGTTGTCATCTTTCCCCTGGAGACGCAAGGCAGTGGCTGACAGCGCAGGCGTGATTCGTTCATGAGCCTGTACGATCACCTATTAGGACGGCTACGGTCCGCGGCTCCGATTTCATCTCTATTTTTGGGTACGATGTGTTTGTCTTGACGAGGGGCAGAGAAGGGGTGTCTGGGCCCCAATGTAACTCTAACTAGTTTTACCCCGAATGCAACGAAACTTGTATGCACGCAGACAAGCTGGCAGCGCAGGCAGGCCTGGCATCGGCTGTCCCACAGTCTTCTGCCAAGATTTGTCCAAGCATAGTCGGGGAAGTCTACGTGCGATGCTAATGTTGTTCGCATCTCGTGAGCGTCCGTGCCGGCCGCTGGTGCCCGTGCCCATGCCGTATCCTGTGGTGCCGGTGACCAGAGCCCCATGGGCGAACACTGCGGCACCAGCCCCCGCATCACCGGATCAGTCACAGGCAAAGACAAGGCATCACAGGCACTCGGGGCTCACTGGGCTCCGTGTTTGCAGAGGTTGGTGACTGGGGGCGCGATCGGTGGCTGGTGCTGGGGACCGCGGGGCTGCGCGGAGGGGAAGAGAGGCGCGTGGGAGGAACCAGAAGGACGCGCGTATCGGCATCGGATCGCCCGTTGTGTGGACGGCGGGGGTGGGTGGGTGTGGCGCGTGACGTCGGGTCACAGATGATCGGGGAGTCGCCAGCGTACCACCCCCATAGCCAAGCTCTCCAGACAGGCCCGATCAGCCATGCACCCAAAGGACCCAAATCGTCAGTCGCCGTAGCCTGCGGCCCCGGATATCCACACAGGTAGTGGGCGTGGGGGACCAATCCGAGAGCGATCATTTCGGAAAAGTCAAGCATCGCCCAAGGCCTCCAGTATTCAGCAGGAAAGACAAGGATAGAATAAGGCACTGCCGGCTAGCCCACAAACACATGTGATCTGAATACCCAGTTGCAGTCGCCGGATGCATCCCCGACTACCATGTCTGGTAACTGCGAGAATGCTCCGATATCCTCGTCGTTGAAACGTTAGCGATCATTATGTTATGTCCGGAAAGACACGTAAACTATGGGGCGATCGCATCGGGCGGAGCACACCCAGTTCATAACGCAAGTTGTCTTAGAGCATCGGGAAGAGGCTAAGATAGGCAATGGCAGCGATGCGCGATTTCCACAGACACGCCGGCATCGGACAGCTGGATGTTGACGATTCGAAAATGACAAAGTCAACCGCGCAGTCACACACACACACTTTGCAGATCTGGAAAGCTGGAACTGAATGCCGACTGCTGGAGCTTTTGGGTCGGATATGGTGGATGCCAATTCCAGCTCCAACAGTGTCGGCAGGCACGACCGGCCGTTAGCTGGGCTTTAGCGAGGAAGAGCGTGCCGAGCGCCCAACAACGCTGGACTCGCTGGGTTGGACTTCCATGCCATCCTCGGAGGACAGATCCCGCCTCGGCGTATCCTCGGAAGATACACGTCTCCCCGGGCATGTCTGGGCATGCTGTTGACTAACTCTTCCTTACGAGGTGCGCAATGCTGCGCTTCTCATAGGCCGAACCCAAAGTGCCGCGCAAGCAACTTCCACAATGGAGGCGCACTGCGGCTTGTGAGGCATGGAAGTGCCAGATGGGGCTCGGCAACTTGCGACGCTGCGGCATACGGCGCTCAAGCGTACCTGTTCCTGAAAGTGGGGCAGCCGACTGTGCGGCAAGTTTTTTGCGGGGTACCTCGGAAAAAGGCTTCAGGCCCGTTGCCCTTCCTCTCCAGCCGGAAAGACGGATGCACAGGGTCAGTTCACTGGTCTTGGTCCGGGCCGCATGCCGGCGCCTCTTCGATCACATCGTAAGCGACGCAAGCGGGGTAGGAACAGAGCTGTCGGGCCACTGGCGGCCACCTGGGGCACGAGATCGGAGGCCTGGAGGCAGTGGTGACGGCGCGATGATCGCAGCCCGAAACTTTAGGCTGCCCACATGTTGGGCCCGGCACTGTGGACCCTGTGCGGCGAGCGAGAGCAAGGTACAGGAGGCAAGACACAAATTCCGAGATGATGCTTAGATGATGACCAGGGACGAGGCAAGCGAGCGGCCAAGGTCCAGGGCAAGGACGCAAAGGGGAGATGCCGAGGTGGGTTAGATGCCGAAGTGGGTTCTCGGAGCAGGGAGCACTCACCACTTCCGATCGCCACGCAGGCACCACGCGATAACGATAAGAAGACATTGTGGCTCACGTGATTCTCATTCAACCAGCTAGGAGCATCGGGTCGGAGGCTCCGACACACCACCCCCACGTCGGAAGCCCCGACACGCGTGGGGCACCGTGACTGCTCTCCTGGGTGAGGAGTACGGTGTGTCACCCCCGCAAGCCGTCTCCACCCCCGCCCAAGGACCTCCAGTCATTCCCTCTCGGCGGCGCTCAGCACCCCGCGTAACCCGCGTGGTGACGCCTGTCATGTACATTTCCGAGTGAACATGGCCTCCGGCCGGCACTCTCTCCGGGGTGGAACCCAAGCAAACGCAGATGCCGACCATGGAACACTTGACCGCTCATTCAATCGACCTCCATCCTTTCGCGAGACCGATCGCATCAGCCGCACCTCCCCCTGCCCCGCACCCGCAACCGCACTCCGCCGCACGCCGACACTCACCAAGCACTTCCACCCCCTTGCCTCCTACGCCTGCTCTCTTACCTCCTCCGTCTTCGACAACCCCGACCCCACGGCCCCGCTTGCCCCCCGCAAACCCCTGTGACTCTTGTCCTGCCCCTGTGCCAAAGAGCCCCGATCTGCGGCGCCCGCTACCACCTCCTTGGGTGTTCCTTGTGTCTCGTTGCGACTGCGCTACTGTTCCACCACCTCCGATCCTCCCTGTCTGAAAGTATATATATCCCGACTTCTTCGAGCAGATCATGATTCCACAGAAGCGACCTCATCACAACTCTAACACAATGACCCAAGACCCCACCAAGTACAAGGAGTCCGAGTGCGACGTCCTCATCGTGTAAGTTGAGACTTGGGATGACTGTCGGAGCCCACACTCCATCACTGCCACTTTCCTCATCGCTATCTCGTCTACTTTCGAGTTAGGCATGGAGCCTCCTCTGGCTGCGGTGGTCGGTCTCTGGCTGGTCGCTTCCTTTAGCTCGTAACTTGGTGACTGACTTGTCTCAGCGGTGCCGGCCCCGCCGGTATGATGGCCGCCCGTGTTCTGGCCAACTACCAGAGGCAGCAGCCCGACCTGAAGATCCGTATCATCGACAAGCGCTCGACCAAGATCTTCACTGGACAGGCCGACGGTCTCCAGTCCCGCACTCTTGAGTGCATGCAGAACCTCGGCATTGCGCAGAAGATCCTCGCCGAGTCCAACGAGCTCTACACCATCGCCCTCTACAACCCCGACGAGAATGGAATCATCCGTCGCACCGACCGCATTCCCGACACCATGCCCGGCATCTCGCGCTTCCACCAGTGCGTTCTCCACCAGGGCCGCATCGAGCGCCACCTCATCGACTCCACCCTCGAGACCTCCAATGGCCGCATCAAGATTGAGCGCCCCATCATCACCGAGGACATGGAGATTGACGAGTCCGCTGTCGAGGACCCCGATGCCTACCCCATCACCGTCACCCTTCGCTACCTCGGCGAGGAGGAGTCGACCCCCCTTCAGTTCGGCCACAAGGTCGAGAACGGTCTCTACCGCTCCGTCTCCATGATGGACGCTGAGGACGAGGACGCTCAGTACAAGCTCCCTGAGGGTGCTGAGCCCGGCATGATCGAGAAGGTCAAGTGCAAGTACGTTATCGGCTGTGACGGTGGCCACTCCTGGGTCCGCCGCAAGCTCGGTATCGAGATGGTCGGCGAGCAGACCGACTACATCTGGGGTGTCCTCGACGCCATTCCCCACACCAACTTCCCCGACATCCGCTCGCGTTGCGCTATCCACTCCGCCGAGTCTGGCTCTGTCATGATCATTCCCCGTGAGAAGGACCTCGTCCGTTTCTACGTCCAGCTCCAGGAGCGGGCCATCCCCGGCCAGCGTGTCGACCGCTCCAAGTACACTCCCGACGTTGTGCTTGAGGCCGCCCGCAAGATCATGGCCCCCTACACCCTCGACATCACCAACCTCGAGTGGTTCACTGCCTACCACATTGGTCAGCGTGTCGCCCACATCTTCGGCAAGGACGACCGCGTCTTCATTGCCGGTGACGCCTGCCACACCCACTCCCCCAAGGCCGGTCAGGGCATGAACGCCTCGATGATGGACACCTGGAACCTCTGCTGGAAGCTCGGCATGGTCCTCACCGGCCGCGCTAACCGCAACCTCCTCTCTACCTACCAGACCGAGCGCCAGCCGTTCGCTCAGGCCCTCATTGACTTCGACCACAAGTTCTCGCGCCTCTTCTCTGGCCGCCCCGCCAAGGACGTCGCCGACGAGATGGGTGTCAACATGGAGGAGTTCAAGTCTGCCTTCATCAAGTCGGGCAAGTTCGCCTCCGGCACTGCCATCGACTACAACGAGTCGGTCGCTGTCGCCAAGACCGGTGACCCCAAGCTCAACAAGGTCAAGTCCAAGCCTGAGCTCGCTAAGAACATCGGTGTCGGAACCCGCCTCCAGTCTGAGCGCGTCATCCGCCACGCCGAGGGTCTCGTCACCGAGGTCCAGGACCTCCTCGTCTCCAACGGTGCCTTCCGCATCTTCGTCTTCGCCGGTAAGGCCAACCAGCCCGAGCAGATGGCCCGCCTTAACAAGTTCGCCGAGTACCTTGACTCTGCCGACTCTGTTGTCTCGCGCTACACCCCTGCCGGCCGCAAGCGCGACTTCATCTTCGACGTCATCACCATCCACTCCAACTCGCGCGAGGAGATCGAGATGCAGGACTTCCCCGCTCCCGCCCTCTACCCCAAGTGGGACTACAAGAAGATCTACGCCGACTGCGAGGACTGGCACATCGGCCACCCCCGCGCCTACGAGAAGTACGGCATCGACCCCGTCAAGGGCTGTGTTGTTGTCGTCCGCCCCGACGGCTACGTCGCCCTCGTCACCGACCTCGAGTCCACCAAGGACCTCGACGCCTACTTCGACGGCTTTATGCAGGCTCCCAAGAAGGCTGTCGGTGCCCAGACCGAGCCGGACTGGACCGCCAAGGGCCTCTACAAGAAGACCACCGAGGCCGCCAAGGCCGACCGCGCCTCCGCTACCGCTGCCTAAGCGCATGCGCCAGCGTCGAGAGCGGTCAAGGTGCAACAAGGGTATACCCAGGAGTAGAGGAGTTGTAAGAGTAGTAGTCGCTGGTTTCTTTCACGAATCATGATCAGAAGAATGCATAGGGTTTCAGAAAACAATGTCGCAAGCACCTCGCTCTCACAACTAACCACCTCCAGCGTGCCACTGATCATAGCCAAGGGGTGTCGGGAAGGTCAACACCGGAGCCCCGCATTCGGCGACTTGCCGCCGTCGCCTCCACCTCCACTTCAGATCCTGCGGGGAAGTCCACTCACCTTCGAGCCTGAGCGTTTCAGCTTTGTTTACCCTCCATCCATCTAGCCCTTCGTCTTCATCGAGACTCCCCTCCCGCCCAGGAGCTCCGTAAGATGTTACGACATCGTTACATGAACTCGGTGCTGCGGCGAGCGTACGCATCGAGTGCAGTACCCACGCCAAAGGAAGAGCTCGCTCGCGTTGCAGAACTACAAACAGCACTGCAGGGCGTGTCAAACCAGGATGCCAAGAGGCGGACGATTGCGGAGTATGGAGACCTTCGCTCCCTGTTAGAGTTGTAAGCTTTGAGGATTTTTCATAGCTGACATGTGAAGCGTTTATCATCCGAAGACACGACTCCATTACACTTCGACTCGCATCGATCGGCCCGTTGGCAATGGCGGTTCAGATGGAGTAGGGAGCAGCACCGACCTGCCAGTCCCCAATTCCCTCATGGCGCTGTTTGAAGCCCTTTCGACTCGTCGGGCAACCGGCTCTGCGGCTGACCGCCTGGTAGCTGGCTTCCTCATGCAGCACGGAGTGCATGGCAAGGAACTTGAAACGTTCAGGCAACTACTCGATCGGAACCTCGTCGCTGGCTTTCGCTCACGGACACTGGAAAGTGTACCATGGCCCTCCATCTCACCAGCGCATTACTCCCCGCCTTTCTCTACCCATCCCAACGCTACGGAAGACGCTCCGGCCGCTGCCTCCAGTGCAAGCTACCCATGGACGAATCCCAATCGCAGCTGGGACATTAGCGTTGCGCTCGGGTTACCGCTGAAGCTGCCATACGAGGTGGAAGGCAAACTGGCATCAAGAAAGTACGATGGTGTGCGTGTTGTTGCCATCATCGACCTTGTGGGAGATGACGTTGTCTCGGTGCGCTTCCTTTCGCGACAAGGAAACGAGTTCACATCCCTCGCCCGTCTGGAGGAAGTTCTCCGGAATCTCAAGCCTCAAGATCTTCCAAGGAAGGCGGCCTACAAGGTAGACGCGCTGGAGGGTCTGGAGCACGAGCCGCTGCCGGTATCGGACAGCCCAAAGTACAGGATCGTGCTCGATGGTGAAGTTTGCGCTATGGTGGGCGGGAAGGAAGACTTCACTGCCTCCGTATCTCAGATCCGACGACAGGCGACTATGGAGCAGCCGACCTACCTCGTCTTCGACGCACTGACTTGGCACGAGTTCTCCTCTGCCACAGGCTCCAGGCCACTCAGCGACCGGCTTTCCGACGTACGTGCCCTTGAGTCTGCCCTCTCGTCTCCGCGGTTCAGCGCCATCAAGCAAGAGCGCGTGCGAGACGATGCACACCTCGCAACACTGGTGGCTGAGGCAGCAGACCGCGGCTGGGAGGGCCTAATCCTGCGCTCGGATGTCGGCTATCGTGGGAAGCGCACCGGCGACATCCGCAAGCTGAAGGCGTGGGCTGAGGCGGAGTTCACGGTCATCTCTCGGGCCGTTGGAAGGATCGCACTCGCGGGCCGTGTACAGAAGGCGTGCACATCGCTCACCGTCGATCACCGTGGCCACCCCGTCAGCGTTGGCAGTGGACTGAGCACAGCGCAGCGGTTGCGCTTCGTTGATAAGGCCGAGATCGTCGGCAAACAGGTCACAGTGCAGTACTTCGAGGAGACGGAGAAGAGTCTGCGCTTCCCAACTGTCAAGCGAGTATGGGATGGCGAGAGGGACGTGTAGCAAGCCGCACCCGCAGTGTCAGGACGGCGACGCCGATACCGCATGCAGCAAGACAGATGAAATACAAGGCTTACAGGTCTCGGAGCACCTCAGCATGCGACTGTCCCCACACAACTGTCACTGCGGGAGAGGTACGGCCGCCACTATCCAGCCGTTGCAGCCTTGGCGCTCGGCAGGCGCTGGGGCGTCGATGGCGTTCCCCAAGCGTTCGCCGTCCCACGTTCCTTCTCGCGGCCCGGCCGGTCTGGGCTTCCCGGTGAGCTAAGTGGCCAAGGAACCGACGCCGCTGTGCACGCCATGGTGATGGCACCATTGTTTCGCAATGTTGAGTTCCGACCCAGCGTGCAGCACAATGAGCAAAGCACACAAGCGTGTGCCCATCTGGGCTGTACCGATCTTCGGGTTCCTGCGGCAGGGGCCCGGGAATAGGAAGGCGGCGGCAAGAATGCGTTATTTTCGATCTCGACACAACAACAAAAGATCGCCGCTGCAGCCCCTGTCGTTCGTAGTCTTTGCCGTCTTTGCCACCCGACTACGTCGACTCTCCCGGCAGCCGGAAATCATCCCTCCGCACTCGTCCTGCCAGGGATGCTAGAACACCAGGAGTACAGAAGGGGTGCAGGGAAGATAGAGAATTGGGGCCATGTAACGATGCATGAAGTGGCTAGAGTGGTAGGCGTCAGGTGATACCGTGATACCGCAGGAGAAGACAGGATCCGACAAGAAAGTGTGACGGTTTGGGTGGCCAAGGGCGTTGTGGTGTGACAAATGCCAGGCTGGAGGAGATCGAGATCATGAACACTAGCGGCCAACCTGGGCTGTCTGGAAGGGCGCTAGCGAGCGTCTGCACACTGGCCACTGCACACCAGGCGGTCTGCACGGTCTGGCCGCTTTCTGAACACGCTGGTCGGTACACGGCGGAGGCACATCTGGCAACGAAGGCGTGCAGGCGATCAGGCGAAACGACCGCGGCACAGCCAGTCCAGTCACTCACTGGCACCAGCACACGACCACCTCCCGCCTGCCGTCTGCATGCGCCGCGCGCCGCACACACACGCTGCTGACGCCTAACCCCCGCCTCGACGCCTACCATGACCGTCCGCTGCGCGCTGCGTGTCGCTCGTCGAAACCACTGTTTCAATCTTGCATTCTCTTTCTCTCCCACTGTCAACTCCGACTCACACCCGCACTGATCATTGCCTATCCTCGACATCCCGACCCCCTCACCCCGACACCACCATTCCCCTCCCTCTTCTTTCCCCCGTAGCGTACAACCCTCCCACTTTTCTACCCCATTCCGCTCCTGCATTCCCCGAAACCTAGATCTTGAACCGCGTAAGGTGAGCTCGAGTGCGCGGGGAGACAACTGACTGAATCAGTGTGGGAGGATGTCTTGAGCTTGCCGTCGAGCTCGACAGCCCAGCATCACTGCATCCCCTAGCCACCTCCCCGGACAACTTGTTCTTTTCTGGCCACCCTGGTAGCCTGACTGTTATCCTCACACAATGGACACCGACAAGGCAGGGGCCATCCCCAACGGCCATTGTGGTGTCAATGAGCCCAACCATCAGAACACTTGCTTCAGTACACCTAGGAGCACTATCCTTCATGACCACAAGCGCTCGCAGTCGGCATCAGCCACCGACCCCGACCCCTTGTCCCAGCTGTCCACGACGGAACCAACCACGCCCAAGTCCAAGTCCTTGCCACCCTTGCTTCCTCCAGCGGAGCTGTACTCGCACCTGCGGGATACGACGACCGAGGTCGCGCCCCACCCGGCGACACTGAGTCCTTTACTGCGCTCGAGCTCGTTTAGAAGGCGATTCTCGACGCCACCGCACCTCAGCCCTGTCCGCAGCCCGTGCCGTAGCCGCCCACCTTCGCCCCTCGCGACCAAGACACACAGCGGCAGCAGCAGTAGCGGGTACTTTGACTTTATGCCCATGAGTGGCACGGACACGCCGATGCTCGATCGCGACCGCGAGTGCCAGGCCCAGGGTAGACGCGGATCGATCGGCTCTGACGCCCTACTTCTCACCCCTGCCGAGGAGCGCCAGTTCAACCTCTCGGGCTGGAACACGAACAGCACCGCTTCCACGCCCCGCACTCTCTCTCAGCGCGGTAGCGAGGACCAGCTGCACAAGTCGGCCGCCGCGTCCCCTGAACCCGGCTCCAAGCTGTCTGGAGGAGATTCACCCTCCACAGGCACGCTCGAGCGCCGCGCCCGCCGCCGTCAGGTTGTCCGCCTCGACAGCTTTGGCGGCGAAGGTCTCATGAGGAAACCGTCTACCCGCCATCTTGACGGTGGCTTCCCCGGCTCCGAGATGTCCCAAATGCCAGCAGGGACCAAAGCGCCTCCCCCGACCCCCATGACTGAGTAGCTGCAACCCGCCTCGGTCGTCGTCCCATGTGCCGTCGTTCCGCCATAGACATGACTCCTATACAGGAACGTATACCCGCCGTTCAACGTTCGTACGCCTCGATCGTACTTTGTACCACTTTCAAGCCCCACGCTCACTCTTCCTGTGCCCATGAATCCCCATGTTGTACACACGAAACGCGGACCTGGAGCTAACGATGCGAGCTAACATTGCCGCCCGCCGGGCACGGGCATCAGCGACAAAATGTCAACAAGCATGACGTCAGTATATAAAGTCGGGCGCAGTAGTGTCAGCTTCCTGACTTCTTGCATCCTGCATCCGGTCTTCTGTCTAACCTGTTACCCGGCCGATCACTGCATCGCTCCATCCTCCATCCATCGACGAGCAACCAAAAATGAGCGGCAAGATCCTCATCCACCACCTCACGCAATCGCGCTCTGAGCGCATCTTCTGGCTCCTGGAGGTGAGTGGCGCACGTTGATGCTTCGATGTAGAGGAGCGTCAGCGAGCTGTGCGGTTCGCGTGTCAGCTAACGTTCAGGAACTCGGTCTTCCCTACGACGTCAAAGTGTATGCACGCACAAAGGAGGGCAAGGGGCCGAAGTCGCTCGCCGAGGCGGTCCCAATGGGCAAGGTGGGTGCTTGCTCCACGTCCATTCATCGTCCACATGGAACTAACAGCAGGCTCCCGCCATCACGCTCCCCGATGGACGCACGATCACCGAGTCCGGCTTCATAGTGAACCAGCTGCTCTCGCACCACCCCTCGGCATCGACAGAGTCCACTGCGTCTGCGGACAGTATCTTCTGGAACCACTTCTCCGAGGGCTCGCTCATGCTCCACCTCCAGTCCGCATTCACGAGCAACAAGATCGCCGAGGGCTTTGGGGCGTACAAGATTCTGTACCTGCTTCTGTTCTTCCAGGGAGGTATCTGGGCCTTCAACAAGTTTGTCCAGGGACTCGAGAAGAAGAACCTTCAGCCTATGCTTGACTATGTCGAGGAGTTCTTGGGCACGAACCCGGGCTTCAGCGGGAATGACAAGCTCGGCGAGGGCGACGTGAGTAATACTCCGGCTGACTTCCTCTCTCCAAACTTCTGAGGGAAGGATGTAGGGAGAGAAGCTGCGCAAGAGCGCTCGATAAGCTGACACCCAGTTCATGATGATCTTCCCCCTCAGCGCCATTGCCAAGGGCGGTCGCGGGCCGTACATCCTTGGCCCCAAGACGGAGGCATGGGTCAAGCGCACGGAGCAGCGGCCCGCGTACGTGCGCGCCATGCAGAGGATGAAGGAGGAAGAGGAGAGGCAGGTCACCGGCCCGTCGCCCGAGTAGGATCAAGCAAAAGGCACGGCTTGAGTGCTGATAATCGAGACCCAGGGCCAAGCTTTGATTGCCGAGGCGAGCGCTCTTGCACGTATCTGTACCTGACGGAAGAAATGGAGCAGTAAAGAGATGTCATCCGGATACTATTGTACAAAATGCCGTTCAGGCCTTCGCCTTGTTGTAGATGTCGTTGTAGGTCGCAAGCGCTTGCTTCGATACCTCCTCCGGATCCCGGCCCTCGAACCGCCGCGGGTCCATCTCCTTCGCCAGCTCCGACTCCTGTTCCACCTTCTGCCCCAAGCTTGCCCTAATCTCCTTCGCGAGCACGTCGCACGCGCCCCCCGCGTTCGTGACCCACGCGCCGACAGCGAGCCAGAGCCCCGTCTTGCTCTGCCCAAACAGCGGCAATCCGTCCGGCGTTACAGTGAACAAGCCGTTGAAAGCGTATGCTCCCTTGGGCACGTCGCCGTGATATGACTCTGGAAGAGGCTTGATGGGATCGAAGGCGTCGGCCGTGTCCTTTGGTAGGATGGAGAGCGCGCGGTTGAGCACGCGGTTGAAGTTCGGGTCCCATGCGCCATACGCCGAGGCGAGCTTCGAGGTGTGCAGCACGTGAATAGGGTCATGCGCGTACGAGCCAACGCCGTCGCGGTCCCCGTGGTCGCGCGCATAGACGTGAGGGCCGGGGAAGCGGACAAAGGGGCCAGTCTGTTCCCGCTCAGCACGCACTTTCGTATACGCGTAGGGATGCGCGACGGGAAGGGCCGTGACTTGCGTCTCGGGGGCGAGTTGGGACGCCCAGATACCCGTAGCGAGCACAACGCGCTTCGCTTTGAACGTCCCATTGCTGGTCTTGACTGTCCAATCGTCGCCCGAGCCATCGATCGAGGAGACCTCGGCCTCGACAATCTTGGCGCCCTCAGACTGCGCCTGTTCCCGGCCCCAGAGCGAGATCCGGCGTGCATTCGCCGTCCCGTCGTTCGGGAACTTGATGCCTCCTCCATTATCAGGACGCACGAGGGCGGGACACTGCCGCGCCGCCTCCTTGGGCAGAAGCACTTCGGCTTCAACGCCCTGCTCCCTCGCCAGCTTCTCGCGGTCCATCAATGT